TGCAACTGCCGCCTGGCACCGGCACCAGCACCGGCACAGGCACAAAAGTTGCATTTTCCATTTGATTAATTGACGCGATTGTTGCTGGCAGGTTTCCTTTCGGTTTTGTTTAGTTTCAACAATTAAATTGAAGTGGAAAAAAGCTGATTGTGTGTACGTAAGTGTGTGCGAGCAAGTGCATGTTACTTTAATTGAATGCATTGTTGTTGTTGTTGTTGTTGTTGTTACTGCTATTTCTATTGCGGCGTCTGTTGCATTGACCAAAATTAAAACAAATGCGGCTCAGTTGCTCAGGTAAAGCCAAAAACCGCACTTGAAGTCGAAGTCGAAGACTTCGTTTTCGTCTTCGTCATCGTCATCGTCATCGTTTTGCTTTCTTTTCAAGTTTAATGAACGTTAAGACAGGCGATGGTTTTGGGGGGTGGCAAGGCCTTATGATTAGCGCCAGTTGCGGCATCGAAGGTTGCTGATCTGTGGATGTGGATTGCATGCCCGCCACAGCTGCAGCACTAATGGGAAATGGTAAGAAATATAAAATGGAAATGGAAAAACGGGAAAAAACGGGGAAAAGGGGGAAAAGGGGGAAAAATGCAAATGCGGCGAAGGCCGCCAAGAGATTTTGTAACACCAAATTATTTTGATTGGCTGTGAATTAAATTTGAATTTGGTTCCGCTTTTGATCGGCCGAAGCTAATGTGAAGCCCCCAACAATTGGATATGTGAATCAAGAGAGGGGCAATTGGCTGCCTAAAAAAACCCTAGACTCGAGCGATGACTAACCTGTCAATAATCTCGTCCAGCTCTTTGGTCAGCCCCCGCATCGATTGGAATATCAATCAACAATCCGCGTGTTCCATGAATGGAAACGCCCACGAGGGCGACAAAAATGGATGGTTTTTGATCTCTTGATGCGATCACAATCGGTGTGATTGAATGGTCCAATTACGCTTTGCTTTTGACATAATTAGCGTGTAATCATAATTGTAATGGACGTGGATGCGGGGCCGCAAAGTACCTCCCGAGTTGTGGGCAAATTAGCTGGGGCGGCTTTGACAAAACGCCCCGTGCGACTTACATCACCCGTCCCATATCCCATCATGCCATGATGGTCACTTGGGTGTGACTAAGAAGCCGAGTGCAAGTAATTCGAGAAGCCGCATAGAATTTCGCACATGTGTGCCGCTGAGCCGTGCCAGCTTTTGGTTTCTTTTCCAGCTGAATGCGGACGAAATGCCATGCGAATACATTATAAAAAAAAAAAAAAAAAAAATGGAAAAACTAAAATGACAAAAGGAGAAGCAGTCACACAAAAACGAAAGTTGCTCTGCACGGGCAATTGTTCGCAATCGAAAACATTTAAATAAATTGATAAGCAGTCGGAAGCAGCATTTGCATGGGGCGATTCAATTTGGCTGAACAAGTTCGTTGCCTAAGTCTTTCGTTTCTATCACTGCTATTGGCTAACGAAACGCTAACGCTAACAATGACAATTAAATAAATACCAATAATAACAGTAAGCCACTGCAGCAACAACAACAAAGCCACCATAATGAACTTGAATTGGCATAATTGCCACAGCTAATCACATTAAAGCCAGATACAAAGATTTGATAAATGCAAAGAAACAACAGCCAAACAGAAACAACACGACAAACAGCAACTGGTTATTCAGCCAGGCAGTGAAACAATCATAGGAATTAAAATAAAATGCAAATGATTGCGTCACTTTGGCTGAGTGCAGAGCGATATGAGGAAAAATACAAAGTAGCAAATCAAAATGTGACACTGGGAGAAAATAGACAATGAAAAATATTTACCTTTCCTAGGTTTTCACAAGTGAATATGCCATACTATGCTAACCTAACAATAAAAATTTATTTTATTTAATCAAAATATATCAAATCTTTGTTTAAAAACTTATGTTTTAAGCTAAATCATTAAGAAAACTTTCGATAAACCATTATTGTTTAAAGAAATATTTGAAGAGATTACTTAAAAGCACTATCATATTTAAAATACAAAAAAAAGTTAGAAAGCATGTGATTGATCACTTTTGACAAGGGCATTTTTTAAACTAACTTTGTGGAGCTAGTTTTTGTTGTTTTACCATTTGTGATATTTTCAAACTGCAAATAAATTTGGGGTTTGAACTAAGCAAATAACATTTAAAGGCAATAAAAATATAACATTTTTGCGCCCTTCCAGCATTCAATTATGTTGATTTTATAACAATTCTGTACCTTTCAGCACAAAAATTTAGAATTGAACTCTATCTCGAGGATTTTGACTGTTTGTGAGAATTGCTTGAGCAAATTGAAGATCTCGCAAGTACTTGGCTTTCTATGCCAATTGCAGAGTTGCTAATTGAATGGAACAATGAATTGCTTTTAGAAATCGCCCATTTCGCTGGCAATAAACAAGAAGCACAAACACCGAAAATTATTTATGAGGCGGCCACAATAATTTGAAAAACACATATGTATCTACATGTGTAGCCGCAAGGGGAGAGGGGGTGGGGTTGCAACCAGCGCCCATGACAGGTGGTGTCTTCTAACTACACCCCCCTCAGCGCCCCTCATGCAACCCACCCTCGCCTCTGCGTGTGTGTGTGTGTGTGTTTGTGTGTGTTTATGCCGTGACGCAGTCGCAGCTTGCAATCTTTCACTTTTTTTCGTGTCTGCCGCGACGGCATCGTTCGTTCCAGTTTTTCGTAAATTATTTCCCCAGCATCGCTATTATTTTTGTTATTTTCGCCTTGATTATACACACGCGATGTTTGCTGGAGCATTGTTGTTGCAGTTGGAGTTCTGGGCCCTTTTTTGACACACTTCTGCTTCTTCTTCGCTTATACTTTTACGCGTATATGCTAAACAACTTTCTTCTCAATGCAAAAGGGGCGCGCTTTGTGCAAAAGTATTTAGTATTTATCATAAATTTCACACACACGCAGCAGGCACACCACACTCGTACCCCAACACACACACACAAACGCACATACACACACACACAAAGAAAAACCGATAGCCCCAACGAGATCCAAGCACATATACACACACAAAAGGGGAGAGCAGATCGTTCAGTTCGCAAGGTCCGTCTTTGGAATTCCGATTCTGCGCGTTCGTTTAATCACATTTTCGGCATTTCTTGTGGATCCATAAGTTAAGTCCCAAAAGACAGCAGGTTTTGGTTATTGGGAATGTAACAAAATTTCATTACCAAACACAGACACTGGCACGGCAGCACGACACACACGGGCTCGTTCACTCACACAAGCTCACACAAGATTCGAGCATTCGAGTTCCAGCCAGTTCCACGATCGATTTAACGTTCTTTAGATTTTCTTTGGTTTCTGCCTTTTTGGATGGGCACTAGGCACTAGAACAATTAGCAAAGTTGCCGCCGCTATTTCACTTTTTCATCCGATCCGCATCCGCGAAACCCAACCTACTCGTTGAGTTTACTTATTTACTTTACTTTTTTACTTGGTGATCTTGCTGATGCGACCGAACGGCGAAACGGTTTGAGCTTGAGTTTTGAGCTTGAGTTTGGATTTGAATGGAAAACAGAGTCGGGAGCAGAAAGAGAAATCGAACAACTGAGTCATTTTGCTTACGTTTCAAGCGAGAGGGACTGCTATGTTGGCTAACATGCTGGAAAAAACGTTGGCTCTTATACCGTCTGCACAGGCCGCTTAAATTCATTAGAAATCCCGATGTAATCACAAAGCATTTTCTGTATTTTTAAATGTTTTGTTATTTTTACAGCACTTCAAAGAAAAACATTTGATTTTTATTATAAGTCTCAGCGACGTGTTTGATTTCCTTGGTTTCCTGTTACTACAAACAGTATTTCGTTTTCAACAAATGGATGGCAAACCAGCCTTTTTTGAAATGTTTTTTAGTTTTAAAATCGTTTTGGTTTACTAATATTTATTTATTTATATTTGTTGAACCTAAGGGGAGTCTTCCTAGATTAAGTTTATCCACAACTGGGTAATAACCAATTGGGTAAAAATGTTTCATTTATTAATTTTTTTTCGATATTCGCTTTTTTCCGGAGAGAACTGAGTTTTCTGGACTGTTTTTTATTTAAACGTAAAACTACTGCGCCTAGTTGTATCGCTAGCTGTGAAAATATATCTTAAAAACGAAAAATATTGCTTAGTTTTCAGCATCAACACGAAAGTGGCCATCGATTTTTTAATTGTTATTTATTTTATTTAGACCAAAAGCTAAATTTTTAATTTTAAAGCATAGTTTTCCTAAAGACAGAGGCTCTATCGTTGTTCTCCTAACAGTAACATGTTAAATCCTCGCTTCCCTTACATATATGCTATGAACATTTATGATGCGAGAAAGAGCAGAGAGCAATCAAAATGAGTTTTTCGAGAGTGTTTTTGAGCGTTGAGAGAAAGATATCAGAGAGAATTTGAGTGCTTGAGTACGAACATTAAAAGAGAGCCCACAAAAGCTCTAGGCAGAGTTGCTTTAAAAAAGCTTTTTTCAAGTGAGAAATTAATCGAAACTTCAGAAACTGGTTGTCAAAACTTTTTGTAAGTAAATAATATTGGTATGAGGAATTCTTTTTAAAAAATGGCGATTAATTTCAATACTAATAAGAAATAATAATTTTAAGAAAACTACAACTTCTGTTACAGAGAGTTTTTTTCCACGGTCGATTTGAATTAAGTGCGCAAACCACATAACCAAGAGTTCATTACCTTTCAGGTTGATTTACATATGTTTTTTTTAACGAAGCATCATACCAAATATTAAGTTTTTACAAATGAGTAATTTTTTAAAAAGTAGTATTATTTTGCGGCAAATGGATTATGTAGGTAAGAAACAAAATATATATGTTATAAGTTAAGTAAGAAACTAAATATATAAGTTTTTGTATCGTTATCTTCATAGGGTGCTTGGAAAAAATGTTCGTTAATATGAATACATTATTTCAGATAAAAATCGCTGCCCAGCACTACAATATATACATAACATAACATAACATTACAACGATATATCGATAGCAAGTAAACTTTTGAACTTTGGTGGTGCTCCGCCGTACCGAGTGGTATTTTTGCTTTTTCCGCCTGCGGTCCTACTATCTCCAACAACTAGGAATTTAATAACAAAAGGCAAGGGAAAACGCAAAACGTAATGGGGAACCAATATGGAATGCACATCAATAGCGATGACGATGATGACGACTTTGACTCTTCGGACAACGAGCTGGGCTTCAATGTGATTAACTTTACGGTGAACGCCATGGACATGGAACTGCGCTCTGATTACTGCAACCACGAGCTGCCAGTAATAAGAAGCAAGCCAGATTTGGTAAAATTTCAGGTAATCATGAAATAACCTGCCCCCAGATAACGATAGCAAGCTACAACTGCTGTTGTTTATTTGCTTATTACAGAACACCGACATGTACAAGGAGATTAGGGCATCCAGTGGACTGGTTAGCAATCCAGATGATCGCTGGAATCTAGTGCGTGCCCTTCAGCAGCGAGAAAATGGGATGGCATCGCCCCACAGCGCCTCGTTTTCCAAGAACCAGCAGCGGTACATTTCCAATCTGTACATACCAAACAAGAAGTCCACGCGCCTCATGTCGCTGGACTCGAAAATCTTTGTGACAAAGTTCAATCGCACGGGCACCAAACTGCTTACCGCCTGTCAAGGTCAGCATTTTTCGGGCTAAAACATTGGGTGTCATCGAAACGTGATCACACATGTCTGTCCATTACCCATTCCAGATGGCTTTGTCCGCATTTACGACGGCGCCAAGGGAACATACCACCTGTTAAACCGAATCCGGGCCCGTGACGTCGAGTGGAGCATCATCGATGCCGACTTTAGCCCGAATGGCCAGCACTTTGCCTACAGCACCTGGTCCCGTTCATGTAAATGGGTAGCTAAATGGGGCCCTAGAGTTAATCATACTAAATGTTAGACCAACTTTCAGTTTTCATTATGCCTGTGAATGGGGGCGAAGATGACTGCCAGTGGATCGATGTTAATGGGCTGCCCAACCATCGGCTAGCCATCTTCTCGCTGCGCTACTCGCCCACAGGCGACAAGATCATCGGTGGCAGCAACAATGCCAATGTCATCGTGACCGATATCCGCACACGGAGCACCCAGATCCTGCGCACCCACCGCATGCCCGGCACTGATGTAAACTCAGTGTGCTTCCTGCACGACAAGGACCCAAATGTGATAATCGCCGGCTGCGACGATGGGCTGCTCAAGGTGTACGATCTGCGCACCTCGTTCCGTTCCCGCGAGCTGTCCAAATCGGTGGCCTCCTTCATCGGCCACTACGATGGCGTCACTTACCTCGATTCACGCAACGACGGCTACCACGTGCTGTCCAACTCCAAAGACCAAAGCATCAAGATCTGGGACATGAGGCAGCCCAGCAATCTGCGCAACCGCAGCCGCGCCAGGCAGCAGCAGTTGGACCTTACCATGTGGGACTACCGCTGGAATCGCGTTCCCCGTGAATGTAAGCCCTTGTTTAGTTTTTGTAAATTTCCATATTTTACCTTCTATGGCACTGCAGTTTACAATCCCAATAAGGCGCTGGATGGGGACACCAGTATAATGACCTACCGCGGTCATCGAGTCACCAAAACCCTGCTCCGGGCCAAGTTTTCGCCTCTGGAACAGACAGGACAGCGTTACATATACACGGGCTGTGCCACTGGACGTATAATAAGTGAGTTTATAAATTTCACCTACAGCATGTGTCTTCCATTTCCATTTGCAATTAAAATATTAGCGGATCCAATTGGAATTTATTATTTAAACAAAAATAGTAAACAAAACCTTAATTTTCATTTCAGTTTATGATGTGCTTACCGGTAAGATTCAAGAGGCTATTGAAGGACATAGAAATGTGATAAGAGATCTGGACTGGCATCCGGAGCGCTCGGAAATTGTGTCTGGTTCGGTAAGCTGGCGGCAAACATCTCCTCTTTTTGAAAACCTTTTATTGTCAATTGCCCATTGCAGTGGGATACCCATGTTCACCTGAACAACTTCAGCCGCAGCAACGCCAATCGTCCGGTCAAGCGATCCCATAGCTCGGGCCAGGATAAGAGGCCATTGCGACGATCACGCCGCCTGGCGAACCGCAATGTGACTCCAGACTAATTGTAATGTTATCGTATTGACTAGCTTGTAAGACATCCCCACTGAAATTAACCATAACATTCATTCTCAAACGCATGCGTAGATGAGGGGAACGAATATTCACCACAGTCGGACCGCACATTGGTTCTTTGAATAAGACTGAAGAATATGTCACAGCTTGAAATGTATAGTTCAGTTTAATTAATTATCTTGTTACACATTAAAATGTAAACCATGAAGCTTATAGACTACCTACTTAAGTTGTTTATGTACAAAACAATCATAATAAGAACCACGTTGAATTATATTTCGTTTGCTAGAACTAAATTCCTTGAAATGCGACTCTTTTCTTAACCGCTCGAATCGTTGCGCGCTTAACCTTTTTAGGATGCTGTGGGTTTACAGCAATGTCCTTAAGGGTATTATTGTTCCAAAGGTTTAGTATGCGCTTTTTGTCACCCGCAATCTGCACCACTTCCAGCTGCACGTGTTCGCTTGTTCCGTATCCCGCGATCTCGCCCAGCGTCGACTTGTGAAACGCACTCATGTCGACCATTTGGAATTTGTCTGCACAAAATTGAGAGATTTTAATAGTATTGAATGAATTTAATTTTTCTTGAATCTCTTCCAGTGATAAGAGGTCTTTGGGCAGATCTTCATCGGCTGACTGATCGCTTTTATCGCCGGAGATTTTACTGGCAGCACTTACGTCGTCCGTGTGCTTCCTTCCCGTTCGTTTTGAATTCTTTACTTCTTTCTCTACGGCGACAGCAAGTTTAGAATCTTCAGGGACGGGCTCCGCATCAGTATTGGATTTCTTTTTCTTAGAGGTTTTTTCAGTAGCTTTAGGTACGGTCGGCGTAGTTTCCTTCGATTCGTTCTCCATTGTGTCCACATCCTTCTTCTCCTTCTTCTCCTTTTTCGATTTTTTCTTTTTTGTTGAGGTTTCTTCTACTATTGCAATAGTGCTTTCTTCCTGAGTTTCGTTGGTAACTTCGCTTTTTTTAGATTTACTTTTCTTTTTACTCGCATTGTCATCATTGGGCAACTCATCATCAATTAAAATTATTTCCGTATCTACCAACTCGGTTTTCTTGGACTTTTTTTTCTTTTTCGGTGCAGGCTCTTCAAATTGCTCTTTGGTTTCTACCAAATCTTCTGAAGCTTCATCCTGCTTGTCTTTCTTTTTTTTCTTTCGCTTTGCCGGATTGGACTCATCGCTTGCCACTAGCTGTTCCTCAACGCACATGACCATCGATTGTTCAGTTTCATCCTGAGAAGAGCGTTTGGATTTCTTATTTTTCTTCTGTTTGGGAGGTGATTGGTCAACTTCTTCCTCTGCAATCGGTGGCTCAGCTGTATTTTCCTTATCCTTCTTTTTTTTCTTCTTTTTACTAGGTTCTTGGACATTCTCTGTTATGGTCTCTTGGAGCTTTTCATCGTGGCTATTAACCTGTACCTCGGCGCCTGTTGGAGTGCTCTCGGCTCCTTTTTTCAGTTTGTTTTTCATGGCCTCCATTTTCTGTTTGAAATAATCGCTGACTGAAAGTCCAGTGCTTACTGTTTGTACCCCAGCGAAGTTGGGATCCACCAGTTTCTCCTCCTTTGGCTCTTCAACCTCCACGGGGACTGGAACATCGATGTCATCTGTTGCCTTCTTGCCAAATATATTGGCCAAATCCTTTTCACTGTACTGGGACAAGTCCTTGCCCCTTGTGAACTTCTTGTAGTGAACTCGAGCCCTACTTTGCTTCGATCTCTCCTCCAGCGACACACCACTGATCTTCTCCTTAAGAGTCTTCTTAGTCGGCTCCTCCGGTTCTTCGGCTTTAAAACCGAATCCCATGGGTCTAACTTCCTCTTCGGGTTCCGATTCCTTGCCATTAGCCTCGTTTTCATCGCCATTTAGGGATTTCAGCAGCCCATTGAAGCCCTCTTCGTGAGTGGTCCACTGGTCATCTCTTGCCTCGAATCCCAATCCCTCTGCGTCATTCTTGAAGCGAATGCGAACAAAATCCTTTTCGCCATCCTGGTTCGCGCCCAGGCCATTGCCCTTTGTCCAGCCCATCTTCTCCAGCATTTTGGTGCCGAATCGGTTTTCATCTGCGAAATAGTTTCATTAATTTACGGCTTATACAGCTGATTTAAATTTGAAATCCTTACCTTCGTAGAGCGCCTTGCCGCGCGGGCACAAATTGTACCGCTTGCGGCGTCGTGGTTCCGCCAGCATAGCCATTTTTTAAAATTATATTCTATTCCACACTAAGGTTTATACTTAATTTTAAAACCAAGATAGAAAATAATTTATAAAATGCGAACGTCCGCAACACGTGCTATCATTAATCGAATCGGAGCAAGACATATCGATAACGATAGTTTAATCAGCTGATTCGTATGGATAGAGATGAGCGTTGGGTTCTTAGAGATGCAATTACACATATTAGCGGGATTTTAATAGCCAGATTCTACTTTTTGTACATTTAATAAGGAAATATGAAAGGAATCATTTTAAATTTAATTTTAAAAAAACATGAGTCAGATTTTTTGCCATTAATTTGTGAAAAAATGTTCACATATTTGAAAAATGTATTGTTAAAGACCGAATTTTTTCCTTCCTAAAGCATAAAATGCAAAGATTTGACAGGTAACTATCGCTCATCGCTAATTGGGTGTGATCCCTACATTTTCTTTTTGTTTGTTTTGCATTGTTATTAAATTTTTAAATCGCGAAATCAAAGTCGGCTGATAATGGATATAAGTGCAGATGTGGACAAGATTATAGCCCAGGCTCCAGATTGGAACTTTGCAGGCGATTGCGCTCTTCTTGCGTTAATGAAACGCATTTCCCAGGTGTGTTTTGCATGACGAATGTTTTTATCAACCGCCTAATTTAATAAAATTCTCCCAACAGAATCTGCACGAGAGGGGCGAAAAGACCACTAGGAACTTAAGAGACTTTGAGACGAGCGTGAGGCAAGTGGATATATCTCTAAATAATGCCACCAACAGTCTGCGTTCCCTGCAATTTGGAAATCAGTTCGTTGAGTACCGGGTGGAGGAAGTGGATGACGCCGATTTGGCCATGCCCGTAGATAAGAAGAAGAAGGTGCAATAGGCGATTGAATTTTCCAAGAGATTGTGATTACCGATCTATGTACATATATCTGATTGCAGCCCGACCCGCCACCCCGAAGTTCCGAGGAAATGGCCAAGGAGTTTCTGGAAAACAACCTGCGTATGTTCCGCAAGAACTTTGAGCCGGTGACCATTGAAGTGCCCGATTCGGATGACGAGGATGCACCGGTGCACTCAGTGTATGTGGCTTAGTTACACACAAATTCCATTCCTTACATAATCTACTCTCCTTAGAACCGTATATCGGGCAAAGAATCCCTACGATGCTATTCCCCTGCCCTATATTATTGGCACAAAGGAATGGGAGGAACACAAATACGCCGGACTCTATGACAGTAAAGAGAATAGTGAGGATGAAAAGCCCGAGGAATTCTCCTCCGGCTCATCGGATGAGGGGGAATCCACCGTAAGCAACAAAATCACAAAGCCAGCGAACAAATTGGAGGAGCCTCATCTATCCGACTCCTCCTCAATGGCCTCGTTTGCCAGGGAGCCATCCATTGTGTCGCCAGCAATTAAGCCCGCTGTTCAGGTCGCAGAGGCTGCCATGAAGACACAACCTCGTCCGATTATAAGTAGTCAACGGAACCCTCATGAGAGGGACATGTTCGCCGCACTCCGGCAATCGCCGCCTAGCGACGATCCTCCTTCCACTTCGTCCTCGCCTACATCTTCACCAGCTTTTCGGAACCCCTCCAGTCGCTTGCCAATAGCGTCTACAGCTTCACTGAGCTCCAGCAGCAGCAGTCCTGCCCAGCAGCCGCCAAGGCTTTTTGACGAAGCTGTTTCAACGCAAACACCCACGGAAGCTGAGAAAAAGCCAAGCCAAACTAAGCGCATGCCCGTAAATCTGTTTAACGACGATCAGTTTAACACGTTTATGTCGGAAATCGTTGACAAAGTTAAGGCCAAACAGGGTACGAACGTGATTTCAGAGAAGGAAGCACAACCACCCAAAGAAAGAGAGCCTGAGGAAAAATACTCAAAGCCGGAGATTCCTAAGCAGATCATTGAGCCACCTGCCCCGAAACGTGTCAATCTATTTGATGATAGTCCTCCCTTGAGTCCAGCTCCCAGGCCAGATTCTTTGTTCGACAATGCCAAAGCAGCGGGTGCCATTCCAAAACAGAGCCCGGCCATTGTGGCCAAAAAAGATCAGGCCAAGTCTCTCTTTGACGATTCTCCTTCCATGCCGAAGTCAATTCCTTCTAAGGAGCCACCCAAACAATTGAAAAAATCACTGTTTGACGATGATTTGGAAGACGATGACTTCTTGAGCTCGTTTGCACCTAAAACCAAGCCACCAGAACAAAAACCCCTTTCGAAACCAAAGTCCTCTTTGTTTGATGATGATGATTTGGATATAGATGACATATTTATTAAACCATCGGCCAAGCCACAAAAATTCTCTGAAAAAGTAGATCAAAAAAAAAGTCTGTTTGAAGACGATGACCACGATGATGTCACTGATCTGTTTGGCTCAAAACAGGCTAAGGAAGTAAGAAAGGAGTCGCCAACGGACATTTCGCCCGATAAAAAGATTGAGCCACCGGTAGCGGAAAAGAAAAGTTTGTTCGATGACATCGATGATGAGGATTTATTTGGAACACCAAAGGCTAAGAATTTAATTACTAGTGAACCATATAATGGTCCCAAGTCTTTTAATAATACTGATGTTGAAAAAGAAAGTGGTTCAAAAGAATTGATGAAAACGGAAATAAAGTCAATGGATCCGCAAGTGAAAAGGGTAAACTCATCTATACCTATTGTTCAAGAATCACCTCCAGACTTTGAAGTTGTCAAAGAGCCATCTCCTTCTACAGAGAATAAAGGTGGACAGGCTAATGATGATTTTTCTGCATCTAATATTCCTAAAACTACAAATTTGTTTAATGAAGATTTGAGTGATGATGAATCATTCTTAAGTTCTTCAAATAGTAAGGCTAAGCCAAAAAGTGCTATTAAAAGTAAAGAATTTATAAAACCAATCGAACAAAATACTTTTCCGGAAGAAATCGTTGCAGTTGAACCTCCATTATCTTCTCCCAAAACAACTGATTTGTTTAACGAAGATTTAAGCGATGATGATACATTTTTAAGTGCATCCAAGACTAAGGATAAGTCTGTAGGTGCTATAACTACTAGTGAAATTAATATGCCGGCAAAAGACGAGTTGGTGCATGAGATTAAGCCAGAAGAATTACCACACAAACTGCCAAAGAACAATGAAGATAATACCGCCGACGAAAAGGAGGAAGTTGTGCCTAAAGAGTTAGACAAATCTGAAATAAAAGTCTTAGTTTCCGAAAGTCCGCCGCCAGACGATTATGAAAGCAATCAAGATCCCATTATAACAATGGTGGCCGATGTCACAAACAAGTCACCTAAAGATCTTTCCACCACTAGAAAGCCTGCGGACTTGGCTGCTGCACAGCAAATCATGCAGAATTACTCGAATCTCTTTTCCGACGAGCCGCCGGATGACAGTGAGTTTTTCCAAACGCTTGCTAGCAGCGGTCTCAGCAGCCTAAGTGCCTCGAAGATCTTTGACAGTGAGCAAGACTTCTTTGAACCCGCCTTGCCCCAAATACCCAGTGCGACCAAGGCTTCGCCAGCGACGCCCGGGGATCAACCTTCGTCCACATCCGATTACGGCGCCATGTGCTTGTTCAGTGATATCCCGCCCGAAGACGATGACCGCGAATGTGCAGAAGCACCAAAGCAAGCTGTAGCTCAAAAGGAGGAATTTGCAGCCTCTACAACCCGAATTCATACCATTTTCTACGATGACTTTAGTGAGACAGCAAGGGCAGGAGCAGTGCAGCCAGCTCCGCAGCTCTTCAGTTTCAACGATGAACCACCACCAGCTGACGAACCTGATCGCAGCAAAGCCAAGGAGAACTCCGAGTTGCCTACTGCCACTTCTCCTGTAAAGAAACTGAAAATGCCTAACATCAACATAAATGTGCAGGCCTTGCTTCCTGGCTCCGGAGTTCGGCCCAAGCAGCTCAGGAAACAAGGCTCATCGAGTTCCGAAAGAGAAGAAAGTGAGTCCATACCAAGTGCCAAGGAGAAGACTATGCCATCAGCTGATGGCAGTCTGCAGCATGTGAACAAATCTCGGGCTCGAGGACCTGCCAAAAGGCGACCCTCGACCAGGAAGGGAAGAAAGGAGAACTATGCCAAAAGTCTGCTGGATGCTGATCCGGGCGTAACTTCTTTAGCTTCATCCATAGATAGCCCTGAGTTAGAACCCTCGAAGTCTAGATCTAACAAGGCTCTCCTTTCCCAGTCAGTTGCCGATGGAAAACTGTTTTCTAATCCAGCGCATTCAATTCCCAATGAAACATTAGCTGGCTCATTTTTGGGCAGTCCTGAGGAAGCGGATTCGTTCTTTAATTCTGTCAAGACAGAGGAAGTTCCTCCCACTTCCCACTACGGAGGAAATAAGGGATCTGATCCACCCAAGTCCTATAGATCATTCTTGGACAGTCCTGATGAGGATGATCTACTGTTCAGCGCTTTTAAGAAACCGACTTCGCCTTCTGAAAATAAGGTGGCTGAAAAAGAGCCTGCTTTGCTTGTCCCACCAGAGGAGCGGCCGAGTTTGGGCAGCTCTTTTCTGGACAGTCCAGATGAAGATGATTCTCTATTTAGTGCAGTGAAAACAGTGGTGGCTCCTGCTGCTCAAAAATCAATTGCTCCTAAAGCGGACAGACAGGCTGCTCCTGCAAAAGCTGCATCAACAAAAGAAATTAAAAAGGCTGCACCGAAACTGTTTGATGACAGCGATGATGATGATGATCTATTTGCCACTGCCGCTGTGCCAGCTTCTTTGTCTAGTATCCAAACCACCAACAGCAGGTCTGTTCCAACTAAACAGTCAACCAAACCGCCGGCGGCTTCACTCTTCAGCAGCGATGATGATGAAGCGGTGGCGCCAACTAAGATTGCTCCTGCAAAGAAGTTACCCCTGAATACAAGCAAAAGCCTATTTAGCGACGACGACGATGATGATGATGACCTGTTCGGTGGAAGCACTGCATCCAAGGGCAGCACAACCGAAAAGACCAAACCTCTGGCCCGGCCTGCATCCAAACCAGCCACCAGCAGAGCCAGCACGGCAACTACAACTGCAACCATTCCCTCTAGTTCAAATGATAACCCACTGGCGGATCTTTTGGATTTGGAGTAAACACATGAATGCCTTTTATTACAAGTATGTACAGTTTTCGATCGTTTGATGGTTAGACTGTCGATCCGAGTATTGTTATCCGTATTCCTAATAACTACATATAATAAACAATGAATGTCAATATCGATTTGTTGTCGATTCTTAAAACTAAACTTCGGGATTTGCTGTGAAGAAGTCACGATGATTTAACCAGTTACTCTTTTATCAAGTTTATACGCCTGTTATTTGATTTACTATATTTACTAAATAATTTTTCTCTTGTTTGGTTAATGTTTGCAAAAAAAATTATAACGATTTATCGTGAAGTCTCTTATTTAGAACACTATTATTTGCCTTTAGTATTTGTGGCATTATTAATTTATTTATTGTACCTGCAAATATAACTGGCGCATAAACGTGGTATTGGATTCTCCCAGTGTAACTTTATCCTACGAACTGAAACTGAGTTAGTTTGTGGCTCTTTGGTCGTTATTCCGAGGAATCTCATTCTAGGTCGAGCATGTCCTACAACTAGTGAGTGTAACCTAAGCGCTGACTGATGATCGATTGGGGATCTGGAGCTCCAGTAATCCGGACTCAGAGTGCCACATCGCGGTACTTGCGGTAGTCGTCGGACTCGTTGCCCAGCGACAGCTTGCTGGTGGCCGTGATGTACGGATTGGCGTAGTTGGCATAGCCAAAGCCTCCGTAATACTGCATCTGCTGGCTGTGGGTGGAGCCGCGTCGCTGCATCGGTTGTGCCATTACGGTGCCGGCGAATCCGCCCGAGGAACTGCAATTGGAGGGCCTGCGGTAGATGCCACCCGCCTGTTGCAGGTGCAACTGATGCTGCTGCTGCTGATGCTGCTGCTGTTGATGCAGCAACATGGCCAGGTAGTACTGCTGTTGCTGCGTGTAGTTCTGGAGGAGATTATTGCCGTAGGCGGTCAGGTCGTTCTGCACCTTGCTGATCCCGTCCAGATTCTCTAGCGAAACGCAATTCCGCGACAGCTTGCCCGGTGGCGGTTGCTTGTGGCTTCCGCGCGGACGACTGTGGCCCCTCTGCTGAGCCGGTGGCGGTGTCAACTGTTTCGGCTCGATGGAGCAGTATATGGGATCGTTGCTGGCGGAGCCGATCAGCGAGGGCGGCGATGGTCGGTGCGAGTCCTGCAGATTATTCTTCAAATCGTCGATGGTGATGTTGAAGTACTTGGCGTTCTTGTCCTCCGTATCCAGCACATGTCGCGGATTGTACATGCCGGGCAGTGTGCAGCGCAGATCCATTAGAGACTGGGCGCGATGGCCACCAGCTCCTCCTCCTCCTGCCGCACCACGCTGCATCAGAGTGGCATTGTTGAACTGCTGCGCCAGAGCCGGAGCAAACATGCTGGCATTGAACTCGTTCTGGGAGCCAAACGCCTGGCTGCCGCCGCCGCCGCCTTGGTTGTTCAGACCCAATCCCATGCCAGGACCCAGTGGCATCTTGGCCGTCGTCTCGTCGCACAGCTGGTAGCCGGCGTTCTCGAATCCATTCAACCGCTGGCTGGAGCGTCGGGAATCCGCCTTGGTCATCGGCACACTGGGCGCCGGCGTCTGCAGGGAGAGCCGAGTGGCCAATCCTTGCAGCTGGCTCAGCACCTGCGTCTCCCGGCGCCACCGGATGCCCGTGGGAATCACACAGATCAGCGCAAAGCAGTTGATGATCAGGCGAACCAGATACGAGGTCAGCTCGGTTAGTCCGTGCACCGATTGCAGTCCCTGGAAAGTAAAGCAATTAAAATAGTTTCAAGCCCAACAGGAATTTATTTTATTTCACTTTAATTATTAGTTGACCAAGTTGGCTATATTGAACTCTCTTTTTTTCTACACTATTTACGTTCTTATTCTATAAAAAAAATCTTAAATACTTATTTTATAACTCCAACAATTAATTATATTTTTTTCATTTCAAATTAATACAATTTTACCAAGTTGGCTAAATTAAATTCCTTTTAATTTGTTTTTTAAAAATCCAGAAAAGTTTGAATTTGAGGGAATGTAAATAACTTGTACAAAAATCGTTAAAAAACTTTTTTTTCTTTAAAAAAAAGTAGTTAAAAACTAAAAGGCTTGAACTTGGATCTTTCACCCTTTTTGCATTTTAAAAAAGATGGCAAGAGTTTAGTTTTTTATAAACTTGTGAACGTATTGTAAATTAAAAAGGCGATTTAAATGAACTGCACAGGTACACAGCAAAAAAAACAACGAACCATTTCTACTTTTTCATGATAATTGGGTGCTCCTAAGTAAAAGTCCTGTACTAACTGATGTTTTATTACCTCCGGGTTTAGTGATAGCAGTAAGTTTTTGTAATACAAAATTGGACTTGCCGAACTCTGCTTCCTTTCTCCGTTTTTCTAATTCAACTTACCCAGTGCTGTGTGGTCATGATCATGACGAAGACCAGCTCGGGAATCGAGAGGAGGCCGATGATGCCCGACCAGGCGAACAGGGGCCAGCACAGTCCGCTGACCAGGCCGTGGATGAGGATCGTCGTGGCCACGAACATCACAAAGTAGAGCGAGCAGAGTGTGTAGGCGGCGAAGGGCAGCTCCCCGTGGGCCTCCAGTATCCAAGAGACCTCACACGAGAAGGCCCCCAGATAGACGACCTGGCGGGGAAAGGAGATTGCAACGGAACGGGCGGAGAAATGGACATGGAAATTAACCGAGATTCGCAGAAAAAAAGCGAAAACATAAATCAAAGGCAATGGCAGTCAAAGATGTGGTTGCAAAAAAATACAAAAAAAACCGGAGACAACTTTGCTCCGCAACCATCCATCAATCAATTAATGAGCTGTTACCTCTCCTCCCTCAACGACTTGGAATTGGAATTGGAATTGGACTGTCAGCTCGGCTGACGGTCAGTAAAAAAAAAAAGTAAAAATAAGATGAAATTTGTACATCTCTCTGCAAAAACGATTTCATTTCATTTTCACTTAATGGTGCAGAAATGTTTTCACACTGATAACGGTAACGGACGGACAAGCGGACAAACGGACCACAAAAAACGGACAGAAAATCCAACGATATGGAGATATCGCCACAGAAGCTACTTCCACCGACATTTTTGCACTTACCAGCAGAAGAACCGCCACCACGCAGCAGATAATGAATAGATTCGCCTTTATGAAGCGCTCCATAATGCGTTCGTTCCAAAAGTTTTGTATGCTATTGCCGTTGCCCGGCGGCCGCTTCTTCAATGAGGACGGCGACTGCTTTTCACTGGCCTTCTGATAATTCATTATTCGTGTTATTCGGTTGTTGCGGTCGTTGTCGAAGATGGTGGCAGATAGGTATGTATAGTACGTATGTGAGTGCGGTTTTTTTCGAGAGAAATTATGCTGGCTAGCGGGCGGGATGATGGTGGTGGTGGTGGTGGTGGTGATGGTGGTGGCCTTGGTTCCCCTTTTCGGAGGAGGCCAGTGGTGCGATGCGATGCGATGCGATACGAGGCGAAGCGATACGAAGCGATGTGGTGTGCACAGTTCTAGTTCTTGGTTTATGTTCGAATGGGTTTCGAGTCCAGACCGCTTGTGGGTTGAATGAAAGCGTTAAGCGGCCCAATTGAGCCGTGTCATGCTAGGTTGGTGCTGAAATGAGAATTCCAATTCGGAGGCGAGATGAGTCCATCAGTTCGATACGCGGAACAAAAGACTTAGGCAGCGAACTTATTTTGGCTGCTACACATATGAACAGGCCAAACAAAAAAAAAAAAAAAAAAAAAACAAACAGACAGTATATAGCACTCTCAGTCAGTCGGCTAACGGCCTGTGCCATATTACTAAGAAGATTTTCACTTTTCTACACAGCCGTTGCGTTGGCCAAGTCTTTTGTTTGGTCGAGCAAATATTTGACCCTAAACAAATGGTGTCGCGTGCTAAGAAGGAAGCTTCTGCTTAAATGTTAACTGGCACTGTTTGCCCGTTTGCCAGCTTGTCAGTTACGAGCCACCTTATGTCATGACAAATGAATTTGAAAACTTGGCTTTACCCAAATCAATTAATCAATTACACTCCGCTGCCAAGTTTAAGCACTCCAACCGTTTGGATCTATAGGAGTATGTCACTTTAAAAATATTTATGTTTTTTATTAATTGTTCTTTGGTTTATACTTTTTAAAATATCCCCTCAAAGCGGCAAGGTCGAATCTTGAATATAACCATCTTTTTACCCAAAATAACTTTTTGCCAGATATACCTAATTTATTAATTTTTATATTTTCCAAAAACTGTAGGTTGTTGTATAGGAAATAAATTGAACCTTAAGAAAATACAATGATTTTTCATATCGGAATGTTTTGGACAATATAATAATGGGAAACAAAAAGCTTTTTCAAAGGCATTAATTTCTTGAAATATACATTTTTGGTATTTGATAAAAAAATGTGAAATGTAATTTTAAAATAATTCCATAACATAAAAATGATGTTAAAAGTGTATTAAACTAAAAACAAGAGACCATAAAAACTTAAGCCATTTTTAAAACGTATAATAAAACCGAAAGCAACGAAAGAAACATAAAAAAATAAAAATGGTAAATGAAAGAAAAATGAAAATATGTGAAGTGAATCATGATGGGAAATGTGAGACAATTAACAAATGGAAAGTAATTCGAAGATTTATTTCAAGTCATTCAAAAGAGTCGATCCCGGAGGCACTGGCGATGAAAAAAAGCCAACCAATTATCCCATTGGCTTGCCCACGAAATCGTGTTGTGAAGTGTAAACAATTGAGACGCCTCGCCAACGCCACATCTCATCATTGAGAGCCCAGTTAACCATTTAGTCGGATACGGTAATCCGCCCATAATAGACGACACCGACATCGTCATCGAAATAGAGGCGACGAACTTGCTGAATGTCGTCAGCACGCAGGTGCGCCAAGCTCATCGCACGATGATTATGATGATTACGATGATGATGATCCAGCCGAAGGCGTATCATGGGTTTGGTCTGGCTCTAAGTCTTTCCTCTTGCTCCCCAAAAAGGAGCGACGCACCGGATATTTGCGCACCTTAAAGTGGCGGGCGGTGACTTGCCCCATTGACATTCCGCCGACGTTGCAAGTTTAGACCCCCAATTTGAAACGATCCCCCAGCCAACTGGCAATGCGGGCCCGGTTTTGGCTTTCTTCGGAGGCCGGAAAGAATTGCAAGCCAACTTTGTTTTATTGCTAATTAGCTGGACAAACTGATTCTCGCTGGGCTGTCCGGTTTTTTGGGGGGCAGAGCCATCGGGTTTTGTTGAAACGGGTTTTCAGCACTCACTCGCCGCCGGGAAAAGGTGGCAAACGATTGCGGAGCGCCCTTGACTGACTGCCACACCCATGCGGCGAGGATTACGAAATTATGCAGATCCCAAAACATCACCTGGTGTGACCGAAAAAATGCGAGCAGCATTTCAAAATATTTCGCATTGTATTTAGCGCGCTTTGGGCAATTAAATTAATTTCATTTCGTTATTGTTATAGTTGTCGTTGTGTTGCTTTTGCTGTTGCTGGTGTGTCTGCACTGCGAGTTCAATAGCATAAGTGCAACAATGGACAACAGTGAATGCATGAATAAACAACAATGCAGCAGCGGCAAAGTTATGCAAATTGTTATTATGAAGTCGATGGAAATGGAATGGAATCGAAATGAAAAGGCCAAACCAATGCGTTGCCGTTATGCTGTGCTGTGCCCGTGCCTCTGCGTTTCAAAATGCAATCATCTATTATATATCCAGCATATGTATCGATGCGATGTAAAGTAAAGTATACCTTTCACTTTATGATTATTATTGCAAGCGATCCATCCCGAATGGCAGTTACAACAGGCACAAGAAATACCAAAAAAAAAAAACTAAATGAACAATAAGCGCGGATCGTAGGAATTATCAGTCAAGCAAGAAACGATTTCTCAGCGACGCACTCACACACTCACACGCGGGCCCTCGAAATTGTTCAGCGTTGAGTCATGTGGCGTAGTATAAATTTTTTGTTTTTACAAAAGATTCGAAGTTGTCTTGTCGCTCATGCAAATTGCGTCGCCCGACTTTAATGGGGCACACCGCATAGCTACAGCCATATACATACATATGTACCAGCCATCACCCAGTGGTTCTTGGCACTTTTACTGCGCGCACAGATTAAATAAACTCGTTTTTCGGCTCATCGCAAAAAGCGAAATGCTCGTGGTACGCAATTATATTTTGATTGTTATTTAATTGTACAACGGTTAGGCCAACACCAGGTCAAGTCAAAGTTGACGGACGTGAGAATGGTCGATATGTGTAGGTCACTCACTCACTCACTGGCACTCGTGAAAAGCCGTAACGGTAAAGCTTCAAGTTGGCGCGCTCGCAAAACGGTTAAAAGTGAAAATCGAAAGACTGAGGAAACGAACTTGCGTTCGCCGAACGACTCTGCGAGCGCTGCGACGGCTACGAAGTCTGTTTGGCAACTGAAGAGCACTCCCAGCCGTAAGTTTCGAGCTAAAGCTAGAGCTCTGCTCGGCTGTGTCGTTTGTTGATTTACATTTTTTGTGTCGGTTTCGTTTGTTTTTACTGACTGCTGTGTACTGCAGCAGTAAGTTCACTCGCCCTGACTCTTGTTCCAACAATTAAATCTTAATTTCTAACTGGCAATGAAGCTGCCGGCGGGCTGGGCAACCCAGCCGGGCATTTGCATAATTTGATGCCAAAAGCCCAGACGAGAATGAGGCCTAACGGTCATACTTTTGTTTTGGGCCAGCTTTTACGGCTGATAACAAATGGTTTGGCCGCTGGAACAGCTGCCTGTTCTAATTAACGCTCGCCGGGGTTTCTTTTTCTCTCATTTTCGTTTATTCGAAATTCAATTTGTGTGTGTTTCTTTACTAGCTATTGTGCCATTGATATATATATCTATATGTGTGTTTTTCTCGTTTCATTGGGATAAATTAAATTAAAATATAGTATTCAAATGGCAACTTAAATGGATTTCAATTCCAGTCAGTCTCTGGCTATCTATAAGTATGAAAATTAGTTTAATTCATGGATCAAAACCATTAAATGCCTAGCTAATTGATAATAGCTTCATGATTGTTTCGGGGCAACTTCAAATGTGTACTAAACTAATACAGCCTGCTTCAGCTAAAACTATGCTTAAGCCGCGATAAATTTTGGCCTAATGCTGGGCAGTAGATCCATTGTGGATCGGCTCGATGGCAGCACAACCGTCTAACACTCCGCTCAGCTGGCCAATTCGCTTGATTTGGTCCATTAGTTCGGCAATCTCGGGCGTGCAGTTGCGGAACTTCCTTAAATAGGAGTAGCCACGCAGCATCTCATTGTCCAATACGCATCTGTAATGAATTTAAATAAACTATTAGCGTAGATCTTTAATTTTAAATTGCTTTTAACTCCACTCACATCAGCGCTGCTGCAGCGAAATTGCCCGTGCCCTCGAGATTCTCGAGCCACCTGTTAATTATGGTTTTAATCAGAGGATCCGTTGCTGGCAAGCATATGCGGGCATGGACCAGGGCCTCTTTGTAATACTCGTTGGCCAGGAATAGATCGATGGCTTCCGATTGCATTCCCAGACTAAACAGATACGTGGCTGCGTGCATAATAAAGCCCTTTTCTTCCATCTGTTTGGCATAAGCCCGACAGCAGTCCTGCCACAGCCTGAAAAAGTAAGTTGATTGATCAAAAGTCTCTTTATAATACAAAATTAAACCCTTACGTAAAAGACACTGAGGGAGCTACCGAGAGATGCCATTCGGTGAGCGTCTTGTTGGCCATATGCTGCTCCAGTTCCTCGCGCAACTTGAACGAAGATAAGGCCAGACAAAGAGGAGCTATGTCTCTGGTGTTCGACTGCTTCAGATTGGTCACTAAAATATTAAAATTGTCACTAAAATCCAAACCAATGTATTCAATTAACTTACACTCTGTGGCAATGAGCTCTTTAGCCATCACCTTGGTACTGAAAAGCTTCGACATGAGAACCGACTTGTCAATCTTGGCCGCATCTTCGGTAAGAACAATGGCCAGCTTCTCCAGTGCGCTCTTGTTGAGCTCTTTCTGGGCGAGGTAGAGACAGGTGCGGCTATGCTATGGGTAGAAACATCGTTAGCGTAAAGTGATAAAAGGACGCGACTGCCGACTCACAGTGAGGAAACTATCGGGCGGCTGATTGGCCTCTCGTTCCTTGCACTTTGTGCACTCCTTTGTGTTCATTTTGTTGGTCTTTTTGTCCAAGCTAAGAGCGCCCAGCAGCTCCTCCACTGGAGTCTCATGAGCTGGTGTTTCATTCCCAGGGGTTTTATTCACTTCAATCTTCTTCACCTCCTTGGTGGCAACTGGCTCAGCTTCTGGCTTGACTGCCGCCTTGCGTTGCTCCCGTCTCTGTCGCTTTTTGTCAGCCGCTGTGAGAGCTGGGGCAAAGGGCTGTGTCAGGGACTTGCTAGCCCACTTAACGTTCAACAGGGCATCCACCTTGGGGCAGATGTTACTCTCATCGCCAGACAAGGCGTCTTTAATGTTGAGCAGCTCCACGGAGAGCGCCTTTCCCGAGCACATAATTATGTTCTCGTCGGTGGGCAAAAACATTCCACACCACATGGGGCAGTGGTAGGTTATGGTCAGCGGTGGCTTCTCCGGCTCGTTGCAGTTCCACAGGCAAACCTTTCCCTCGATGTGGAACGTGAGCAGCAAATGCTTTTGGGTATGGCTCCATTTTAGCGAGGTTATCGATGCCTTCTCCGCGTTTGCCGTGAAAGTGTGCTGCGTTATCCACTTGCGCTCCGACGGCAGAAACTCCATCACGTACACGAACTTGTCGTTGCCGGCCACAGCAAACGTATTGCTGTCCAACGGATTCCAGGCTATGTCGGTCACATAACGAGCAAACAGAGCTGACTGGCGGATGAACGGCGTCCAGGACTTGTCCATTCCGGAATCTCGCTCATGGAGCTGCAGCAGTCCATCATCGGTGCCCACAAAAAGGAAGGAACCATGCAGGCTTAGATAGCTTGGCCGAGAAATGCAGTTCACAACTATGGGGTCTGCAAAAAAATAAATGCATGGTAAATTTAGACAGCATTTATATAGAAAGATTGTTGAGTTTAATAAGTAAGCTCCAGCTTTGTTCGCCTTATTTACAATATTACCAAAAAATAATCTAAGCGATCGGTTTCTAATCAAATCAGCATTAAATCCTAAATGTGCATTTCTTGTTTTTTATTGTATAAAAGTTCAAGGTTTAATGTTCCTTTTTTGTTTTACAAGTTGTTCTCATTTTAAGCAACTAATTAAATCTTGTCTTAATAGCAAGAAACCATTTAAAATTAAAATGATACCCATTGTTGTCCGAAAAGTTCAGTTTCAAAGATAATTGTGCGACCATTTTAATGGCTTACTTGAAGCAAATTAGAGTCACGGCAAATTAAAACCATTCATGGACAACTACAAAATCAAAATCGATTTCATTGTAGCCAGGGGCAACAAAAAATAACAAGTAACTAAAAAAGCTAACAAGCAGTCACGTTACACATTTTCCGTCGTCGAGTTTTTCCCCTAAAATAAATTAATTGTTCCGTTCATTAGAATGCCGCGGCACAGGACACTTGTGGACATTAGCCACCGCATCATGAAGCGCTTCCAGCAGCTGGATCTGCAGGTGGCCGAGGAGTTCGTCATCTTCGCGGTTCACCTGCTGGCCAGGGATCAGCGACGAGGTCTGCTTAAGTCCGACCTGAATAAGCCTACCGCTTGCGCCATTGAGTCTTTTGTGAACACAATAGTGGATAGCTATGTGAATCCGATGGATTGTACAATGGCCAATATGAGAATGGCGTGGGTGATGAAGAAAGGCGTCACTATAGACCTTGAGTATGTCAAGAAGCAATACGAGGAAAAGTTCCAAACAGAACTGCAGGTGCTCATCAGGGATATACTCCAGTACCCAGAGACCTGCAATAAGGTGCAGCTGGACCAGCTCTTCGCCAAGATGCAGGTCTTCGTCGTGGCCTGCTACAATCTGGGCTCGCCCAAGAACCATGTGCTGCTCAAGCTGACGGCCGAGGCTCTGAACAGCGTGATCGGGCGCAGTGATCTGCAGAACTATGTGTTGAAGAAGAAGTACCATCGGCTGGAATATCTTCAGAGATTGGCGGCTACTGTGGCCGGCATTGTGATCTATAACAACGATGGTCCCGACGGCGATCGGGAGAATGTGAGAAGTGGTGGGTGCACTTTGGTGACTCCCCCATACAATAAAACGCTTTTCTAATCCCAAATCATAAATTTGTCATCTATCTTAGTGGTTGATGATCTAGAAATGGCCCAAAAAAACACTGAAGCTGCATTTTCAGCCAGCATGGAAAGGGCTGTGAAGATGCGATCCATCTGCCAGGCGGCCCTCGATGACCTCGTGAAGATTGACCACAAGGACGAGACCTTGACCTATCGAGTGCCGCTCGAGCACCTGGACCGCCTGAACCAGCTCTCGCTGACCTACTTCATGCAGCACCGCTGTCTGACCACTCTGAGCGAGCACTACCACAGCACAGTGTACCTCATCGAAGTGGAGCAGAAGCGCTACAACTGTGTGGTGGCCAAGATTAACGACACCCTCTCCATGCGCACCGCCATCGATTCGGAGCTGGTCTTTGTAAGTGACTTGATTTTTCCCTTTGATTTGGATCGCTCTAATCCTGTTCGTTCCACTAGCCACACTTTGTGTACATCTCGCAGGTTTGGGGTAACCTGAACAACTTCCTTAACCACATTGTTGAGTTGAACAAGCTGAGGGAGCAGGTGGAGGCGTTGGTGGTCGACGACTTAATGAACCTGGTCAAGACCACTATTGCCGAGCTGCAGGCCCTGCATAAACGCATAAAGAAGCCCAAGGTTTGCACTTTTGAGGAGCGCATGGATGCTGTGAAGGAGCTGCAGACGGATGGCAACTTTTGCAGCCTCAACAAGGCGGATATAAAGGAGTTTTGCTCCCTAGCCATGACTGTAACGAATGGTTTGCTTACGCCGGCCCAAATAACCAGAAAACTTTGCTCAAATGTGGACATTACTTTCGGCTTCCGGGACGCGAGATACGCTCGCTTCGCTGAGCTCCGATTTGAGCCTTTCATAGACGCCTTTAGGAAAGTGGTTTTCAACAGTGCCAACCTGGCGCTTCTCTTTAAGCTGGACGACGTGCTGATAGCCCAGGAGCTGCAGGGCCTAATTGTTGAGCCGCCAAAGAAAAAGGATTTTAATTCTCAAACAGAAATGGTTGTCACCAATGACCTATCGCCGTCCAACTGGATTAACGTAACGTGGAATGCCTGGGACTACCATAGGGAAACTATCCACTTGGCCAACATCCGTAAGAAGCAAACTAGTGACATGCAAACCAAAATCAGCTACGGGCAGCGAAACGCCCAGAACCAAACCTACAACACTCGGCAGCATTTGTGATGAGAACAGGAAAACATACACATAAACTCACCAGTTTTTGATCTGCTTAAGTCGAAAAACCCAAACACGCGATTCACAATGAAGTAAATGTAATGGTCCTGCCACACCAGGGAGTAGACTTCCTTTTTGTGGGGCGTCCGTAAATGGGTTTTCACCTTCATGCGGTCCACATCAAGGATGCCAACCTATTGTTGTTTTGATTTTGATTTGAGTCTTCAATAAAATCGTATTAATGCAAAAACGTACTGTTCCGTCAAAGGTACCAAAAGCCAGTTCCAAGCAGTTCGGACTCCAGGCCAGGGAGTAAACATTACTGGTCACATAGACGCTATCGATGGGAAGGCAGCTGGACGAAAGCTTTGATATATCAAAGAAGGCCACCCGGCGGTCCGAACAGCCCAAAGCGATTCTAATCGAGTAAAGGATAAATCAGTTTTGAGCCTTTGGCGATAGAATTTAAGCTCACTTGTTCATATCATCCGGACACTCGGCCATCGCTCGCACTCCGAATGCCACAGTGCCGTAGAAGGCACTCACTTGGCCGGTCAGGGGATTCATCATTCCAATCTGACGATTGTTCCTGCAGAGCCAAATCATCTCTTTGCTTGGATCACAAGAAATCGACACAATGTCCTGCAGCTGGCAACTGTGGGCTCTGTCCCTGCTGATCTTGTAGCGCAGCATCTTCCGCTCGAACTCAAGTGACCAGAAGAACAACTGATGGCGGCTCAGGGAAACAATTACCTGGTCGTTTAGCCAGTACACATTGTTAAGCTTGCCTGGGAAGAAACATGGTTAATTGATTATTGTTAATGGCTTTGCAAAACGCCTTACCTGCCGCCTTGCTCTTGCTGTAGTTCTTGCCCGCATGCGCTCCTGTATTCGTATTCCAAATCATCATCACCTCATCTCCATCAATGGAAACCAGTAAAGTGTCCAATCGAGAGCTGTTTCCAGAAGCCGAGCTGATGGTCTCCATGCTGATGGCCGGCACCACTTGGAGATTGCTAGCCGGCTCGGTCTTTGGCAGTGGAGCTTCTGAGGCATGTACCTCGGCCTGGTGGTAAATGTGATGCAGTACTTCTCTTTTGGGTTTGGCCGCCTCGCCATCAACAATCACGGCATCGTCACTGGAGGAGCTGTACTGGATGACCTCGAGACTGCCTTCGGTGGAATCGCTGACATCGTGTTTGTTGCTAATGGTGCTGGCATCACTCAACGGACCGGTGGGCTTTGTGGGCTCACAGTCGGTTAGGGTGACCTCCACGTGCTGGGTGTTTTCCTCTTGACGATTCGCCAACAGATCCGCCTTTACGCTTTCGCAGGCTTCAACGAAATCCAGGGCAGCGGCTCCGGCTGGCTTCTCCAGGCCCACAAACCCGCCGCCGCAGTCTTCAGAGGATTGGCGACGCGCAGCGACAGGTGCTCCGAACTCGCCCTCCAGGTGATCAAAGTTGTAAATGTCGAACAAGTCGTCGGACTCGGCTGCCCGGGATTTCGACAGCGGTGGTGGCTTCGCCTTGGGCTTCTCATTCTGTTCCCCATTGCGGCTTCGCCATTGTTCGGCCCTTGAGGCCAGATTGTTGAGGTTCTCCTCCTGCGGAGCAGGCACCTCCCGCCAGGCCAGGCCGCATATGGGCGCCTTGTGGCCGTGGAACTTGTAAACGATGTTCATTTTGCGCAGGTCGCAGACCAACACGTTGCCCATTGCTGTTCCCACGGCGAACAGGTTGTCGTTGTAGGGGGAGCAGCGCACCATGGTGAGCTGGTGGTTTCGGGGCGAAATGAAAGTGGGTCGGCGGCAATAGGTGTTGGAGGCGACGCAGTAGATGACCAGGTCGCTGGCGTCCATGGAGAGGATATTGCCGTTGGCCAGGTAGCTCATCAGAACGGAACTGGTGGTGTGGTGTACGGCACGCACATCCCGTGCCTCGTGCTGATGCTGGTGGGCCTTGTGGCCGATGATGGCCTCTCCCAGTCCGCAGTCCCAGACCTGGACGCTCAGGTCATCGCCGACTATGGCGAATGGTTTAGCTGGATTCCCATTTGCATTTCCGCTGCCATTGCCTGTATTGCCCCACATGGGACTCACGTCCAGGGCCAGGATATTGATGCGCGTCGACATGGTCACCACTTGGGGCTGCTCGCCGCTCGCCGGTGGAGCCGATATGTAGTTGATGCAGCGTATGCCGGCGTACAGCAAACCGCCGTCGGGAGCGGCTGCCGCCAAGGATACGTTGCCCGGCGGAGTGGGCACATTGTGGTACATAACCTGCGAGTTCATGGCGATGGATCACAACTTGGCATTAGCAGAAATAAGGACAATTTCCCGCTAACATTTGGCGTCGAGATTTTCTTCCAAGCCTCTAGTGTTAGTAAGCTTCGCAAGCTTTGCTAGCGCTGCCACCCTTTGGTAGAACAGCATCAAGGGAATGTTTTCGTAGGGCTCTATTCGGAAAAAAAATGTTGGAGAAGAGTTTTCACCGGCAGCAACTAATTATGAGCGACTTTAACCATAAATATATATGATAAATTAAATTATAAATTAAATGTTGCCTTAGTTTTAGCAATTTACTTTTAAATACGATTTGTTTTTTTACTTAAAAAACACTGCTTAGCCAAGCAAATAAATCATAAATCCAGCTTTACTTGTACCAGTAACGTTTACCAACTGATTTGGAAATTCGAACCAAAACTGATCAAATAGCTTTAAATTGTATTTTAAATTTAATGAACCCGCTATTTACTGAGATTTTAATAATAGTGTTTTCTGAAGATCTGGCAGCCCTATAAAATATCATGCTTGCCAATACTAAATCCCGGTGAATGGCTACCAGCAGGTAGAGAAGAAGAAGACTCACAATAACAACGCAAAAAAAAGGAGAAAACTCCAGCAAAACTAGTAAACTTGCCGAGAAAATAAAGAAAACAAGAAACAATGGATGCAAAGCGCGAGAGAAAGTCGTCCCTGGTATGTAGATTGAAAATCAGTTAAAAGGAACGAGAAAACCCTGACCGGAGTGTGATTTTCAGGCCCCACTTTCGCCCTGTCCCATCCCGGACATTACCGATGATGACCTGGTGAGCATTTCAGTGCGGGATCTCAACCGCACACTCAAGATGCGCGGCCTGAACCGCGAGGAGATAGTCCGGATGAAGCAGCGGCGGCGTACTTTGAAGAATCGCGGATACGCGGCCAGTTGCCGCATCAAGCGGATCGAACAGAAGGACGAGTTAGAGACCAAGAAGTCCTGCGAGTGGACGGAACTAGAGCAGATGCACGAGGACAACGAGCAAGTGCGTCGCGAGGTGGGCAACTGGAAGAACAAGTACAAGGCGCTGCTGCAGTTCGCCATCCAGAACGAGATTCCCATTCCGAGCGAGCTGGAGGGCTGCTGATTTCCCAGTCACATTCCACCTGTCTGTCAAAATTTAAATAAACCCCAATGAAAACACCTGTAACTAAAGTACAATAGCGAATTTTCCCCTTTTAATAAAACCAATCGACTTTCTGTATCCACTGGAACACCCTGTATTTTGCGAGCATAAACAAAACCCGTGTCGGCGTTCGCTGTGAATGCCAAACGAGCCGGGGCGCACAAGGAACACGGCCAAGAAAGCTGGTTATGTATTCACCTCGATAGCTCCTCGGTCCTGTAGTTCATCCAGCCGGACCCATGGCATTTCGCTTCTTTGGCAAGTCCCTCCTCTACGCACTGCCGCTGGGAGTCACTTTTCTGGACTGTGTTGGATATGTGGCCAGGGTGGATGGTGAGTCCTTGTCGGAGGTTCCTTTTGTGATCCAACCAAACCCGCTTGATTCGCCCGCAGGCATATCTATGCAGCCCGCTCTCAATCCAGTGCCGGATGAGAAGGACTACGTGTTCCTGCTGCGCTGGGGCACCCACAACAGCCAGGTGGAACGCGGCGACATAATATCCCTCATCTCGCCCAAGGATCCCGCCCAGAAGATCATCAAACGCGTGGTGGGGCTGCAGGGCGACGTGGTCTCCACGCTGGGCTACAAGCACGAGATCGTGCGCGTTCCCGAAGGTCATTGCTGGGTGGAGGGCGACCACACGGGCCACTCCATGGACAGCAACACCTTCGGACCCGTGGCCCTGGGCCTGATGTCTGCGAGGGCAGTGGCCATTGTCTGGCCACCGGAACGCTGGCGGCTGCTGGAGAACGAGCTGCCACGCCGTCGAAGGCCCATCCAGGCCTCCAAAAACACCAGCAACTACTACAACTAGACTGACCACCACCTGGCGGAGGGTCTGCGCCCCAGATAGTTCCAATTGTGTACATACTTACAGAAATACCCGTATATTTTATAATCAATTGTTGTGTTCCCGCATGCGAGGCAAGCTAGGATGTTCTAAATTAAAACTGAAAGTAAAAAGCCAAAGAAAATTGCAAATTTTAAATTGATTTAGTTATTTTTTTCTCAAAATGGTTATACCAAAATTTAGGCATACACTTACTTTCAAATGTTTTACTCGAATTAAATCTGCATAAAACTTAAGTTCTTTAAAATACCCTTCGAAAATGTAGTCAACAAATTTGCGCATTTACATAAGAATATTATTGTCCCAAGGTTCTCTATGTTGCCTAAAAAATAATAACAAATCAAGCTCTGGAAACATATATACTCTCGGTAAAAGGTAATTTTACTTGAATTTTCCTTTGTTCTATTCCAATTTTAAGAATATTACTTAAAACATTACTCGATTTATCAAAATCAAGGTAACAAAGCTTAATTTACTCATGATGTTTTGATATTTCCTTTCACAGCAGTTGCATTTAAAAAAAAAAATAAGCTTGAATTTTAAATTTAGTTTGGTCGAATCTGATGTATGAATAATATAATATTAAATTAAACTTTTACATTTCTCAGCAACGTAATATAAAAGCAAACAATCAAGACAAATTTAAGCTTGACAATAATAATGTATTTGGATAGCTCCATTTATACTAAAGCATTTTCCGAGACCGGATGCCAAATGCCTCCATCAGGGCGAGGGTCTGCTTCAGGGCCACTCCTGCCCGCACAATCTCGTAATAGCCCGGAGTGGCCAGGTCAATGACCGTTGAGGCTAGACGCCGTTCCTCGGTGAGTCCAATTTGGCCGGCGTCGAAGACGGCGCCCAATTGCGGCCACAGGGAGCGGAACTCTGAGACTTCCAGGCTGCTGGGCGCACTAGAACGATTGGCGCTGGTCAGGGCCAACGGCTGCTCATGCCACACGGCGCAGAGGTCGCGCATGAACTTGAAGTCCGGAATGCGAATGCCGATCTTGGAGGTGCTGGGATTAAGGAACCGGTTGCTCAGCTGGGGCGTCCGCTCGATCACGATGGTCAGGGGGCCCGGGAGCAAACGAGTTAGCAGCTCGTCGCTGAGATGGGCAGCCTGACCAAAGCGACGCAGGGCGGCGATGTTGTGTACGCAAATGGCCACCGGTTTGTGCTCATCCCGGCCCTTGATCTCGTACAGCCGTTGGATGGCTGCCTCGTTGTTGGCATCGCAGGCCAGCCCATAAACGGTATCGGTGGGCAAGGCAATAACCTGTCCACTCAGCAGGCACTGACGGGCCAGCTGGAGAGCCGCCTCGTCTCCAACCGGACACACTGGAGTGCTTAGCTCACTGACTCGATGCTGCATCCTGGTCGACTTGTGGTGAGCCTGGACAATTCGGAGCAGCTGTGTCTGCAGGCGGCGCATTAGTCCCGCCAGGTGTGGTTGCACTCGTGGTTGCAGCACTTGTAGAACGTGGTCATGGGCTCGTCGGCCGATCGAGTCTGGATTTGCATAAAGTAAGCACGCTTATGGCTGCACGTTGGACACTCCGCATCCGTCGAGTCCACGTTCTCCCAAGCCGCTTTGCCGCCCAGAACGTGGTCCACCTCCTGCAATTATAGAAAAATACGATAGTATCACAAATACCACCCAAATTGCATCATCCAGCGGCAACCGCCGATTTTACCTTAAGGCGAGGGAAGGTCTTTGTGGAGATCTTACGCCTGATCTTCGATATATAGGGGCAGGTGTTGCACGTGAAGCGGTGGCAATTCGTGTCCTCCTCAATAATCAGTATGTTTCCGCACGACGGGCAGAAAAACAACATAATTCCGGAGAATCCGCGTTTGTTTTCTATTGAGCACGTTGAGCGCTCCTTCACAGTGTGGCCATATCCAACGTTTAAATGTAACTGGTTTAAATATACCACAAAAATACCGAGATTAGTGTATTTTTGGTCAAATTACAACCGTCTCCACTATCCGTTTAAAATAATTGTTGCCAAGGTAGAATTATAGCTAATAATTTATTCACAGCTGATGGCGAATTGGAGATTAGATCTTGTCAGTCGGGCGTATTGAAAATGGCATCAGTAATATTAAGCAAATATTGTCATTGATATATTTCGCATTAGTTAGATCAGTAAATTCCTCAAATTTTTTACCTTTGAAAGAATATTTAGCTTTTATGGGTAAATTTAATTTATTTTGCTTAATAAGTACACCAAATAAATAAATTCCAGGAGTGCCCTGTTTAATATTGCGGTGCATATGCTGGTAATCTGGCAGAACCAGTTTTCCAGAGTCAGAACACAAAATAACAGTTTTCCACGAAAACATACCGTTGTTATTTGCCACCCAATGCCAACCTAATGCTCCTATTTTTTTCAGGAGCCGAAAATCTAACAAATTTGTCGATAAACATATTTTCTGCAAAAGAAGTATGACCAGTTATAAACATTTAAAAAATGTTTGCGTTTTCAGGCCACATTTGCGAGGCGTTTTAGTATTCTAGGGGTTAAGAACGTTAACCACACTGCCACACTACTTTAATCGCAACCAACTTCACTTACTTTACTTTTCTAAGAAACGTGTAACGAGCAACACCTCGTTCATAAAACACTGACTAAAATGTAAGTAATTAAAATAAACAACAGTAAGGGATTGCAGCAAATATAACTGCGAATAGAGTTCGTTTGGCTTGTTTGCAGAACTCAATGTTGCAAGATCAATTTGTGATAAGCAGGGAAATGCACTTCACCACTTGCAACTCAAATTGCAGTCACGTGGTTTAGCATCCTTTGCCATCTCAACAAATTTAAAATGGAATTAAAACCATACCTAACTATGCAATCATTTACTTTGCAGGTGATTCAGTAGTTTTTGGGTGCTACGTGCATACGCTGGCAACTGTGAATTGGTGAGTTGAATACTTTAATAAATATTAAATATATTTCAATGCGAACATGAGTCGCTGGTGTAAAGAAACACAACTTTAGCTAGTGCTTTTTACTTGTTCGTAGATCAAATTTACTTTGCCCAAGCATAACCCAAATTTTTAATACCCGAATTTGCGGTGCATATTCTTTTCGTGAAGCCGACATTTACTCTACCTTTAAAGATGTTTTTTTTTAGTATTCAGTCAGTTATTAATTCAAGAATCCTATTTTTACAGAAACAAAATGGAGTTGGAATCACCCAACACGTGCTTTACGGAGAAAGGATGAAAATGGTAGGTATTCATACTAACGTTTTAAAAAATGAAGTCATTCTATGATGATTTATTATTCTATTTTCTGACATCTCTTATGAACCGTTGTGATTCAAATCAGTTATAACTAATTCTGAAGTTTTCCATTAAAACCATGTAATTAATTTGTTTGTAGCCATTACTTATGAAAACTATTATTTGCAGATCCATCGTCCAAATTTTGGGTCCATATGGCGCTCATCAGTCAGCGTGGAGGTTTAAATGATCCAGAAGTTTAAATGGTAATTTGCATTCCTAAATAAAGAAATAAAATCAACTCTTAAAACTATCTGATGAATGAAACTTACACCATCTTTCGACTGAAAAATGTATTGATGCTATACAAGTTATCACTGAATTTTTTCGCAACTCACAGAATTTTGTATTCAAAAACCAAATTTTTCTAGTTTTTAATTAATGCGCTTATTTTATTTGCAGTAGGAACGACATTGGATTTAACCATCCCATGACAAAATGTGGCCTAGAACTCTTCTGAAAAGGTAATTAGGTTTAAATTCTAAAACACATCCAAAATATGAATTGTCTTAATTAGTCTCAATAAATAGTATCTAAAGCTTTCGTTTAAAGATGTTTGCATATAATATTGTGATGAATGAAACTTACACCATCTTTCGACTGAAAAATGTATTGATGTTATACAAGTTTTCACTGATTTCATATTAAAATGTCACATTTTTTATCTTAAAATAAATTTTGTTTGGCTCAAATTTACCAATTATTTAAATTTCTTATATTGCAGTAAGGCTGGATTTTCATATTAGATGAGCAATTTAAAACCATTTCATTAATAAGGTAAATATTAATCAACTTTAAAATCAAAACCTAAATTCAATGATGCTTTAATTTTCTGACATCTCTAATGAACCTTTGTGATTCAAACTTTTTAATACAATTAACTGATGACTCTCAAAAATAATTTTTTATTTAGTTTGCGTTTATTTTACTAAAATCGTTTTTCCCCCCATATTTTACAGACTACTAAAATTGGATGAGAACAAAACCCAATGAAGCAGAATATTGCTAAAAGGAAACTTGATCCAAGGTTAGTATTAAACCATTTTGGTTTAAAAAAAAGAATGAAGACTTCAATGATGATATCTAAACCATTCACAGACAACATATAAAGGTTAGGCTCTGACAAACTTCTCCAATATTTTTTTGGAGATAGGGAGTCTTGCTTAACTGGTTATGGGCCCTGGTTAAAAAATTGGCACTGAGCTCCTTTAAATATATAAGAATTTATTAATTATCTGGGCAATGAAACTAATGTTGACTGTTTTTATCTTTGCAGGTTTGGAATCCTTGGAGAAAACTATGTTAAAACCATACCAATAAATAAAAAGCTCTTGAAATGTTAAAAATCGTTTTTTACTAAATTTGCTCGCTCCCGTAGGGCCAGTTCCTGGTCCTGCTTGGCAATCATTCGCTCGCCCTTGGACTTTTTGCCTATGCCCAGCTTGGGCAATCCTCTATTCAGACCCTCGAGAAGGACACACGCCTTGCAGGGCTGTTGTGAGGAAACGAAGCCACAGCGAGTGCATATGCCACGAACTGGTTTCTTCACGGTGTCCTTGAATCGCAGCTGCTCGCCGGAGTAGATGATGTCCATGATAACCGAAGGTCGCACCTTCTCCAGATCTTTGAGAAAGGCTCGGGCATGGCCGCGATACGCATTGGGGGCAAATACACATTCCGTGGAGAAGTAGACAAGCTTCTTGTAGTGGGCATACATCACGATCTCCTTCTCGTAGCTGTATTTTAGGGGCTTCACACGTGGAATGGAATCCTCGCCGCCGCCGGTCCGAATGTCTGTGCAGCGACGCAGGCGTGCCGTGTCCCCACGGAGCACATTCATCAGCACCGTCTCCGCAATGTCGTCGGCGTTGTGGCCCGTGGCTATGCTGTCCACGCCCAGCAGCTTGGCTCCTCGATCCAAGGCCTGTCGGCGGAAAACCCCGCAAAAGGTGCAGTTGTTGGAGCGCCCGATCTGCCCCACAATGCGGTCCATGGTCCAGCCGTAGAGCTCCTCGTAGGACAGGATCTTCAGGGGCAGCTGGTAGTCGTCACGGTTCTGCTTGACCGTCTCCAAACTGTCGTCCCGATAGCCAGTGATGCCCTCGTCAATGGAAAGGAGCACCAGTTCCAGGCCATAATCGTGGCGTTCGTTTAGCAGTTTCAAGCTGAAAGAAATGGACGTGATTAAAGAGGTGGGATAAGGGAAAATCTACAACATACACATGCGCCAGGACAGTGGAATCCTTGCCTCCACTGGCCGCCACGGCCACCTTCTCACCACGCCGAAACAAGTGGCTGGAGGAGATCGTGTGATGGATTTCCGCCTCGAAGGCGGCAAAAAAGCACTCCTTGCACAGGGCATCGCCGGTTTTCGGTCGCTATAGGTACACATTATTAATGGGATTTCCTGAGCATAGATAATTTGACAACTCACTTTCAAAGCAGCCCGATTTCCGCACTGGGACTTGCAGTTTATGGGCATTTTAACATAAATTTAACACACAATTTGCTGGAAGCCAGCTGTTGCACTTTCAGCACTGACCAGCACTGGCTTTTCCCACAAGTTGCCCAACACTTGAAATAGTAAAGAAGAAAATAAACATTTGTATTTACAATGAGTGGCGGAAAAGAGCTAAAAGCCTTGATTAAGGACATCCGGGAGACGTTAAAGCTGGGCAAGCACGCGGAGGCCATACCTAAGTGTCAGGTAATGTGACCGCTGAAGGGTATTCCTATTGCTCATTGTCCTAATCACATTTATTGCAGCGCCTGCTAAAATCGGATCCCAAGAACGCCATGGGCTACTTGTTGCTCGGGGCCGCCTACCAGAATATAGACAAGGCGGAGGCAGCCAAGAACCTGAGGCAGTGCATCGAGTTCACGGAGGGACCCGCCACCGCCGCTCTCCTGGGTCTGGCCAACTGCGCGCCCAGCAACGAGCTGCCGGAGATCTACGATCAACTGGCGGATCTGCAACCGTAAGGAATTAATCATATAACTTTTAGATGATACCTGTGTCTCATTTGAGGAAGTTCAAATGTCTACTCAGTCTGATTAGGAAAGGTATATAATATAATATATAATTTCTTGCAGATGAAATTGGCACAAAATTACCTTTTTTGTTAAAGTATTTACTAACAAACGAAACTTATTCTTAATTTATTAGAGAACAATCCTTGGACTTTTGGGAGAAGCTTTTCAACTTGGCTTCAGATTCAAGTTTGGCACCCGCTTGCTTTGCTGTATTAAAAAAGAGGGTTAAAAACCCAGAGGACAAAAATTATGGCAAAATCCTGGAATACCTGGCACGCATTTGGTTCGCCAACGATTTTGAAGTCACACCAGAAGATTCTGAACTTGTACGTAACGTAACCTTAACATAAGCTTATTAATATTGATACTCCTTAATCCTAAGTATAAAACAACGATGGAAGCTCTGCTGGCCAGCGGTGATTCAAATGCCAAGAGCGTCGTCTACAAGCGCTACCTTAAGTGGCTCTACAAGGAGAAGGATTTTGTGGCCTGTGTGCGGCACGCCTGCAACATGGTCGAATCTCATCCCAAGGATGTCTACGGCTTTGAGTGGATATGCAAGACGTACTGCGAAAACCACGATCAACCAAACCGAGATCTCTGGCAGCAGGAGTTGAGACATCCCATCCAGGTGTACGCTGAGCAACTGCTGCAACTAAATCCGAACTCCAACTTGGCCCTGTTGATCAAGGCACTGGACCTTTATGTTGAGGGGCAATTTGTGGCATCCAGACAGTTGGCGCTGCAAGCGCAGCAAAGCCATCCAGCGTACAAGGTGACGCTGGAGCTTTTAGCCAACATCCACATGGAGCTGGGCGCCTACAAGCTGGCTCTTCAGCTGTGGCGGCAGCTTGGGCAGGAAAACGAAGCTTATGCTCTGTGTTTAGCGCACGAAAAGGAGAATTCCCAATTGAGAGAAGGAGTCAGGATGTTGCAAACGCTCGAGAAGTCAGAGTGCAATGTAAAGGCTTTAGCTCGGTGAGACATCAAAAAAACATTTGCAAATCTTTTATTATTACGCATGTTACTTTTTTTAGTTGCTACTTCAAGCTGGGTGAGCTGCAGCTGCTGAAAGATTTACCTCTGGATGAGCTTTCCAAGGCAGAATATCTCTTGTAAGACAAGTCACTCTTTGATTTTAGTAACACACTAATAAAAACCTATTTTAAATTCATGCTAGGTCCCCCGCTGAAGCTCTTCGGGAAATTGGCAACCAAGAGTCCTTCGAGGCTCAGCTGCTTTGTGGCAAACTGCACATGCAGCTAAAGAACTATTCAGATTCCCTGAACTGCGTGCTGAAGGCCACTCGTCTGCGTCCGCACTTCGCCGAGTGCTTCGACTATCTGGGCAGGCTGTATCCGCTGGCAACTGGGGACTTGTCACGTGCCCGCAAGTGCTATGAAAAGTGCATCAGTCTCAATGCCCTGGCCGAGGAAGCTGTCGATGCGCTGAGTTTCATCTACCAGGAACTGGGCGAGGAGGAGCTAAACGAGACGCTTCTTCTAAACACTTTGCGGCATCTGGGCAGCGACGAATCAATCCGACTGCAGTACAAGCTGGGACTGCACTTTTTGCAAGTGAAGAAGTGGGACAACGTGGGTGACTAGCAGGTGATCTTTGAAATATCCCCTAAAAGAATTTTATTGCAGGCCATCCAATGCTTCCGGATTGCCATCAAGCACGACTCGCGCTGCATGGTCTACTGGGAGTCGTTGGGCGATGCTTATGCCGCGCGTGGATCCTACAACTCGGCAATTCGGGTCTTCCAAAAGATTCTCGAGCTGTCCCCGGAGAATAGTTATGCTCTGCTCCAAATAGCCTCTATTAAAACGGTATGCAAATATGAAACTAGATACTTAACATAACTAATTTCTTTCAATTTTAATAGACAATTCGCATGTATTCCGAGGCAATTGAAGATTACGATACGCTGCTAAGGCTAAATCCTAGTTACCTGCCTGGGTTAAGAGGTGCAGCAGAGGCGCATATTGGCTTGGCGAACAGTTTTAAGAGCCAGAACTTGTATGGCAGGTCAAAGCAGCATTTTCAATTAGCTGTGGGCCACCTTCAAAGGTGGGAAGATCATCTCATGTCTAACTATTTATGGTTTTAAGTAAAGTTTTTTTTGTTACAGTGCCTTTCTTCAGCCAGAGGCACAGAGCATGGTCTGGCTGTGGCGCCTCTCGGCCAGCGTGTTCGTACAAACGGCCCAACTACCGCCCTCCTTGGCCAACTTGGATGTGGCTGGAAGTCTGGCCAAGCGCGATGAACCCATTGCGTATCTGTCGCGCAAGGATCTCCTGCAGCTGGCTCAACGCTTCTATCTTTGCGCTTTGAAGCTGAAGCAGAACACCTACCTGTGGTATGAGCTGTCGCTGGCTAGCTACTACAGTGCCCTCTTCATTCCTGAGGAGGCCAAGGGTCACCTGGAGACAGCGGCAAAGGTATGCAAGATGGCCATCAAAGAGCGGAGCAATCGATGGCAGAATTGGAATCTACTCGGAGTGATCAACATGCATTCTGAATATGAGAATCTGCCGCTGGCACAGCACTGCCTCATTCAGGCGGTGGAGCTGGAACGGAAATGTTTCACGGCTTGGACCAATCTCGGAGTGCTGTACATCCAGTTGAATGAAACCCGACTGGCCAATGAGGCCTTCAAGCGAGCCCAGCAATCGAGTCCCGTGTACGCCAACGCTTGGATAGGCCAGGCCATCCTGGCGGAGACGATTGGTGACCGCGAGGAGGCCTTCGACCTGTTCCGCCATTGCCAGCAGTTCGATTACCACCCGGAGTCGGCTCTCGGTTTCGCGCATTGGGTGTGCGAGATGCTATCGGATCCGGAGTCTCGGAACAAGCAGCACATCAGGCATGCCATCGATCACATGTACGCGGATGTCTATGCACTGGATGCCATCAATTGGTAAGTACTAATGTTTCATAACCTAACTCTTTAAACATCTTTATAATTTAAAGGTACGTGCAAAATGAGGAGGCAGATGCTAGTATCGCATCGCTGTCGTTTCAGGGATTTTTGTACGCCCGGAAAAAACTGTATCGTCAAGCGATCGAAGCATTCACCCGCGCCTGCAACATATGCCAGCCTGGAGCGGATCGAGACAAGCTCTATACGAATTTGGGATACCTCTATCTTAAACTTGACCAACCGGAGCAGGCAGTAAACGCACTAAACACTGTGGCCCATGCCACATTTAAACCAATTATTGGCCTGGCCCAGGCGTACTACCGATCCGGACAGCTGCAGGAATCCTATTCGATTTACAACTCTGTGTTGAGCAACGTGGTGGGCCAAGATGATGATAAGGCGGCCACCATTCTGGTGGCCATGGCATCCATGATATACGCTTTCCAGGGAGAAGCAGACACTAAAACGCTACTCTGTCAGTGGTTGGTAGCGCGTACTTAATCTAGTTGTTCTACTTTTATAATGATTTTATTTTCGAAAGTGTCCTGTTAAAGGAAGTGCCCATTCAGGCCCTGTACTCTGCCTTTGCCTTGGGCATAATTCATAGGGATAACGAGTTGAGCCAGACAATAATGACAGAGCTGAGTGCGTACGCTTTCAAGGAGGAGTATTGTGCCGAGGTGTCCTACCTGACGGCCAACTATATCCTGATAAACGTGTGTTTGATGGCCGGCTTGTGTTAGTTTCAAGAAACTAATGATATCAATCTGTTTTTAGGAGGGTGCACGCAAGGCGTTGTGCTATCTACAGTCCCGAGTCCGAATGTATCCCCATTCCGCTGGACTTCGCAAGGTGTTGCTTAAGTTTCTTCTTGACTATTTCCTGGAGGAACGGTCCCATCAACTGGCCACCTCGAACATGGCTCTGATAGCTCTTACACTGGGCCATACCAATCAGCAGAATGGGTAAGAAAGGGGGTTTCAATATAAAGTGTTTTATTTCATTGATGATTTTTAATCATCATAGCATATTGGCCAGCGAGGAGGCACAGACGACCATCTATGCCAGCCAGGCCGTGAGTGCAGTGGACAAGGTCTGCTCCCTGAAGCTGGTGCAGCGCGCAATCCGACTGAATCCCGCAGACCAGCAAGCCAGGCAATTACTTTCCGCCATATCGGCTCATTGATAATAATACCCAATAAAAATTGCGATTTGAAATGCTTTTTTTTGCCGCCAACTAAGACAGTGTTGGGAAGCACCAAGATGCAGTGTGACCGCACTGATGGCTTTAACGCGAGGGTCACACTGCGTCGGGGGTGAAGCCAAGTCCACGGAAAACAGAAAAGCGCATAAAAAGCGAAAAATGTGTGTGAAATAGTGAAAATGCGGAAGAAATAGCAATGCCAGAGATCCAGAGTGACAATGTGCCGCACAATTAGTCCGAGATTTACCTTTAAATCGCTGTGAGGCGCCTACACTGCGCCCTGCATACCTGCATATGAAAACCTGCTGCCGCGGCCATAATTACAGTTAGACACTAAAATAGCTGCACGGTCAGGTTGCGAAGTGATTTGGGGCACTCAGCTTGGCGAGAAGGGGGATTCGGGATCGGGATCTGGTGTAGCCCACGCACGCTAGCCTCGTTGGAAAATGGAAAACGAATCCGTCAAGTCGGAACACAGTGGACGCTCCAGACGCTCGCGAAATCACAACAACAACGGCGGAGGGGGAGGAGGAGGAGGTGGTGGCGGCGGAGGCGGTGGGGGCAGTGTAAACAACGGCTATCACAGGGAACGGGATCGTTCCAGACACTCGCACCGCAGCACCCACTCTTCCAAGTCGGGCAAGGGATTCCAGCGAGGTGACATGGCGCCCTACCAGACCAGCGTTAACATGACAGGTAAGTTCCATGGAGGTAGTGGTCCATAAACAAGCAACTAACCCTCTTTCGCCGACCAGGAGACGGCAGCCACGATGGCCAGGAGGTCATCGAGGTGCAGATCCTGCCGCAGGACGAGAATTGGGGTGAGAACACCACCGCCGTCACGGGCAACACATCCGAGCAGAGCATCTCCATGGAGGACATTAACAACATGTGGCACCGCGAAAACGACAAGGGCTTCGGCTTTGCCTGCCGGCGCTACGTGGAGTCCAGCTTCTACTTCCTGCTGGGATGCGGCACCTTCTTCTCGCCAGTGGCCATGGTGGTGATGCCCTATGTGGGCTTCTTTCCCTCGGCCTTCGACCATCCGGAGCTGACGCAGACGGTGCGCACCCAGCTGCTGGCCTGCAGCGAGCAGTGCAAGGGCCAACTGGTCTCCCTGGCCGCTCGCCTTCTGCTCCTCGCCATCGGCCTGTGGGCGGTGTTCATGCGACGAACTGCGGCCAGCATGCCGCGCATTTTCCTGTACCGTGCTCTGGTCCTCCTGCTGGTCACCATCTGCACGTTCGCGTACTGGCTCTTCTACATCGTGCAGGTCACGAACGGGGCCAAGATCGTGGTGGAGACTGGCGGTGATGCCGTGGACTACAAGTCGCTGGTAGGCTATGCCACCAACTTTGTGGACACGCTGCTGTTCATCCACTATGTGGCCGTTGTTCTGCTGGAGCTGCGCCACCAGCAGCCCTGCTATTACATCAAGATTATCCGCTCCCCGGACGGAGTTTCGCGCTCGTACATGCTGGGCCAACTGAGCATTCAGCGGGCGGCCGTGTGGGTGCTGCAGCACTACTACGTGGACTTCCCGATCTTCAACCCGTATCTGGAGCGCATCCCCATCTCCGTCTCCAAGTCGCAGCGTAACAAGATATCGAACAGCTTCAAGTACTACGAAGTGGACGGGGTGAGTAATTCGCAGCAGCAAAGTCAGAGCAGGGCGGTTCTGGCGGCCAACGCCCGAAGGCGTGATTCCTCGCACAACGAGCGCTTCTACGAGGAACACGAGTACGAGAGGCGCGTTAAGAAGCGACGTGCCCGCCTCATCACGGCCGCCGAGGAGGCGTTCACCCACATCAAGCGCATCCATAACGAACCCGCTCCAGCACTGCCGCTCGATCCACAGGAGGCAGCCTCGGCGGTCTTTCCATCGATGGCCAGAGCTCTGCAAAAGTACTTGCGGGTTACGCGCCAGCAACCGCGACACACTTTTGAGAGCATCCTGAAGCACCTGGCACACTGCCTGAAGCACGATCTGTCGCCGCGCGCCTTTCTGGAACCGTATTTGACCGAGTCGCCGGTGATGCAGAGCGAGAAGGAACGCCGCTGGGTGCAGTCATGGTCGCTCATCTGCGACGAGATCGTCTCCCGGCCCATTGGCAACGAGTGCACGTTCCAGCTGATCCAGAACGATGTCTCTTTAATGGTCACTGTGCACAAGCTGCCGCACTTCAACCTGGCCGAGGAGGTGGTGGATCCCAAGAGCAACAAATTTGTGCTAAAACTGAACTCCGAAACCTCCGTATGACACCACCACAATGCCCCGCCGATAATAACGCCCACGCACAGCAACCAGACACAATCGTCATATCTGCATGTGTTTGTTTGATAATCCCAACTTTATTTCCTTCCCATTCCTATTTCAATAACAGTTCAGTCAATCGTACTTAATTCCGTGATTCGATTTTAAACTATTAATACTCTTTTACATGCCACAAATTCCATCATAATCAATCAAATTATGCAATCAAAATTAACTACTAATGAATACGCCCCAAAACAAACTGGCTGGCCAAAAAAATATTTAAAATCGAAGAAAAATCCTTGAGTTTTAAAGAACACAAACAAGTCGAAATCAAAACAAAATTTAATTTGTTCATGTAACTGAAGATTAGGTGAGCAGACGATGTACTCTTATCAGCTATAAACTTATGACCCAAATATCAATGCTCAAAAGCCCAGTGTATCATCCTAAACCGACTCGAACATATCACTCGACCCTTTTAAAAGCAAACATGACTTTACAAGTTCCCAAAGTATTAATTATAAGAATGATGGTTCGGCTTGCAGAACCGCGAATATAAGTTATCAACTCTTCAATGCAGCTCTTTTATACACGTTTTTTATTTTAGAAAATATGTTTAGTGTAAAGTTGGGCTTTCTCGTCTCGGAATATCATATATTAAACCCGATATCTGTGACGTTTAAGTCCCATTGGTAGCCTTAAGAAGGAATGGAGTGAGCCAAGGCGAACCCATTGAATTTTAGCTAAGACTCGGACTTGCGCCAAAAGTGGAGTAACCACTCTTGGCGCGACTCGAAACAATTTTACAAACGCACATTTTAAGCCGAAACCGAAAGGTCCTAACTCTTCTGCCACAAAGTTGATGAGGAACGACAAAACTAAAACTCGAATGCAACTGATGACAAATACATAATTTAAGCAAAGACTGCCTGAATATGCATTTTATACACACAAATTGCCAACAGCCACTAGCCGGTGTATGTACGGACCTGTGCATAGCAACCAGAAATTATATACAGAAACTCGTGTATTTTTAGAAACAAAATTATAGTGATAAGGACCCGAAATCGTATTCGAACATATGTACGTTCCAGTGAAACCAATCTATACATATAAAGTATATATATACCTATTTACAAAACTACTTAGAGAACTTTTGCTTGAGGTTTGATTTTATTTTTCGTTTTCTAGCTAAATGCCTTCTGTCGAAGCACTCTTTTATATTGCAATTCTCTAGCAATTACTTAAAGCAATTGATAAGCCAACCCTTAAGCATACATACCATTTATATATTAACTATCAAACTGTAACTGTTGTAACTGTAACTAGCTTATGAAACCACATGCCGTAAAATAAATCGAACCCACTTTTTTAACAGCTTTAATTGAATTGTGTTTTCTGTTTTATGATGACGCAGTTAATTCATTAATTCATTCGCTTAGCTCCTATAAAAGCAATTTACCTTATCAGCTCTAGATTAATAACCAGTTCCTATAATGATAAATGAGCCGGGCGGTTTTCCATATTGCACATAAGTACAATAAGTGAGTATTAGATTTAATCTCAAATCCATCAATTTTTGATTCATTCCGTAGCTGACACTCAAGTTTTCATGATAACACTTATAGGAGCACTTAATTCAAGTTCAAGTGTGGTGAGACCGGGTGGTCTCATTATTTTCACATCATCAAGATAAGAAAGTAAAATTGCGATGCAGAGCTGACGCTTTTTTTAGCTCATCATAAAAGCCTGATATTATGTAATTTGATCGATTCTGCTTGTGCCTGGTGGATGGTTGCGTTTGCTTTTATTTACATGTAATCATAAATATTCGCCTATTGTATATAAGGTACTAACATATCGAATATCCTTTAAAGACTAATAGTAAACAGCTTGCGCGGCTGTTGCTTTTTGGCTTGTGCGTCGGTGCTGTTGGTGTAGAACTAGTAATTTTAGCCAGGTTTACATATTGAATGTACCGTCAAATTCGCCCAAAGTTTCCCCTAAAGAGGGCATCCAGATTAGTCCTTCTTGCGCTGAAGCCCGTTCTTCTGTGGCTCGTAGAATTCCTCGACAATGGCCTCCACCATGATGTTCATGGTGTTGGTCAGCTTGGCCCAGTTCTTCTCGTCCGGTTTGCCGCACATCTCAGCGTAGTACTTCATCTTGGGCTCCGTGCCGCTGGTGCGCAGAGTGACCACCAGGCCGTTCTTGAAGGTGAACGTGATCATCTGGGAGCTGGAGCTGGTCGGCAGGGTGGCCTTCTTGTCGCCGGTGCTGCTGTCGTAGCCAGTGGTCAGATCACGGACGTGTTCGATCTCGTACTCGCCGTTCAGGATGCTGGTCGGATAGGTGTCCGCCTTGCCCTCGTCCCAGGTACGCAGGCGCTCGAAGATCTGCTCAATCACCGGCGGGCAGCGGCAGATGACATACGAGCAGATGGTGGTGTGGAACCCATATGTCTCGTAGATGTCCCGCAGCTTCTCCTGCAGCGTCATGCACTGTTTGCAGCGCAGGTAACAGGCCATGGTCGCCACATGAACTGCGGCACTGACTCCATCCTTGTCCAGGACGGCTGTGCCGACCATAAAGCCGATGGCCTCCTCAAAGGCAAAGAGCACAGTCTTGCCCGCCTGCTGCTGCTCAATGGCCTTGTTGCCCATCCACTTGAATCCGGTCAGCGTCTCGAAGAACTGGAATCCTTCCCGCTCGGCCATGGCCTTCAAAATCTTCGAGCTTACCGTGCTGGCTATCATCACGCCGTTGCTCACGTCGAAGTCGGGCTCGCGCATCTTTTGCAGCTCCAGGGACCACCAGCCCAGAAGGGCGCCCACCTCGTTGCCGCTGAACAACTTGTAGCTACCGTCTTCGCGCACTTCGGCCACTGCCAGGCGGTCGGCGTCCGGGTCGTTGGCCAGAATGATCTGGCTGCCGTTTGCCTTCGCCGTTCTGATGGACAAGTCCAGCGAGGTCTTGCCCTCCTCCGGATTGGGCATGGGCGTGGTGGGGAACTCGGGATCCGGCTCCTGCTGTTCGCACACCGAAATGAACGGCTTCAGATTGACCCTGGCGAAAGCCTGCTTCACAAACGCGTAGCCCACGCCGTGCATCGCGGTGTAGGTGAAGGAGATCGGGCACCTTCCGTTGACCTCCAGCAGGGAGCAGGGTATGATCTTCTTCAGGTTGTCGAAGTACGGCGGCACGACAATGTCGTACGGATCCTCCAGGCTGATGTTCCCACACATCGCTGAGTCGTCCCACGAAGAGGCCTTGGGCTCCAGGTTGTTCATTATCGACTCCTGGATGCCCTCGTCGTGCGGCGGGATGATCTGAGCCCCGTTGCTCCAGTACACCTTGTAGCCATTGTCCTCCTTGGGATTGTGCGAGGCAGTCACCATGACGCCGGCCAGGCATTGCAGCCTCAGGATGGCATAGGGCACCATGGGCGTGACTACGTAGCGCTTGAACTGCCACACCTTAAAGTCATTGTTCAGGAACACAATGGCCGATAGCTCGGCGAAGCGATGGCTGTTGTAGCGACCGTCGTACCCGAAGACAACGCCCCGCCCGGACCAGTCTTCCGGATTTGGATACTGCTCCTTTACGTACTCGCACAGGCCCTGAGCCGCCCTGCAAACAGATTCAGATTACACAATCTCTCTCTCTTTGAAGATAAGATAAAATCGAACTTACTGGATGACCACTAGCTCGTTCATGGAGTCGAAGCCCGCCCGCATGCAGGCCCGCAATCCTGCCGTGCCGAAGGTGATGCGATTGCACAATCTCTTGCGCAGCCTGTCCAAGGATTAGGGATTAGTTGGGAATAGAAATGGTTCCAGGTTAACTGCACTTACGTGTCCCAGTCCTGCGCCCGGACGGCGTCCATGATTTGGCAGGAAGTGCTGGCGCATTTGTCCCACCTGATCCACAGGCGAATCTTTCCATCCAGTTCCGGATCGCCCGACAACGCCATGTTCTTGATCTCGCACAGCATCTGGCCCGTGGGTTGACACATGGTGGTGGCTGCGGGTTATTGACCGAAAATCGTTTTGTTTTCAAGTTTAATTTGGAAGATTGCCGAACGGGAGGGGAGAAAAGGCAGCACTCGCTTCCTGACAGCGAACTCACAGCCCGGCAACGGAGAAAAGCAAACTGTGCGACAATTGGCGATCGACTGGTCGCTTCTGGTTGATAAGGTTCACTGATGCGGCCACATATACACACTATCAATCCGCCACACCCCCTTTTTTCGGCAAAAATTAACAATGTGCCCCGCTTAATTTGTGTGGAAGCCGTCGGTTGGAGATGGCGCGATATTTAGTGATGAGATGCAGACAAATCGAAATTTCATTTCAACTTAATACTTTCACTAAGGTTTTTGGTTCAATTACTGTGAATGTTTTTATATGCAATGAAATTAATTTTAGATCCAAAAAAATGTATAAGTGTATGGGATCAATCATTTTATTTTTTCCAGTTAAGTAACTATTTGTTTGTTAACTAACAGAAATTTCCACCAACAAATAGAGATTTTGAGAACTTCTAGCCGATAGTAGACCTATCGACATTAACCAACACTATCTTTTAGGCCATCTCTATCTAAGTTTTTGCTACTGGCCAGACGCGGAACGAAAAGAAAATAAACCATTTGACTACGTTTGTGTAACTAATAAAGAAAATGGCCGATGTGTTGGACATTGACAATGCGGAGGAGTTCGAGGTGGACGAGGATGGCGACCGTAAGTAGGCGAAGTGTACTTTCTATTTCCCCGGTCTCATGCTTTCTTTTCGCTCCCACGCCGCACCGTGTGCACCCTACACCCAAAACAGAGGGCATAGTGCGCCTGAAGGAGAAAGCGAAGCACCGCAAGGGACGCGGCTTTGGGAGCGACAGCAACACCCGGGAGGCAATTCACAGCTACGAGCGAGTGCGAAACGAAGACGACGATGAACTGGAGCCCGGGCCACAGCGCTCCGTCGAGGGCTGGATCCTGTTCGTGACCTCCATTCACGAGGAGGCGCAGGAAGACGAGATCCAGGAGAAGTTCTGCGACTACGGCGAGATCAAGAACATCCACCTGAATCTCGACCGGCGCACCGGATTCTCCAAGGGCTACGCCCTCGTCGAGTACGAGACCCACAAGCAAGCGCTCGCCGCCAAGGAGGCGCTGAACGGTGCCGAAATAATGGGACAGACCATTCAGGTGGACTGGTGCTTTGTCAAGGGACCCAAGCGCGTGAAAAAGTCCGACAAGCGACGCAGATAGACGACTCCAGGCCTCACGAATACTTTTTTAATTAGTTTAATGCATAGGCAACCGTACAAAGTCTATATTGAAATGAAATAAAGCAGATACTAAACTCTACCAACATCCTTTTATACAATCAATTGGTTACAGGTTTTTTAAAATAGCTCTTACATTAGTATTTATTTAAAACACTACAAGTTTAGGGACAACTACTTCATTTTCTTCTGGTGCAGCAGATGTTTCCTGAGCGCCTGTTGCTTGTCCTTGAAGCTCTTCTTGACCTTGGAGCGCGCCTTGTGCCGCAGCATGCCAAAGTTCTTGGTCTTGCGCTTCTCGCGGTTCGTCTTGGAGCAATGCTCGTTCACCCGTCCGTCCTTCCAGCCGAAGCGCTCGCGATCCTGCCGGCCAGCCTGCACAGTTTCCAGGCGCGACTCCTTGTCGTGCTTGCGCTTCTTGTAGATCATCTCTATGCTGTTCAGTTTGACGAACTCGGCGCGGTCCTGCTCGAGCGGCCGCTTGCGGGCACTGGTCACGGTCTTCTTGAGGTTGGCCGCATTGATGCGCTTGAAATCCTCGTCCGTGAAAATGCGTGTCAGAGCCAGCTCCTGGGCAGCCTCCTTTTGGTTGAGGATCTTTATATCTTTCTTCTCCTTCTTCGCCTTGGCCGACTCTTCTCCACTTTCCACGCCCTCATCCGAGTTTTCACCTTCCTCCTCCCCGTCACTGTTTTCTTCGTTCTCCTCGTCGTCCTCGTCTTCGTCATCATCATCATCATCTTCGTCCTCCTCTTCATCATCCTTACCGGCTCCACCTCCCTCGCCATCGCTGTGCGTCACATTAACCCACTCCCCATCGTTTGAGTCCGTATCCTCATCGCTCTCTATATCAATGGTCTTGGAGTCCTTGAGGAGTGCCTCCGCACCCAGCACTGTGTCATGGACCTCGCGCTCTCCGTAGGCACGAACCTTCCGCTCGGCCTGGGCCTCTGTTTGCCTGCCACGATCCTTCTTGTGCAACAGGGCCGGCAGCTGTTCCCGGTAGAGTGTGATTAGTGAACGTGCTGCCATCATCACAGACTTTTCCTTGTACGTTTTGTACATGGCCAGGTCCTGGAGCAGATCCTCGCCCATGGCCAGGGGACAGCGCATGCAAATCTCACGTGTGGCATTCAGACCGATGGCCATCACATCGCTGGAGTTGCGCTCCGTGATAAAGTTGTTGGCAATAGTTTTAAGGATGGGCTCGATTATGTCTCCGGGAACCAGTTCGTGGGAGGCCTGGGCGGCGAACTGCATAACGCGAGTCACTTGGCGTTGGTGAGGCTGCAGAAATCGAGTTATATACGGATAGAAGCCGAAGAGGAATAGCTCGTGGATGCCGATCAGGCGGGAAATTACGTCCAAGTGCATCAGCTTAACCTCGAATCGCTCGTTGGTGCCCTGCAGCTGCTTGAAAAGACCCTCGGCCATTCCTTGCGGATTGTGCACCAGGTGAATTCCCGAGAAGTTAAAGGCAGGCGCGTTCTTCTTTTTCTTTTGCGCCTTCACCGCCTGTTTCTTGATCTGCGCCAGCTGTTTGGTTCCCTTTCTCGTTTTCTTGTTGACTCGATTGGCCATCAGAGCGCCCTTCAGGTCCACCTCGTTCTCGCTGTCGGTGTCCTCCTCCTCGTCCTCTTCGTCGTGGCCAAGGAAGAACTTGAGCGAGGTGACCAGCACCTTGGTCACCTTGGAGAAGCAGCCCACGGTGGCTATGACATTCACCGTCTTAGGATCGTTCCAGATGTTCTTCTTGTAAAGCTCGATCATGATATCAGCGGACATCTTGGCTGCCTTGGGATTGGCATCCTTCAGCATGGAGTACATGAAGGCCTGAAGACTCTGTAATGGCACACATGATTATCATCCCGTATTTAGTAAAGATATGACTAAAACTTACCGAATTGAGCTTCATATCCTTGTGCTTGGCATTCATGTTCTTTATGTCGGTTACGATGTGCGTTTGCAGGAAGGTGCGAAGATTCTTATCCGGACACCGGAGCAGCTGGAAGAACAATTCCAGTATGTCCAGAGCCGGAACCAGGTTCTTGTTTCTCAGCAGGATTAGGGCTTTTACAAAGCAATTCCTCATGGCTGGATCCAAAACGGTGGCGTAGTTCTTCAGCAGATCGGACAGTCGCTTGGGGAACTCTTCGCACACGGCCGGGTAGCACTGGGCCACCTGGGCAACGAACATGACGATGTCATCCAGAGACTTGTTCTCCTCGCTGGGATTCAGAGCGAAAACCTCCAGCAGGCTGAGGAAGTGCTGGTACTGGATGTGGAACTCATCGCTGTACGACTCCGGATCCCGCTTGATCAGGTTCTGCAGCTGCGGCAGGTTCTCCGGCAGCTGGTTGTTGTTGGGCCGCACCATGGTGAGCCGTAAAAACTATAAAAAAAACTACGTTCTTTTCCAACCACGTTCCGTTCGAGTAAAATAAATGCACGTGTGGTGTGTGACCAGTTGCGGGAGAAGCGGAAATACTGGGCTTAGTTGAAATTTAATTAATGCAAGTAATGAAACTTTGCATGTCTTATTTTTTTTAAATATTTTAATTAATTAGACAAGTAAAAAATTTACTAAATGGCATTAATTTTTAAAAATATAAAAAAATATATAACTTCCTTTTCTATCAGGAAAAACATCTGACTAGTTGAACAAGAAATATTTTTTATATTGTGAACAATTTTTCAATTTTATTAATTGCAACATTGTAAAGAAACTACAATTCGTAGATTTTTGTATTCAGGTAGGTAGAAAAATTAATTTTGTAACGAATTTCAATACTTACCCCAATATTCCCCAACTATCAGAAAACGGTAACTCTACTCGCTCAGTGTTGCACAAACAGCTGGTGGCGCTGCACTTTGGGCGTTTTCCAGCACAGCACGGCAACTACCGTCGAGTCAAGTTAATTTTCTCTGGCCTGGAAAAATGATGGAGTTGCACTCGAACGACGTTGACCTGGAGGATGGCGAGGTAATCATCACCCAGTCCTTGGAGCCAGCTCTGCCTGACCATCTCTGCTGTCCTTTCAGCTATCGGACAGCGACGACGATGGCGTTTATACGCCGTTGCAGCGACCTGCAGGTGCGGAGAAGGTGGCTAGCCCCCTTACCACCTGTCACCAGATCCAGTCGGCGCTGGAGGACGAATCGCAGAGTAACAGCGACTCTTCGTCGGCCGAGTCCTCAGAGGACGGGTGCATCAAGAAGCTGCGCACGGATTCCACTGGACGCGGCGGAGGTCACAAAAAGCGGAAAAAGCGCATCCAGCGCACTGTGATGCGACGCGTACCACCCACAGACGCCGATATGCAGCCCAATCGAGCCCGCTTCAAGAAGTACAACGTGTGGGCCTCCGCCCTGCAAGAGGAGGCGCTCAGCGAGAATATGCGTGGCTGCGACGTAACGCGAAGTGGGCGGGATCGGAACGTGGAGAACTACGATTTCTCGCTCCGGTACCGGCTCAACGGAGAGAACAGCCTAAAGCGCCGGCTTTCCAACTCCTCGGAGGATGGCGGTGAGTCCTCACATCCGGCCCACAAACGGGGAAGGCCCTCTAGTCGACCCAAGGATGAGTATCCAGAGCGCGGATCGGTAAAGAGCCGCCTTGGCCACCGGCCGCGACGGGGAACATCCTCGGCCAGCGGTTCCTCCGACTCCTGCGAGCCCAGACACATCCTAGACCTCAACGAAATCGTCGGTCGGGATCCCTCAGACGTGGCCGCCGAGATGGCTAGTAAACTGTACGAGGAAAAAGACGAATTACTGGGTGAGTTGGTTGAATAAGCCATGCCATGAATACTAAGTGAAAGATTAACCTTTGTAGTTCGAGTGGTGGAAGTTCTGGGCATGGATTTGCCGATGGAGCTATACAAAGAAACTCAGCGCATCGAAGCCGATGGCGGCATGATGATCAAAGTGAGTAACAAAAGGACCTGGACCTCATTAAATTCACTGACGTTTCTTCAATACAGAATGGCAAACGGAGACGTACACCGGGCGGTGTATTCCTGTTCCTGCTGAAACACCACGACAACATAACCCAAGAGCAGCAGAAGTCAATTTTCAGCGAAGAGCGCCAGAGCCTGAACAAGTCGCGCAAGCAAATTGAAACGATGATGCGGGACCGCAAGGTGGAAGAGTTGAAGAAGTGCCTCAGTCAACAGGTCCCAGAGCTGCCCGCTTTGAGCCAGCGCAAGGAGCACTACATGCAGGGCGACGAGCTGAGGGCCGAGAGTCAGCCGGCCAATTGTAAGGAAATACCTTCTAGATCTATGACCATATCTTTACCTTATTTCCCTTATCAAAGTGTCCAACCCGCCACCCTCGCCCGTCGGCGCTGGTCAGGAGGAGGACAGTCCTGAGTACAGAACGCATGAGATCAACATAAATTTGGTGGAAAGCGCCGAACTGCCCTCCACATCCAAGGCGGCTGCAGCGGCGGAGGCTCAAGGAGCCCCACTCAAGGGATTAATCAGCTACGACGACGACTTTCTGGACGTCAATTGCGGGGACATGGACTTCTTCTAGGCCCACGCCAAGCGCCGGGCCCCTTTTATACCACACTTGCATAGATAGAACCATATTTGTACAATTAAATAAATGCCTAGCGAATTAGGACTCAAAATGTAACGGCTGCCAACTGTAAACAAAAGCAGGCGTTAGGGTGTTTCACAGCTGCGCGAACGCTGCTGGTTTGGCGTTATGGGATTTCAGAGTGTCGATCGATAGTGACAACTCTAGTCGGCCCCTCACGACGACGCCGCGTAAAATATTTTTGTTTCCCCCGCATTCGTTGAAAAACCGCCGAAAGTGTTTGTTTTTATGTGTGGTGCGCGTCCTAGGCCAATGCAATCGAGTCCGCAACTGCTTTTGCTGACCGCCTAACGCCGCCAGAGACAGAAAATAACAGTAATGCGAAAGACCCGCTCGCAGACGGCTCGCACGCAGGCGGAAAATGCCGCAACATCCCCGAGCCCCGGACACCAATCAACGTCGTCAGCGCCAATAGCAGTGAATCCCTTTGATGCGGGCAAGTACAAGGTGCGTTTCCGCCGAGTCCTTTTAATTCAGCTCAGAGATTTTTCCATAAATATGGGATATATTGAGAGCAGAGTGACCACAGCAAAAATAGTGTGGCTGCCCCCCACCGTGTGGGAGGGCAACCCAGCCGTCGAGAAAGAGAAGCCTGCCGGCGATGTGCAACACTGCCATCCGCCATATTTCTTCAGACCGTGCGGACAAAACAAAAATTCGTGTGACAAAAAAGGCATTTTTGCGGGCGTTTGTTTTAGAGAAGTTTGCGGAAAAAGAAACCGGGTTTTGTGGTGCCGGCTTAGCTTATTCAAGTTTGTACATTCGCCTGCGTTATAAGCCATTAAAAGCGGATCGGTTTAATGCGAAGAGGCTCTCGTTTTTAAACGCCATGTTTGAGCAGCTAGGTAATGGTTTGGTGGCATGCGAGAAACTCGGACCTGCCAAATTTTGACAAAGGGAAAATTTGCAGAGCTTATGCTTTTTCGTGATTGCAAGATATTGGCTGAAGAGGCTGGTTGTAGCAAATATTAAATTTAGTCACTTGCCAAGCCGCACGGGTACATACACATGGGTACAAATGTGCGAAAACGCGATATTCGCGTATAGGTCGCATTTCTGTGGGTGTGTGTGTGTGTGTGTGTACGAGTGCTTGGTGTGAAGTCCCGCTATTTGGTCACAAACATCTTGCTTAATTTCCTTACATTTGTGTTGCCGTCGTTGCAGGAATGTGAGCAAATGGTGCAGATGCTCCGAGTGGTCGAGCTGCAAAAAATTCTGTCGTTTCTGAACATCTCCTTCGCTGGACGAAAAACCGACCTGCAGAGCCGCATCCTCTCGTTCCTGCGCACCAACTTGGATCTGCTCGCCCCGAAGGTCCAGGAAGTCTACGCCCAGTCCGTTCAGGAGCAAAGCGCCACGCTGCAGTACATCGACCCAACCAGGATGTACTCGCACATCCAGCTGCCGCCCACCGTGCAGCAGAATCCGGTGGGCCTCGTGGGCGGTGGCCCGGGCGTCCAGGTGCCCGGCGGCCAGATGAACGTGGTCGGCGGCGCACCCTTCCTTCACACACACAGCATCAACAGTCAGCTGCCCATCCATCCCGACGTGCGGCTGAAGAAGCTAGCCTTCTACGATGTCCTCGGCACACTGATCAAGCCTTCGACGCTGGTGCCACGCAACACTCAGCGCGTCCAAGAGGTGCCTTTCTACTTCACACTCACGCCCCAGCAGGCCACCGAGATAGCCTCCAATCGCGACATCCGCAACAGCTCCAAGGTGGAGCACGCCATCCAGGTGCAACTTCGCTTCTGCCTGGTGGAGACCTCGTGCGACCAGGAGGATTGTTTTCCGCCTAACGTCAATGTCAAGGTCAACAATAAGCTGTGTCAGCTGCCAGTGAGTATCCATCGAATGTACGGTCAGGACCAAATAACATATCCCAATCCACCCGCAGAATGTCATTCCTACAAACCGACCAAATGTGGAGCCCAAGCGTCCGCCACGTCCCGTCAACGTCACCTCCAATGTAAAGCTGTCGCCAACCGTCACCAATACCATTATGGTGCAATGGTGTCCGGACTACACGCGCAGCTACTGCCTGGCCGTTTACCTGGTGAAGAAACTCACCTCCGCACAGCTCTTGCAGCGAATGAAGACTAAGGGAGTGAAGCCGGCTGACTATACCCGCGGCCTGAGTATGTTTTCGCTGTCCAAGAGGTGTATCCATACTAATAAAGTCTTTCTCTGCAGTCAAGGAGAAGCTGACGGAGGATGCCGACTGCGAGATAGCCACCACCATGCTTAAAGTGTCACTCAACTGCCCGCTGGGCAAGATGAAGATGCTGCTGCCTTGCCGAGCCTCAACTTGCTCGCACCTGCAGTGCTTTGACGCCAGTCTCTACCTGCAAATGAACGAGCGCAAGCCCACCTGGAACTGCCCCGTCTGCGACAAGCCGGCCATTTACGACAACCTGGTCATAGATGGGTAAGAGGGTGTCAATTAGTATATCGCTTGAAAGAAATTGATTCCCTATCTCTTCTACAGCTACTTCCAGGAGGTGTTGGGCTCGTCGCTTCTAAAGAGCGATGACACCGAGATTCAGCTGCATCAGGATGGCTCGTGGAGCACGCCAGGACTGCGCAGCGAGGCACAGATCTTAGATACACCTTCGAAGCCCGTTCAGAAGGTTGAGGTTATATCGGACGATATTGGTGAGCACACACTACGCTGCGTGTTGTGTACCTCGATATTAATGAACCCTTTCTTGTTATAGAGCTTATATCGGACGATGCCAAGCCAGTAAAGAGCGATTTGTCCCCTGCACCGGACGATCAGCCAACATCCACGTCAAACAGTGAAACTGTAAGTTGTGAGCTTAAAATAGCATTTCCATATGTGCTACAATACGATTGTCTTCCGTCGATGCAACAGGTTGATCTGACGTTGAGCGATTCCGACGACGACATGCCTCTGGCCAAGCGTCGTCCTCCCGCCAAGCAAGCCGTCGCCAGTTCCACGTCGAACGGCAGCGGTGGCGGCCAACGTGCCTATACGCCGGCACAGCAGCCCCAGCAATCCGGTACGTTGGATCCATTTTTGCAATAAGCCAGTAAACCAATTATAACTCTGTATAGCCAAGAATCCTTTATAAGTTTACAAAGTGCTGATTGTAGACCATAGGCTAAAGTAGACATAAGAATCCATACACATCCCATTCACATCCACACAGACTCACGTACGCTAATGCATCAAGAACTTTAGTCAGATGGATGAAATCCTCCCACGTTCATGTTTCACCCCATGAAAGTTTCGTTTTACATTTTCATGTATATAACAACTTATCTCTCAGAGCAATTTTTGGTGCATCATTTGACAATATTTAAGAGTTCGAAACTGTTCGAAAGTGTATTTTATATGCTGAACGCATTATCTTAAAATGTATCTTCATTCTTAAAAACGAAACATGCATACGGGAGGAAAATTTCGGAATTCTGGAAAAAAATATGTATCGTCATCACAGATTATTTCTCGAATCTACTTATGTAGATGCCTTTCTCTTTTACAATTCTAGTTTCCCCATTCGTTTTTAGATGGAGTACCCAGTTCAAATGAATCCCACTATATTTAGCATTATATTTAAAATTTTTTAAAAACTGACTAGTAGGACAGATATTTTTTGGTGCAAATCTAGATTCACATTCAGGTGTTAGCTTGTGAAAGGGAATCCAGGCTCGCGCCAAAGTCTGCTCCGACACAAAAAGTGTTCATAAACTTGACTAAATCCCCTAGCCACGACTTTTATAGACTAAGTAGACAAAGATATCCTACTCCACTGCAGAGGAAGGCTGGGAAAAGATGTGAATTTTTGATTATTCTCCGCTTTCGTTGCTTGTATTGTAGATGGTAAAGTTTTTAAGAAACCTAAAACGACAGAGGTGCTTTATCGGCGTGTTGACTTGCAAATTTGGCTGCGTTCACGGTAGGTTTTCCCGTCGGATGATCGTGGGCTCGAGTGTCCATGAACCCCAATACTTTAATCTGTATACTCTTACAGAAAACCTAAGCAAGACAACTCCAGGCGCCCAAACGTGGTATAAGCAGTTTTAAGCCTAATTCTCGGTTTTGCAACCACCATTTGTTGTTCTTTCTTCATTTGATGTGAATTTTATGTTGTCACCGATCCTAAATTATTCCGCGAAATGTACTTGTATTTTAAGAGATGTGTTAATAAATCATAGTAGATCGTTAGTGGAGGTTTTTTTTTGCTAGAGAACCTTTTTTTTCGATAGCTGTTGTGTTAACTTCACGTTGATATGATGATAATTATTGAACTAATTGAAGTAACTTGTGCATTTCTTTGTCTTTTCTCTTTCTCTCTCTCTCTCTCTCTTTCTCTTCTTCCCCTGAACTTTTTGTGTGACCCGTCCATGCTGCCGCCGACGAATGAAACTCGTAGAATCCCCCGAACAGCAGGCCCGTCGCCAGTCGCCAGAGATGCAGCCAGTCTTAGATCAGCAACTGCAGCAGCTGCAGCAGCAACATCAGCAGCAGCACGACCAGCCAGCGGCCGCAGCTGTCCATGCCTCTCTACTGGAATCCCTGGCTGCTGCGGTCGCGGATCAAAAGCACTTCCAACTGTTGGATCTGGCTGCGGTTGCGGCTGCTGCAGCTGCCACGGCGTCCTCCGGCCAGGGTCAGAATGCCGGCCCGTAGGCAGGACCCACCCACATCCCTCACATCCATCGCACATCTTATGGCACGCTCCTCACCCCCAAGATTCTTGCTTTCTCTTGCCCAGTTTCTGTTTTCCCGTCCTCTTCCGGCGGCACAGGGCCGGCAGATCTTACCTTAGAGGCTATTCTTCGGCGTTCCATTCGCAGTCACCACCACACATCATTCACACGCTCTCAATTGCGACCCACCCACTGATGCTCGAAATTCTTGTGTTGCAGGACGCAGGCAGAACAGACATGCCTTATAGGAGCGGGTCCCCATGTCCCCATCCCCAGTGGCAGGTGCTGCACCCCCTTTGGCCAGATTGTCGCTGCCCCCTTTCAGTTGGCTCACCCATCTTGGTTATGTCCCGTGTCTTTCGTTTCTGTGTCGTCTCGAGTAGTTGTGTTACGCTTTCGCAGGGCTCTCAGCAACACACACTGACCACCTGAACACTTGAACAACTGAACACCTGAACATCTGACCACCCCACAACACCAACTGAAGTAATCCTAGATATTACAATTACACAAAGTAGCACCAGCATTCATTAGCAATTACCATAGGAAACACAATTAATTTATTTTTCTTTTGCAATCGAAGCGGGTGCTGAATGATCGCAGCGGAGCCCGGAGAAATTAACCGCCCTACGCATTACTAACCTAACAACTAAGCGTACACCTAAACCAGATGTTAATCTTAAGTTCTGCCAATGCAAGTTGGCCGTATTCCTATTCCTATGCACGAAGCGAGAGAGGAGACAGGCGAGGCGGCAGCCAGCCGCGGCACCGACATTTAAGTTAGTTAAGTTATTTTAGTTACTTTAGTGGAACTACGGATACCGAACGAATAGAGGCGCAGTGGTGTGGAGTGGAGGGTGCTGCCCGCGAGTGCGTATTTATAATGTGTTGCAAGCCAGGGCGAAATTGCATTAAATGTTCATGATGTGTATTGGCAACAAACGAATGAGTTTTTATTGATGAAAATTGAATTGAATGTGGCGTTTTTAAGGGCATGACCAGACGACCAGACGTCAAGCTAGACACACAACTTACTCGTTTATTTAAGCTCAAACCGTACCGCCACGGATTTATATGTTAAGAAAATGATTTTAAATTGATTGCTTTGACTTTGATTTGATGCCAAACCCCTTAAATATCAGACCGAACAAATATGAAATCAATGTACAAGGAGATGTGTACTTTAACTATAATATTAAACAATTTTCAACCAAGACCTGTTGTTTTATTTACCAACGGGGGTCAAGTTTTGTTTAGTTTATATCGATTTTTAATTTGGCATCCCGTTTTTAATTGAGCCCACCCGAATCCTTTTTTTTTTACTTGCAGAGGATATAGACGGCAACGTTGCGGCTAAGGTCAAAGAGGATTCCGTAATTGATCTTTTAGATTCGCCATAGCACGCCGCCACTTGATCTTACAAGTAAGGTCCTTCGATATCTGTAGGCGACCCCAAAGAATTAGACTTGGCCTGTTAAACGTATTTTATATTGCGCCACAATTCGTTGAATATCTTGTAGCAACCTAAGTATGTTACATTTCCGTGTAGTTTGTAAAAACAGTATTCGTTAAGGTAAGACAAAACTGCGAATAATAGCTAGACCTAAGCACTGCACCAATAAAGTTGGAGTCATAATTTAGTGGCCTTTTGAATTTCGCGCGCATCAGCTGTACTTGGCATTTCCACAGGTTGGCATCACCGCGTGTACTTTTACTTGTGGCCATGGGCGTAGAAAAAATAACGGTAAAGGGGACTAAGTTTGTTTAAAAAAAAAATAATCATATTGTAATTCAAAATTTTCATTACTATTTCTCTATAGAATTTTGAAAAAATTTTAAAAATGTAAAATCGTATTCGAGCTTTAAACTATTTTGAAGCCATGAAGTAGTACAAAATTCAGCATGAATAATTGTGGTGGCAAAGTTCAAATACTACAAATTTGTCCGAGTCAATTAAAAAATATTTTAAACCTATTGGACAGATTTATCAATATGGAATGTTATACACTTAATTGGATAAATATTTTTAATCCCCCTTGCCATCGTACGACCATGGTTTTGGTCTCTTGTTCACCTTGATCGCCATTTGTTGTGTGAATTTCTTGAAAGAATGTCGAAGCCAACGTTGTACTATGCCCTTTTCAGTCCTCCGGCCAGAGCTTGCATCCTGGTAGCCAAACTAATTGGCCTGGATCTGGACCTAAAGTAAGTGTACGGATTTACTAATCCAACGTGGCTAAAACATGCACCTTTCAAATCTTCAGGCTCGTTGATTTTTCGAAGAAGGAGCACCTGAACGAGGAGTTTATAAAGGTTCGCGGGATCGATCTCAAAATAGAAGATATATTTTTGTAAACCTTCCTCCTCACAGCTAAACCCCCAGCACCAGATTCCTGTGTTTGTGGATAGCGATGGTGAGGTGTACGTGGACAGTCACGCCATCGTGTGCTTCTTGGTGGCCAAGTACGCTGGGAACGACCAGCTGTATCCGCAGGATCTGAAAAGGCGAGCCCACATCGACCACCGCATGCACTACGAGAACGGAGTGCTCTTTCAGGTGGTCAAGGACATTGTGGCGCGGAACATTTACGGCGGAGAGGGGGAGTTCAACGTCCGATCTCTGACCCTCTGCCATAATGCCTACTCCGATTTGGAGCACTTCCTGGAGAAGGGCAACTTTGTGGTGGGCAATGAACTGAGCGTGGCCGATGTGTCCATTCACACCACGCTGGTGACCTTGGATTTGCTCATACCAGTGGCGAGGGAGAAGTACCCGCAGACAAAGGCCTGGATGGAACGCATGGATACCTTGTTGCCGGACAACGAGGAGATCAATCTCAAGGGTGCCCGTGCACTGCAGACCCGCATCCTGAACTGTATGGCCGAGAACAAAGCCAAGGCTCAGTAGATTTCTTCTTTATCATCTATCTTATACCCTCTATACTTTAATTTCAAAACATTTAAGTCGTTTATGCCGTTCACTTTCAAAAAATCATTGTTAATTCGAATTGTACTTGGATATGAAATGATGAATGATTTTATCTGCAAGGTTCTTGCTCAAAAAAAGGCTTATAATTCGAAAATAATTATTTAAAATTTTTTCATAGAAAACTCCCTTAATTGTGACAAATTTTCATTTCAAGATATGTATGTCTTATGACTTTAACTTTAAACAATTGTTTTAAATGTGGAATGTTTTTTTTATATGTAAAATGTAAAACCGTTGAAATGATAAATGATAGCTCTGCATGGTTAATGGTCTAATAAAAAGACTATTATAATTCGATTAAAGAGTACATTTTTGTCAAAGCAAAACCCCTCAATTGTGTCAACTAAACGAACTCGAATTTATTTTTTGTATTTTATTGGTAATTGGTAATTTGTTAGGCTAATTGGCTTGTAAACATGCTGCACTATATTCTCGTGTCTTTTGATTTGGAAGTCCAGTGTACAATACGTAAATATAGTTAGCGAGAGTTCCGATTCATGCAAATTGCTAAAACTTGCCACTAAACAGTTATTTACACAAACAAGCGTTTTTATTTTGATCTATTGCTGAAAATCGGGCCGCTGAAGAAGAACTAACTGACTACGGTAGACATACAATTTTGGATATTTAAGGGTTACTTTACTGTCATCGGTCTTCTTTCCTTGATAATCTGCCTAACTCTAACTCACCTATCTATTTACAACACAATTGATTAATCACACTTATTTTGGTATCATATTTGAAGCGGGTTGTGTCCAGTTCAGTTCCGTTCAGTCCCTCTAATCGAACGTTGTCCAGTTGTTCATGCCCTTTCCGGTGGTGAGCTGCTGGTGCTGCTGCTGCTGCTGCGCCTTCTCCGTTCCGTTGGCATTCAGGGTGAACTGGTCCAGACCGTACTTGCGGAGCAGCTCGAAGTCGTCGTCCGGCTTGGCGGCAATAGTGCTGCGCTGATGGAGCGGCGGTGGGTGCATCGGCGGCGCCCGTCCCGTCACCGCCGCCACGGTGGCCATGTGCTTGGGCGCAAAGTACGGGTAGAGCGGATTGCTGACGCTGCTGGCCGCCACCACACTGCTGTTGACGCCGGCGGGCAGTGTGCTGGACTTCTTGCCGAACGCCTTGCTCAGCGGCGGCAGCGGGCGGGCGTTCTGGTTTAGCGGGTCGAAGTCCTCCAGGTCGAAGCTGGTGTTGTTGCTATCGTCCAGCGATATCAGGTCGTTCATGCTGTCCTCCAGCGGCTGCTGCTGATGCTGCGGGTTGGGGAGGCACAGAGGTACGGGTTGTTAGAAAGCTTTGGGCGTGGGACGCTTGGATTCTACAGTGCCTAACGCAACGTACATTCAACTCGAGTTACTTCAAAGCGTTTACAAGCATCTAATTACGGTTGGAAACTACAATATGGGTGCAGTAGATGTAGATTAATGACTCAACAGTGATAGAATGCAAATGAACAAAAATATGAGGGTAAAAATAACCACCATTTATAACTTGACCATATGTTTACTTTTTAAGATGACTGTAAGTGCACAAAATATAAACTCCTTTTCTTGTAGTAAAAGGTAATCAGTTCTAAAATTCGATTTTTACAAGGAAACCCCTTTTGATGAAGGCAAATAAGTATGCTATGGAAAATGTGTGTTTTTCATGAATCGTTTGGCAGAAAATGCTCTAGCTATTGAATTTAGGGAAGACAAATGATTAGTCCACTTAAGAATTGAACAATGGGGGATCTTTAGATTGTGCATGACGTTAGCTTGGATTCGGGGGAGACTACATGAGGGCCCTTGATGTGTGTTAGTGTGCTTCCGACTGGGAGACCATAACCGGGATGGGCTTAGTTAACTAACGTCGCAGCTGGTGTACCTCTCTCTTGGCCCGCGGCGTCGGAATGGGCGGATCGGAGACGTTTAGGTGCGAGAACGTCGACGCCGCCGTCACAAAGGAGGCGCCCGAGGAGCAGGATGAGGTGGCCGACGACGAGGATGCGTTCGAGTTGCGCTCCGACGACTCGTTTCCGGTGGTCTCCTCCCGCCAGCAGTTGCGCTCCAGCTTACTGATCTCCGCGCTGACGGCGGCGGCGGTGGCCGCCACCAGGGCGTTCGAGCTGCCCTGCCTGCGGGGCGGAATCGGCGGCGATTGCACATCCGGCGGACTGTCAAAGCTGCTGCAGTCGGCCGTGGGCGGCAGCGGCTGGCGCGGTCGGGTGGGCGTGGAGGTGTGCCGCGGCGGCTTCGTCTCCACGTGCGGATGCGCGGCATACGGATGGTTGTAGTAGGAGGCGGGCGTGGACTGCGGAGGTGGCGGGCGGGCTGGCGGTGCTCCTCCTCGCCTTTGCTCTGCGTTCGGCTTAAGCTGCGTGGGCCGATGGACGATGTCAGGATGACAGGTTGCCAGGAATGGGGATGGGTGCAATGGTGAGTCGAGTGTGATTGGTTATATCGGTGTGTGTGTGTGTTTGTGTTTGTGGGGTGTGGGGTGTTTGTGGGCATGAGACAGGGGGGGCAGACGATCGATCGATGACGACATACAGTTGTGGACACAGACACGACACAGACAAGGAAACAAAAACAAGAAGAGCATGAGAACATAAACATAAACATCACAGCACATCGAGATGAGTGGTCGATTTAGCTTAGCGGCAAGCATGTGAACGGCTGCTCTGGAGCGCATCCCAAACTATTGGAGCTGCTGCAGCCGAAGCTCGTACGCCCGCACCAGACTACTTACACTGCGGTCCACGGCCGGCGTCTTGAAGAGCGGATGGTTCTGCAGCTCCTGCGACAGGTTCATCTCCGAAGATGAGCACAGCGAGCTCGCCGAGCTAACAGCAGGAGACGCAGCGAGGTGATGACCGTAATGAGGACCAGCAGCCGTGCCGTACGCATGGCCGTTCGGCTGAATGTGGCTGCTCGAGCTAGACATGGCCAGCGGTATGGGGCCGCGCCGCTGGAACTCGCGCGTCTCCCGGGCGCCGCCGGATCCCCCGATGCCACCGATGCCGCTGCTTCCCGTGACGGAGGCAATCCCATCGAGCCGCTTGCTGGTCACCGGCGAGCTGGGAGCCGAGTGGTGGGCCGCTCCAATGGCCTTGCCACCGCGCGCGTATCCTGCACTGGCGCCGTCCGGACGATCCGAGTGGTTCGGCGATCCCAGGCCAAAGTGGAAGTGACTGCCGCCGAACTGGTTGCCGTTCTCGCGCAGCTTTGTCTTGAAGCCCTTGTAGGCGGTTTTCATGCCACGCGAGCCCTCCTTCACCTGAATCGAGGGGATAGATAATGCAATTAGTATGCGGACTCCTTCACAGATTCCTGGACAGATACACAAAAGCGTTCGGTGGACAAAAGTCACAAAATCGGGCATTAAACTTTGGGGGACTCGACCACTCACCGATTTGACGGCAGACTTTACGGCCGGATTAGTCTGCAATGGTTAGACAGACGCATGTTTTGATCAGAAAACGATTGGGCAAACGACCGCAGCGAGAGCAGAAAGCACAGAGGAGTGTAGGATGAGCGATCCAAGCGGCATATGGAAGAGAGACACACAAGATACGGGCGAGATACGGTGTGAATGAGATGCGCAGATTGACCAGCGGGTTATTTAAGCTACGGCTAACTACACTTAATGGCTACGATGACAATGCTGATTCGGGTAATGGGTGTTGGATATATGGGTTCGGGTAATGGGTAATGGGTAATAGGTAATGGGTAATGGGTACTAGGGATCACTGGGGCAATGGGGCCTGACACGTCGAGGCGGTGATTATAATCTGCGTTCCAAGCGATATCACAGCTAAAGGCCATTAATCGCAGTTAAAAATGTTAGTAAGTTAATGGATTAGTCCAGAAGCTATTGTAGACTACAAGGTGTTTAGTAATTAAGCACTATGATTTTTGATTAATTTAACTACTGCTAAAAAAGCAAAAGTATTGAAAAAATAGAGCTTTTCACCGATCTAGCCAATTGATTAAGCCAATATGTTAGTCTAGAAACTGGTTAAAGATTTAGATAAATGGATCCATTACCAATTAATCAATGTTACTTATTATTTCAGCCTGATTAGTTCAGTCTGAAATGGATTATTTGGAATTTTGTTTGTTGGACGATATAAAAACAAAAAAGAAAGTAAAAAATAATAATAAACAATTAACTAACTAAAACAAAGAACTCATTAAATGTCAGATATTATTCGAGAATGCAGCAACAAACATTTAAACGTTTCTTTTTTAGTTTATGGCAACATAAATTATTTGGTGCAGTTGCTTGTTAGGACGTTAAGTTATTTGTTTGCATAGAGATAAGAAATAATTTGAACTAACATTGCAAATAAGGTGTGTGGGAATTTACATTCTACTCGTTTATATATTGGTATTTGGTTTTGGTGGATTTGGCATGGTTGGCAGTCTACACATTGTTCTTGGCAAACAATCGGGACAAACTGCACTTTCCCAAATACTGTGGAATAGATTAAATCAAATCAGATAAAAGAACATCATAAGGTGGGCAGGTAGGTAGGTAACTTAAGAGTAAAGTGGGTTAGCGAGTCAGCGCAGAGAGAGGCGGTAACGAAATGCAAGCCCTGTTCCCAGTTCCCAGATCCCAGATCCCAGATCCCAGTTCCCAGTTCCCAGTTCCCAGGTACCCTCCAAGCCCTCCAAGGCAACTGAGGGGGATGATGGTGATGGTGGTTCGACCATGAGGGTTAGGTTAACAGCATTGGGCCACCGCTGGTGGCCACCAGTGACGCAGCAGCCTCGGCTCACCTTGTCCTTCAGGTTCTTCATGATGGCATAGTTGCGGCCTCGTTTCTTTTTCTCCGCATAGCGCACCGTCTCCAGTTCGAACTCGTCGGAGAATCCAAGTCCGCTGTTGAGCATGTTTAGGCGATCGTCGATGAACTGCGCAAAGATCTGCAGATCCATCATTTTGGCAAGAAACGGACGCAGATGCGCCGGTCGAGATTCGATGAATTTTTGGGGACTGAAAGTCTTGCTGGTCTCGTGGTACTCCACCGCGTCCCGATAGCCACCGATCAGCTGCACCAGTGCGTTCAGGAAGATCTTCGAGATCCGGTCGCCGATGTGGTCATGCGTGTGATTCAGATGCTTCTTTAGCTGTGAGACAATCTCCGTCGGCAGATTGTGCACATCGTCGAATGGACTTTCGAATATTTTCGTATCACAGTTCAGGATCACAACTTCGCCCAGCTCATCGCTGGTCACCTGATAACAAAAGGAAAATTGTAAGTACCTCCAGCAAAGTCTACAAAGTGTAGTTGCGCCCGCTTACAGTTTCAAGCACTGGTTCTGGCACACCAATCAGATATGGCATGGGTGCACCCAGGTAGTCTTTGAACTCCCACGGCAGCACCGGTATGAATATGTGCTGCCATACCATGGGATATAGGAATGCGTTCGCCGCCTGGATGCACGAGGACAGCCGGTCCAGGTGCCGCGAGGTGAAGATAATTCGACGCTCGGCCAGCATGGCAGCAAACACGGCAATCATCTCCTTGGGCTCCACAAAGTTGTAGTATAAATTCAAGTTGTGCTATGCAACAAAACTGTGTTTAAAGTTCCTCTTTTAGTGGGTATTCATACTGGTAATACTTACATTTTCTGGCATGCTGGGCAACTGGAACTGCAGTGGGCGCTCAAAAACAAAGTGCTGTTTATAAGGCAACAATAATTGATTTAAGCTTTGATGAGGAATCGTCAAAGATATTCAACTTACACTCTGCCCAACGTTGTAATAGACTTTAAGGTTACCGCCGGAATCCGGGATGCCCTGGTTGTAGGCCTCGGACAGGAAGGCGCGGAAGCCATTTGAATCAGTCCGCTTCAGCTCGGCCAGAATGGGTAGTAGCTTCAGGAAGGTGTCGTGCCACGGCAGGTAGGTGATCAGCACCATGGCCGTGTTCGTCTTGGGATCCTGCCGACAGAAGCCAAAGCGCCATTTCGAGTCGCCGGTGGTGTGCACAAAGGAATACGTCTGCACCGAGGTGCTGTTCATCGATAGAGAGAAATAATTTTCACAGTAAAAAGTGTTAGTATTGCCATGGTATTATGAGAAGTAATGACTCCCCAATGCCCAAGGTTCGGTCAAAGATACGTTCGCTCCGGCCACGCATTGAATGGCCTTGCTAATCATACGTTGCCCAATGTTATGCATGATGAGTGGTTGATGTTCGATAGAGCAACGAATAACCAAGTAATACATTTAAAGCACACTTGTAAACAAAATAAATGTCATACCACACAGCACTATAAAATATTATTTATTAAACAGGGGAAGTCCCTCATCTCACTAGTAATTCTTAGCTGCAAGTAAAGCATACACTTAAAGTTATAAAGGCGAAATATAATTTTATATTTCTGTCGACTGTCGATGAATGCGATAAACCACGAAATCCCCCAAGTGCGATCTTCAGTGAGTAATGCTACGACTTCCTCTTCATTTTTAACTCGTAACCCAAATAAATGTGATTTTTCGCACGACTTGTGCTACTGAGTCGTAAAGTGACGACACATAACGCCAACAAACTTGCCTAATGAATTCAGGGTTAATTATAAAAGCATACAAATCATTTCGATTTTTATTATTCTTTCCGCTCTACTTTCTGTGATTTTCCAGTGTCTCATTGAGCAATACCCTTACAAATATGGCAGAGTACGAGCTAATAGTAAACAACTTGTTTTGATATCCTGATTACAAAATATTGTTTTAGTTGGCCACTCATTGACCAGCGAATCCCCTGGGTGATTCAACAGTTGTTTAACTTTTATGGTGGGAATTTTGAGTAAAGGCGAAATGTTTTTGTGCTCGCCCTTCACATTTCTTTCTTAAGCCCCCATGTCTAGTTTTAGCTTTCTTCCCATTTGTTTTACTTATTTTCGTGTGCCTTTTATGCGACGCGTTGTCCGCATTAATTATTGTGTTGAAATCGCATTTAACAAATTAAATAAATCGCAATTTTGCAACAATGACTGCGCACTCTCGTTACTCGGGCACGTTTCCCATTGTCCGCCGATTTGCATATTGTTCGACTTCAGCTTCAGTTTGAGCTTTAGCTTTAGCTTCGACTGAGGCTCTTTTACTCTTTGCGCCCAGTTACATAAAGTCGTTAGATCTAAGTGTTTCGGATCGTGTCATTGCTCAATTTAATATGCAAAGTCAGGCGGCGCGCACTACGCCGAATCCGCAGCTGATACGGCTGCTCCCACAGATCGAGGAAATGGAAATGGAGGCGGAATGGAAAGGAAGCGGCAAGGCTATCTGGGGCGGTTGGGGCGTTGACTTGGACATGCCTTTCTTTATCGCGGGACTGTGCCCAAATATACAACTGCGGTCATGATAAGAGCATAGGAAATTCGGTCTTGAAAATTTCTTCAAACTGTGTGAAAATTAAAACTTGTGAATCTATTTTTTTCGTTTTAAAATTAATGTGTTAAGTAGGTGAATTAAAAAATACTTTTAAAAATTCTATACTTATGATTTGCTAATTTATATGATTTGATAGTTTCAATGTGTGTATTTATTAAGTAATCACCTTAGCATTAAAATCTTAACTTAATTATTTCTTGATTTTCTTTAGTTATTATTATATGACGGCAGCAAAAACACTCTCATCTTAATACTTATTTTCATTGAAAATATGATTCAGTTAAAATTTGCTCTTGGCGACTACAATTTTAACCACAACTGTATGTGAATAAACAAAACCTTTGCTTAAATATGAACAACGGCACTCGACGTTGCTTCCACCAGGCAAACGGCGATAAGCTCTGAGGTCAAACCAATTTTTGTCGCTAATAAAGTAATCTGACAGACAAACTTTGAAATTCCAGCAGTGAAAAGTTAATTAATCGCAAATGTTACTTTTTCAATTCCAATTGCAATGGTTTATCAAACGATGAGTTAGCGTAGTTACACGCACAGCCGGGAACAGATAAGCGGCTGGGATGAGTCTGGGGATAGCCAGACGGGTGACTAAGCAGGTGGCGAAGGATTTGCTACAATTGATACAGTTCCAGGTGCTCCAGGAAATGCTAAACGAGTTGCGTCGAACAATGCCCATTGAATAATACAGTTCATTACGCGAACTCGCTGTGTAAACAAACACCGAAAGCGAAACAGCAAAAGCCACAGAAACACAAACGGCACAACAGGTTATTCGTTTCATGGACTAGCTATCTGCGGTTGGCCGGTGGCAGTGGAAGTGGTCGGGTCGAGTGGTGAGTGAGTGGTGACTCATCGACGGAACCCTCTTTCCGTCTGGCTACTACGGACTACGGACTGTTGATGATCGCAGGTCTTGCGTCTGCGACTGCGTCTACTGGTGCTGCGTATGATTTATATTTATAAAACGGACGCCCCCCTCTGACTAACGCCATTTCCGACCCTATAAAGTCAAGATATTGCTGATCAGCATCATCAGACCGCCTGTTTGTATGTGATTGGAAACTTTCCAAAGGTTTTCGTTTCGCAATGCGTTCAAACGCACTATTACACGATATATATAGACCAATAAAAATTGGCTTTGAGTATAACTGCATATAAATTGGGATGTCTAAGTTTTTGGAGCTTTATGACATTTGGAAGACTAAACTTTGTTGTTTTTAAAGATTATGGCATACAAATCGGGTTACTTGTTTTCCGCTTATCAGCCAAACTACTATGTATATCCTTTAGCTGTCTAAACTAAAGCGAATGTAATCCTCTCCTGCATACACACCTGGATAAATCGCAGGGAAAGGCGAACGATGGGATGCCGGTGAGCACCTCCTGGTCACGGAAACCCTCGGGGAAGCTCTCCACAATGACGCCGGCGGGTGCGGCGGGACCACCGCTCCTGGAACTCGTGCCCCTCTCCAATCCCGGCGTCGGCGATACCTCGCACCAGAATTCGAAGAGCTTCTTCACGTCATTTCTGGTAGGGATGAGGAGGAAGAGGAGGTGGAACACGGTATTCGCGGTGACTCGTGGGAGCAAAAGCGCTCCGCCAGCGGCCAGTGGAGCGGAACGCCCACTGCAGCCACCAACTGGAACTGGGCGGCATACTCACTTGATTCGCGATCCCATTTCGAGCAGGTCTAGCACATGTTTCGGTCAGTGGGGGATGGGGATGTTCGTTTGACTTGTGTGTTCAATCTGGGCTGCTAAAAGGGCTAATACTGGATTTGTGACACAATACGGGTGTACTACGGCCTCCACTTCCACTTCCACTTCCACACTTTCCTCCTACTGCTCTTTGTCGCCTGAGATTCGCGACGTCATTGGTTTATTTCCGCCGTTCGCGTTGTATTTCTCGCACTCGCTTGCTCTTGTTTGGGAATGGGGGACCACTGCTCACTAATTTTCTGGCATTTTAGGGCCGCAACAATGGATATTTCACTTGGAACCCGCAGTTTTATGCAAGCAAACAGAACAAAAACACCTCGTACAACAAAATCGCGAACAGTATGACTGTTAGCGGTGGCTCAAAGTCGATTTCGATTCGATAACATTGAATTTGGCAATATCGCTGCAAATATCGATTACTTTCGCTAGTCTGGCAACTCTGCAACACACATTTTTCGACTTGGCGTCCCACGGTGTGTTTACATTTTTCGGCAGTGCGCGGCCTTCATAGTTTTCTTGAAGTTTCTTTACATCCCAGACGTTTCGTTCAAGGTTCCCTATTCCCTCTCGGCAGCCGCACAAAAAATGCATAATATTTTTTACAAAATTACATAAGTGCGTGCACCTAAAACCGCTTGCCTTTGAAAAGTTCCTGTACTACAGCTCTGCGAATTGCGACCGCGAATTACTATACTATAGTTTGGATTTCGATTCCGTCATACTTGGCACGGTAATTACCTGCACCCACTGAACCAGGCGAATCAATAGAGCACCATTCACCACCCACTCCGCCCATTCTTTTGTTGCTGCACGTGATGACGCCGAGGAGAAGTCCGAACCCGAACCCGAAACCAAAACCAAAACCGACACCGAAACCCGGGGTCAATCCAATACTCATAGATACTATCTGTCCACTGCGGACGTAGTTTCGATTTGTGTCACAACCCCGTCACAGGTTTTTTTTCAAGTCGCCTTGTCTAAATTTGTATTTATTCTTTTATTTTCGCCCTCTTTTCAAGGTAAGCCCCCTCCCAAAGTCTGGAACGTAATGCCAGTCACCGCAATCGGCAGAGCCCCCCGGACCGTAAACCCTCGGTTCTAGCACACTATTATAGTTGTAGACGTTAGTTTAGAGTCGCCATGCTGTGCGCCCTTGTCCGTGGTCCATCCACCGGCCACAAGTTGGCCATGTACCGCTCCGTGTCCGAGCTCCTTGGCCCCGTACACGATGTCCGCCACCCGTCCGCCGGAAGAGGCTTCTATCAGCAGCAGCAGCAGCAGAAACCAGTACCCGTATCAGTACCCGTATCAGTACCAGTCCAAGCCCACCGTCGAGATCTGCTGTGAGTGAGCGATAAGCGCCGTAAACGAGCCAAGAGCCAAGTGTACCTGAACCCGTTCCGCCTGTACCGTCCCGCGTCCCGCCTGCCTGCACCCTTTCCGGGGCGTGTGACGTCTGTCTTTGATACGGACGACCACTCGTTCAATCAGAATCCATGTGCATACATTAGCGTGCGGCGATTAGATATGCCCCTTGTACTTATTAGACCGATAAAGCCCATTCATACCGCTAACAAGTCGCGCCGTGCTGTAACTTATTTCATTTGTGGCTTGTTCGCTATTCCAGCTCGCTTTCCCGGGTAGCAGAGAGTTCCAAACCGCCAGTGCGGAGACTTCATTCGGAGCACGACGCCATGTTCTACTCGATGTACGCCTACCTGTCCAACCTGCCGCGCCTCCACGTCTTGGGCATGGCGGTGGTGGCCTATGTGGTCTATTATCTAATCCAGGTGGTCAAGGTGAGTGTAAGGCCAGCGATTACATCACGTCCGGTGCGCGACTAATCACCAAATTGGTCTTGCAATTACAGCGACCGATTATCGCCTGTTCGGATGGGCCGTTTAAGCAGTATCTGATCCGCAAGGTGCCGACGCTGGAGAACAAGTACTGGCCTACCTTCTGGTGCGTGGAGAGCCGTGCCCAGACCGTCCTTGCGAGCCTGCTGCGCTCCAAGAGTCTGCCGCACGTCAACTACCGCCGCGAGATCCTCTCGCTGAAGGATGGCGGCGAGGTGGCCCTGGACTGGATGGAGGAGGGCTGCGAGGCCAGCTCTCCATGCATCCTCATCTTGCCGGGCCTCACCGGTGAGTCGCAGGCTGAGTACATTAAGTGCCTGGTCTTTGCCGCCCAGCAGGCTGGCATGCGGGTGGTGGTGTTCAACAATCGCGGACTTGGCGGCATCGAGCTGAAAACCCCTCGTCTCTACTGCGCCGCCAACTGCGAGGATCTGTGCGAGGTCGTCCAGCATGTGCGTCGCAGCCTGCCCGAGCATTGTAAGCTGGGAGCCACAGGCATCTCCATGGGTGGCTTGATCCTGGGCAACTATCTGGCCCGCAAGAGCGACGAGGCCAGGAGCTTCCTGTCGGCGGCCAAGATCATCTCGGTGCCGTGGGACGTGCACAAGGGCAGTGCCAGCATCGAAAAGCCGGTGATCAACAGCCTGCTGGGACGCCATTTGGCTGGCAGTCTGTGCCGCACATTGCGCAACCATCTGGATATCTACAGGGACATTTACCAGGACTCCGACATGGACATTCAGCGCATCCTGCGCTGCAAGACCATCAAGGAGTTCGACGAGCTGTTCACGGCCAAGCAGTTCGGCTATGCCCATGTGAATGACTACTACTCGGATGCCACGCTGCACAACAAACTGGACCACATCTCGGTGCCGCTGCTGTGCCTGAGTGCTGCCGATGATCCGTTCCAGCCGCTCGATGCCATCCCCATCAAGGCGGCCAACCAGTGCACCCATGTGGCCATCATCATTACGGCCCGTGGCGGCCACATCGGCTTCCTCGAGGGCTGGTGGCCGTCCACCAAGGACCAGTACATGGGCCGCCTGTTCCAGGAGTACTTCACCAAGGCTCTGTTCGACGAGGACGGCGAGTTCCAGCACACGTCCAACAAAATGCACGAGCGATTCTTAGCCAAGCAGACGGTGGCGCTGGCCTCCTCGTCGCCGCTGCTGCTGGCCAAGAAAATGGACTCCGACCAGTTGGACCACAAGGTCAAGCTGATGTGAATGAGGCTCAATACCCTTGCTAAGTTTTTGTCCAGCTGGGTTTTCCAGTTAAATTCATAGTTATTCGCGTATGTATTCCGATAGATTTCCGTGAGCGAGGACCTTCGTACACATGTGATATGAAACATTGATCAAAATCCAAAGTGAATAGGGAACCAAATTGTCAGTCAATACGGATAGATGCCTAAATTATTCTTAGACCGTGACACTAGTGACATATCATCTTGAAAATGCAAAAGGCTTTACGACTAGTAGTGGTAAATTCAAATACAAATATTTATGACACAATGCAATAATCTTATATTTTTACAAGTTCCGTATATTTATAACTAATAAAAATACAACGCTTAATAAAGAGAAAAATAAAACACTTTCACTGCATAATATAGTAGATTTGACAAGCGAGACGTATTGGGCTTGGGGTATTTCCCGAGTCGACCCAGGATTACCCCCTCGTAAAAACCAGGTTCCTAAAGCTAAAATACCAATTGCAAGTGGCCTAAATGGGCTTGTAGAGCAGCGTCGTGACGTACTTCTTGCGATACCGATGCGTGGCACTCAGCACCATGACGCCATCCTTGATGGACAGTGCGTACAAGTGGTTCAGCATCACATGGTTGGGTTCCGGCAGCAAAGTGGGTTCGCACTAGGAGTAAACGGAGATTACATTAAGGGGGACATCCGGCAAAGCACTAGGATTACCTACCGAAAGCGGTGTGTCCTTGTTGAGGATGACCTGCAGCAAGTGGGGCGGCAAGACTGGTGGGCCGGATACCTTCTCCCAGGGCTTCACCTGGGGCACCTCCTGCGTGTACTCCTTCTCCGCGAAGTTGGTCACATTCTCACTGTCTTTGGCCAGCGCCTGGAACACCTCGAAATCGGATTCCCGCACGGACACCAAGTTATTTCGATGTCCCTCGTCGTTCTCAACGCTTTTCTGAAATTGCAAACCGATGAGTAATAATCCATTTTGTTTGTCGTAATCTTAGCTGTGTAAACAGTGCCCAGGGAAATAACTAATACATAGGGTCTCTGCTGCGTGCCTTTCATGGGCAGTTCCCATATGTATATAATTGTAGCCAATAACAGGGGCCCTTTCGTTGAGTTCAATAAAACTGATGAAATTGGATAACAATATTTGCGATAGAACAGAAATTGGACTGAGTTTCGTATGAAAGTATAACTGTAAGCAATAATCTTCTGCGATAGCTATATACTATACATATGCGATGAAAAGCAAATTGCGTAGAACATTTTCTGTAAGTAGACGGAGGTCAATATTTTATTTTAGGTAATAACTTGATTCATTTTGCTGAGTGGAATTGATAGCGATACTTGCTTTCGCAGTGAAATTCCGTGGAATATTTTCTATGAGTAGTTGGTTTTAGATTTGCTTACAGAAGCACTTTAAAAAAATATTTTATGACAAGTTGAAAAATGGAGGAGGCTAAATTGTTTGATAACTAAAGCAATTAGCTTAGATATTTTCAATGAGATGTTCGCCTTTTTCTTATAAACCTTTGTAGCTTTTGATTATGTATACAAGTTGAAAAGCTTTGAAAACTATTTAAAACGTTTTACGTTACGAGATTAGTTTTACGATTAAATCTAAATAATATAAATATAAATTCGATTAACACTATTTAAAATGAATTTGAAATCTATATAAAAATCTATATTGTTGAGTTCAATAAAGTTTATGGAGTTGAATTTTAACGCCAATAAGAATATTGAATTGGTTGTTTTCCTGATTAGCCCGCTTTCCGTAGTTTACTCATATACATTTTTAAGTTAAAAAAAAATTAAAGATTATTTTAAGAGAAAGTAAATTTTACTTTGGTTTGGTCTGAGTATAGTTAGATTTATAGCACAAGGTTACCGTCATCTACTTTTAAGTAATGTTTTAAAACAAGTTTAGCTCCGAAAGCCTTTTGTTTACCAAACGCTTATTTAAAATTTCAATTGCTTTACTGATAACACTGCTCACAGATCGCTTTAATTGGGGCTTCCGATAAAATAGCTAGAGCGCGCCGGATGAGCATCTCTGAACCCAATTGAAATCCACTACTGATTACTGGGGGACTTCGGTTTGTTTACGCCGATTACACAACGCGGGGCGAAAAACTGCGTCATTCGGGCGCCCGAATCGTAAACACACGAAAAAACTGAGCCCACTTTATTGATTTTCTTTCCAAAACACAAGGAACTGACCAGCTTGGGATCGTGCTTCCACTCGCCGTCCACGCAGAACTTGTACTGGTGGTCTCCCTCGGGCAGATCGATGATGGTCACAAAGTTCTGGTGGCTGCGGACCATCGTGATGGGCTTCCAGTCGCTGAAGGTGCCCGAGATGGTTACGTGCTTGCCGCCGCCATCCCACCGCAGCACGGTGGGCAGAGCCGTCTTCCGAACGTCGTCCTCCTCGCTGAGCAACTGAGATCCGGGCTCCGCTGGTTCCGTGCCCGGCTCCTCCTCCTCCTCGTTGTGCTCCATGCTGGATCGCTCTCGGTGAACCGCTGAGGCTGACGACTCGTCGGCGGTGCGCCTGTTGGATCCAGTTGCAGTTCCCGTGTAGTACGGGTCGTCGTCTTCTTGCGACGAGCCCTCGTTCAAGACTGCCGTATGTTTTTTGTCGAACGAGAAAGCTTGGCCTCCGCCCCCGCCTCCTCCCGCCCCCGCTACTGCACCGCCCACCAAAGCTGCTGCGCCAGCACTCCCGCCCTGTACCGTTCCCCCTCCCCCGCCCCCTGCTCCACCAACCGAGTCGCGGAAGTGTGCGGGAGAGCTCGGCGTGGACAAGTCGGTCGACTTGTGGCGCTCGCGCTGCATGTGCACTGAGGAGCTGGCGTTGCCCATGTCTAAAGCCGCTCTCGCTGGCCCTTCGGCAGGTCACGACCCGAGTTTTAAGAGGTTTTGTCTGGTGTTTGGGTCGCTCTTCTCCTGTGTCCCCTTTGACTTGGCACTTTGTTTTCCCCCTCTCTGTGTTGCTTCACGGACGACACTTTTCGCGGTTTGGCAGTCTCTTAGAAGTATTTGGCATTTAGTGTGCAGAAAACTGCGTTAATTATTGAATCTTTGTTTCGTAAAAAAGTTGCTAAAATTAAATTGGCGAGAGACCACACAGAGTTGCTTTTTCGACAGATCAAAACAAAGGAGCTATCGGGCGATAACACATTGTGCCGCCCTGGTCGTAACAGCTGTTAATGCTATCGGAACTGCCACTTGTTATAAATATTGCAACAGCTTTTGGCAGAAAGCCGTTAAAGCTTCGCGAACAACTAATTGTTTTAAATTTAATTGACATTGATAGCAAAAATAATCAATTCTTATCGTTTTAATTTTTATAAATTGTTTTGCTGAATTGGTGGTAGCCAACCGGGTAAATTCCTTAAATAGATATCATTTCTAAATTAGGTCAATGAATCATAATATGTATCTCTTAATATAAAAATGCTATGGAATTCTGGAGTGACTAAGCCCAAGGCATATAAAGAAAGTCATAAAATTTTAAAAAGAGCATTTCCCGGGTCGCTCTTTTTTTCTGTAAGTGCATTAAAAACAAGCATTACAAAACACAGGAAAAACTGAGGGTCCAAAGTCCACAGAAAAGTGAAACAAAGAGCAAGGGCGGAAGTTCGTTGGCAAGGCTGCTCTATGATGAACCAGGTAGAATGTGAATTTAGCTGCCAAAACAGATGCAGCCAAAAACAGACTCTGTGGACAGAATCACTGAAAAGAAACTGCGATCAAAACAAACTAGAAAACTGACTCGGAAAGTCAGGTACCAACACTAGAAACCAGACGCTTTCCAGACGATGGCAACATCCAAAGAAACTCATGGAAAATACACACTGGATTAGCTAGCATACACTTAAAAAAAACATTCAACTCAAAATAATACTTCCAATTTTAATGTCTCTGTTTATTTTGCAAGCCAATTTAAAGATTTGTATTGTTAGAAAGCAGAAATAGTACAATATTAAAACTACAATATCAGAAATAATTAAATAAGAGTTAAAGCCCTTTGCTTGGTTTCGATACACTGTACGAGTTTTCCATTATTTTTATAGAAAATGTGCGTTATAGATTACAAAAAGTCAGCTTGGTTTAATGGGTTTATTAAGTATGAACTTAGATTTAAACTAATCAAGCATGTTCAAATTCTTGATTTAAAAAATTTTTTAAACCGATATACATAAGATTTATTTTCTGTGCACTCGTGTGGTTTGTATGGGTGCATGCGTGGTAGACCCACTCACACACTCACACACACACCAAGACAAAACCCGACGCCTTCGCATTTAAAATTGATTAAAACTAAAAAGACTCGATTCCGATGCCGATGCCATGCCTTGTTTCGTTTTCAGTGCGATCGCAGACATTGTGCAAAACGGTTCACAGTTCTCTCTGCTCGACTGGAAGTGAAGTGACCGTGCTGCTATTGTTGTTGTTGTTGTTCTTTCTGTTTTTGTGGGAGTGGGAGTGCACTGAGCGAAGTCGGAGAAATCGTGTCAAAAATTAATTGGAATTAAAGCCTGCAACAGAGTCGCAAGTGTCAAGTGAGCATATGAGGTAGGTCAGTTGGCTGGGTTGACCTCGCCACCCTTATCAGTAGGTGACTTTTCAAGGCTAACCTTACTAACCAACTGAACACTAAGCCGAAAATCTAAACAATCTAACTATTTCCCATGGCTCCCGTGAACGGAGCGTGTTTCAGTCGATTGCTGACCACATTATCAGCCTAGGCGGTGAACTGTTTTGAACTGCTAATTGATAATATGTACGCGGCAACACCTATATATTTAGATTCGAAAGCGAATCAGCTCAAACATTAAACTACGACGCACTTGCCACTTACGTGCAATTTTATCGAAGCCTGTTTGATCAGCCTCAGTAAATTTGAAATACCTCTTTGCTCGGTGTTATAAATACTCTCCTAACTCGAAAACAAAAGACCCCACCCCTGCACCACTCGGTGGAAACAAACAGAAACGTTCAAGATGGCCACCGCACCACCTGGAGCAGATACGATGATAATACATGTATACCAAGAGACCTTATCAATAACTCGACTTGTTTTCCCACTGCACCATAAATGAATTCAAAATCAATCTAGCTCGTACGACAGTCACAGCCAAAAAAAGAAAGATCTCACACTTGGAAACAGCTCGGGGGGCACGAGCCCACCGAAAAAAACAAGATTTCAGAGTCAAAATAAATAAATTACGGTGTCTTCACATATATATTTTTAGCTTTATCAATTTCGGGCGTTTCTTTGGAGGCTCGACACATACATATACACACACAGCCAATCGGAACGAGATCCGCAGCGAGGGTCGCACCATGGATAGCGTCAAGTCGTTCTTCGTCGGTTCCAGCAAAGATGGAAACCTGTCCAACAGCCAGCAGTCGAATGTGCCCGGATCCTCCATCAGCAGTCGCTGGGGACGGAGCTGGAGCACCAGCTCCCAGCAGACGGATCCCGAACCAGGACCCTCCAACTCCACGGTCAGCAAGAGCGGAAATCCATGCGATGTGAAGCGCAAGGATAGTGATAACTACTTTTACATCATGTAAGTTGGGTTTCTTGTTACAAAATTATATTTTGAGAGTGGGTACCAAGAAGTGGCGAGATAAGATAGACACATCTTTATTTGATTTGCTCTTGGGCATTTTCAGTTAGTTATAAAACATTACACACGGTACAAAGTCCAGTAATTTCATTTACTATACATGATCATTGATTATACTATCATATTTACTTTTTTTTTTCATTTCATTTTGCAGATAGTTAAATACTACTAAAGATGAGTCACAGTTGATTAGATTTACTTTCAGATAATACAATATACTTAGTCTTATTATATTAATCATTATACTGTTTTTATATTTTAAAAATTTAAAAGATTTTCCTCTTGAAAAGATTACAGATAGTAAAAATATTAATAAGAATGGATTGGCGATCATTTGATCAAAATTATACATAAAATGTAACATAGAGTCGTCTAAAGTCTTCTGTACGTTTTAAATGGTTCTAATATAACTATCTATCAATATTTAAAGAATAGGAATTTTAAAGTGGTTCTTTTGCAATCCATGTACTGATATTTTGAGGTAAACATTAGGTTCCCAACGATTTCCTAATCCTTTGTGAGGTAGTATACACCAAAAGTAGATAAGATAGATTGCTTGATCAATGACCCTTCAAGTTGTTGATTTTCAAAACACTTTTACCAGTACACGCGTATATCTTTAATTGTATCTTTGTGTTCCATTCTTTGCTTTATAACTCTGTGGCTATTTTTTGTATGTAGTGCTCAAGAGGTTTTTATTTCCTGTTTATTACTTTGTTTACTTGCAACTGAGTAATCAGTCAGTGCACATGGAAATCCATGTGTAAATGGTTTGGTATATGCTGTAATTTCGGAGCCCTGATAGCCGTGCAATGCCTGCAATTGACGATTACGACAGGGGTTAAAAGCTCGATCAATATGATTAATTAAATGCCAAAAGACCGTAACCAAACGTTCTCTATAGAGGCAGGCAAACCAGTTTGTGCGGTCATAGATTCGTAAGCTTACCTTGAACGCCCGCGTTTTGAGCGCTGCTCGGCCTAGGCTGGCTCAGAGTTCTGAGCGAGATAGCCTGATGTTTGGACGTTGGGGATCTGGACTGGAACTGCAAAACCAGTTAAGAGTCAGTTGCGAATCAACTGCCGCCGCGAACAGCTGAGGAAGTCCCGTATTTAGAATGAGAGTGGCCGGGGATAGCCCCGAAAATAACCGATCTGGGCGTGGATCTGGCCAGGGGGTATGGGTATAAAGTGCGTGATTCAGTGGAGCAGCTGGTCAGTAACCATTGGGCAATCATACTCTCAGCACGCTGTAAGATCCGCAGTCGGGCTTAAAATCACCAAAACCGCAACTGATGCAATACCATCTCTCGTTTCGATTCGTTTTAGGTGGCGCGCTTGAAGAATACCAGACTATTGTGGATCGGAGCATCATTTGGATGAGTCGTGATCCGTATCTCAAGTGACCTGCAGCTGTATCTGTAACCCTATTAGGAACATCGGAGCGCTAGCGGCAACAACAGCCTTTTGCCTTGTTGCACCATCTCCATTGGCCGAGTCCGGTGTTTAGTGATACTAGTTATTTATTTACAATTATACACACAAGACATTCAATTACCCCCCTATTTGTACGTACTGTCCGATCGATCCACCCTATCTCCTATATGGACGCCCTCACCATTTTGGGCTTGGTCTACTGGCTGATCTGCATGATTTTGTTCGGACCGTTGATGTTCTTTGTCTGCGTCTACCTGCCCGAAGTTCCGGTGCGATATGTGAAGAGTCTTAGGCAACAAACCTGAGTGCCTGTTCCTTTCCAACCCACTTGACCAGGAATTAGCCAAGTCCGTAGTACATAGATTAATCAAGCCATAGTTGAAATGATATTGATGTACAACCGATCGATTTTTAATAAAATGCTACTCCAAAATGTATGGAACTTAAATGTTAAACTTGTTTCAATCGGTGGGGCATTGGTAAGGGGATTTTTTTGGTTGATCAAAAAACCCCCACATGCGTCAGTATAAAATTAAATGCATATCTATAGGACCATAAAAAGATTAAAAAATCCGAATTTCTAAGCTTCATATCCGCCGATTTATTAGAACCGTTTTAATAAAATATTTTGGTTTATTCTTTCTCTGTACCTCTCGCATTAAGTTGCAGTCGAGTGGTTTCTTACTTTTATTTACGTAAGTTATTCAATACAAAGCTAAGTCTGCGGGAATATGAGTGCCACAAAACATATTGCTGGTGTTTCAAAAAAAGCTACTTTTGTTGGTTGGAATATTGGATCTGCAATCAGTTGACGGCCAACCAAATCGGCCATTTATTTGCGTTAAAGAAAATAAACAAATAAAATCACAAAATAGTACCAACAAAATGTGAAAATACAATATTTTTTTCGATAGGGGTATCTATGTTAGCTGATGTGTGGCCTGACTATGCTCCTTTCGTTTATTTGTTAAATCACATTCCTATTTTGTTACCCATTTGATTGCCAAAGGAATTAATGCCTTGTTTTTCTCTCCTTCGTTTCAAACTAAAATTTTGGCTTAATTAACATTATCTGTTTTTAATTAAAACAAGAAGATTGGGTCGGGGGTGAATATGCAGAACAGTGGGGAGATTTCGATAGCGCTTTAATTTAGTTGGACCAGGACAGCAGCTGCTTCATGTCTGGATCATCTGTAATGGAATTCAGCTAAGAATTGAAGCTGTAAACTTAAAGGCTGCAAGTAAACTCACCATCATCGGGCACTACAGCTGTCGTTGCGGCCGCCTTCTTCTTCTCCTTGGCCTTCTCGGGCAAATCTTCTGTGGGCGCTTCGGGCAATGTGGGTGCCGGCTCGGGAATACCAATGATTTCCTTGTCGAAGTTCTCCTGCTCCAGCTCGTCAAGTTCCCGCTCGAGATCCTCATCGTCGAGATCGGCGCCAAAGGCCACTGGGTTGGAAATGGCATCGGAAATCTCACGGGCCACGTCCTGCTGCTCGGCAATGTCGTCCATCATGTCGTGCACCTTGTCCACATCCCTGTAAATGGGTGAAAGTTAGTGCTTGACACACATGGTGCTGCGGATCTATGACTCACATGTTCTGGTGGGCTGTTTTGAGGGCATCCGCGGCATTCTTCATTGTGGTCAGAACGGCAGTGTTCGTGTTGGCGCTCTCCAAAGCCTCCCGCTGCATCTCAATGGTGGACAGGGTGCCATCGATCTGCTGCAGCTGCTTCTCCAGGCGCTTCTTCTTTTTGAGGGCTTGCAGGGCCACTGAAAAGGTGACAGAAAAGGAGATTAGCCGGATCCCAAGACGAGATTAAACAAATGATATGGCCAATTTGATATGTGTGGTTTCGAATTGCTCTACTTCTAAGGCTTGTTTGTTTTGGGTTATCAAAAGGAATGTTTATATTACGTTCTAGCGATTTGCGGACACGTCCAGGCATCGAATGGTATGCGGGTGAGAAGGGCGAAGAAATACAGATTGTTTTATTGAGTGTTCTATTTGCTGGGCAGCAGCGGGGGCTGATTAATTGACGGCCTTTCGGCCGCAACAAAAACAAAGCAATGAGTCATTTTCCCAGGCCCAACTGGTGGCTGACTGGGATTACAAGGACCTCCGCATGCCGCACACGTACCTCGTTTGTTTTTGGACGCATTCTTGCGAGCTATATTCAGCTCGTCCTCGATCTTGGCCTCCAGGAACTCCTGCTTTTTGATGAGCATGTTCTCCGTCTCGCGCAGCTTCTGTATCGCCTCGCCGGTGGTGGGGGCCACCTCTTTCTTGCCGCCAAACATTTTCCCGAAGAAACTCATCCTGGCTGGTCTGCTTTTTCACCCGGACTTAGCAAAAATTTGGATTTTTTCCTCAAATTGCGTTTCTTGGTTGTCTGCGGATGTTGTTCGTATGCGTCACCCGATACCGATTGGTCTGTCTATCGGTCTTGTCATCGTAGTTGTGTATGCAGTTGGTATTTGTTCCGGACCGTAGGCATTTTTAACTGAGCGCGCTCTGGTCACACCGGCTGAGCAACGCCGAAAAATAAATAAATATATAATCTGCAATTGCGCGTTTTACCGGCCTGGCATAAACCAAGCACCATCGAATTGCGGGATCAGCTTATCATACCGTGACAAGGCAACCGGAATCCACCGAGAATGGCCAACCGCACGGTGAAGGAGGCGAAAAACGTGCACGGCACCAACCCGCAGTACCTCATCGAGAAGATTATACGCTCCCGGATATACGACTCCAAGTACTGGAAGGAGCAGTGCTTCGCCCTCACCGCCGAGCTGCTTGTGGACAAGGCCATGGAGTTGCGTTTCGTCGGCGGCGTCTACGGCGGCAACATCAAGCCCACCCAGTTCCTCTGCCTCACGCTCAAGATGCTGCAAATTCAGCCGGAGAAGGACATCGTGGTGGAGTTCATCAAGAACGAAGAGTTCAAGTATGTGCGGGCCCTGGGCGCCTTCTATCTCCGGCTCACGGGAGCAGCCCTGGACTGCTACAAGTACCTGGAACCGCTGTACATCGACAACCGCAAGTTGCGCCGCCAAAATCGCGCCGGCCAATTCGAGATCGTCTACATGGACGAGTACATAGACGAACTGCTGCGCAACGACCGTGTCTGCGACATCATACTGCCCCGCATCCAGAAGCGTTCCATTCTGGAGGAGAACAACGAGATCGAGCCCAAGGTGTCCGTACTGGACGAGGATCTGGACGATGAGCTGCCCAGCGACGAGGAGAAGGCGGACGAGACCAACCGCACCAAGGACAACTCAACATCGGTGCGACGGCCGCGAAGAGCTCGCTCCAAGTCCAGGTCACGCAGCCGGGAGCGCGACCGGAGATCTGGCCAGGGAAACAACGCCCGCTCCCGCGACTACTATGACGAACTGGAGGACTACGATCGTCAGCGAAACCGGGTGCGCAATCGGGACACCCAGAACGAGGACTACGACCGCCGGCAGACCGGCAGTGGCCGCCAGGATCGGGACAGAGAGCGCCAGGATCGGGACAAGATAAGGGAGCGTGACAGGAACGGCGACAGGGATCGCCGGGATAGGGAGCGGGAACGCGACCGCGGTCGTCATGATCAGCGGGAACGAGACTCGCGAGGAGAACGCGACCGACGCCGCTATTAAAACTAAGTTTAAATTGAAATAATTGACCAGTAAATAATGGAACAAAAATCAACAGTCTTTTTCTAGCGCAAGTTGGCAGCACCAAAAATTTAAAATCGATAGTCGAAATCAAAACAATAACAAAGAAGAAGCAGATGCAATCAGCTGTTGCTTTAGAAAGTTTATAAAAAAAAAAGACGACACTCCTATAATAGGGAAAAATACAGGCAACTGCGTTGCTGAAACTAATATACATTACTAGTGAATTTAACAACGATAAATCCACGTTAACCAGTGGCAGAGCAGCGAAGCTTTAGTGCCTGAAAAACCTCAGTGGCGTTTGGAAGTCATAATAAGAAAAACTGCGCTGCATTCCGATTCTGGCAAATGAATTGCTAATCCATTATCTCCAGTAGTCTGGTGGCAGTCGGATCCCCGAGTTCCGCGTCAGATAACTACCAAGTCGGGAAGGGAACGGAACGGATCGGCAGAATGCCCCGATCAGACACGGATGTCTTGGTGAGCGACATGGAGGCTGGTGAAGATGCGCCGCCACGCATTCTGGACGCCTCCTCTGCGGCCAGCAGTGAGCAGGTGGACCCGTCGCCAGTGCCCCCTCCTGCGCCGCATGACTACAGCAGCTATCGCTGGTTCATCCTGGAGCCCGCAGTTTTTCTCATCTTCTTTGCCAGATATTTAATTGGTATGACGAGCGGTGGGAAAATCTCGGGGTTCGGTGCACTAATTCAATTATGTCTGTTTTAGGGGCGGTTTATCAAAATCAGATCCTCTACCAGACCTGCGTCACCATCGAGAAATTTAATGCCACGCAATGTGAGCCGCTGCTGGGCATTGATCGCGGATCGGCGGCGGATAAAGTAAGTATAACCATATAATATAATATATATCGCATTGCTTTGGTATCCGCGCTTTTGTTGTTGCTACTGGCGTGCCTGGTTTTTGCTTGAAAAGTGTTTATCTCTAAACGAATTGTTTTGCTGTTCTGTGGGGCGTTTCGGGTTTTTGATATGTGTACAGTAACGATCAGAAAAATAGCACTGAGAAGTAGGGGTTTCTAAAGAATGTATTTTGGTAATATTCAAATTGGTTGTCGAAAACATAAGCAGCAACTATGCTTATAAGTTTATAAACTCAGACGCCCCCATAAATCCAATATTCACAATTTAACAATGAAATTGGCTATGCTACCACTGTAACCGCTGCTGTATCTCAAAGTACGTATATGCACGCTGAGATTGATATATTCTCCATAGAAGCGACCCACTTATTCGGAGTATCGCAGCATCCGACGTGACAAAGCAAAACCAATTAAACAAATCGGTTCAATCTAATGCAAAATTTCCATTGTTTAGTGCTAAGAGATAAGGTATTTGGAACAGGCATTCAAGGCTTATCAACGGGCAAAAAGCAATGTAAACAAAAAACCTTTGTGTCTAAATTTCGAAGTAGTATCGAACTCTAGTCAAGCGTTTTATTTATAATTATAAAAATAAGCTATGCCATAATGACTCATGCAAAGCGTGATCCACAGTTGTGCATAGTTCTAAAGTGAACTTCTGTTTTTCAGGAAGTCGAGGTGATCGTACAAACGTACTCGGCGAATATCATGATGACAACCTCCTTGCTCGAGAGCATAATTCCAGCCTTTGCGAGTCTATTCCTGGGTCCCTGGTCCGACAAGTTCGGAAGGAGACCCATTCTGCTGACAACGTTTACGGGTTGGTAATGGTTCCCCTTATTGTTAAACAATTACTGACTACTTGTCTTTCAAGGTTACCTCAGTGGCGCACTCATACTGATAGTTATCACCTATGTAACCATGTCCACGAATATCAGCCCATGGTGGTTCCTGCTTTCCTCAGTTCCTGCGGTCCTAAGCGGCGGAACTTGCGCCTTGATTACGGGGATCTATTGCTACATATCCGATGTGGCCAAGGAACGAAAGAAGGCTTTGAGGTGAGTGGCGAATCTTTAATGGTTATTTAGTAACTTACTTTCACTCTCAATTTCTATAGAATGGTTCTCAACGAGGCATCCCTTTGCGCTGGCATGATGATGGGCAATGTGGCCAGCGGTTACATCTATGCCGCCACCAATGCGCTGACCCTATTTTCCATTGCTGGTATCCTGATGACGCTAGCTTTGCTCTTCGTATTTTTGTTTGTGCCCGAGAGTTTGAATCCGGCGGATATACATTCAGGAGTAGGTGGCTTCTTTTCCTAAAAACGGATACAAAGCTAACTTATTTTTTTCCTATTCCAGTCGCGAATCCGTGAATTCTTCCGTTTTGATTTGGTCAAGGATCTGGTACGCACCTGCTTTAAGAGACGACCCAACTTTGACCGCGCCATCATCTGGCTTACTATGATTGCCCTTACGATAGCCATATTCGATATGGGTATTTAAAAGCATACGTGTGCATTCCAAACAAACCTAATCCAACTATTGCTTACAGAGGGTGAGGGCACTGTAAACTACATGTTCATGCAGGAGCAGTTCAACTGGACCATCAAGGACTTCAGCCTGTTCAACGCCTCCCGCATCGTGATCCAGATTGTGGGCAGCATCGTCGGCATGGTGGTGCTGCGCCGTGTCCTCAAGATGTCCATCGTAACCATGGCGATGCTGTCCCTGGCCTGTTGCGTCCTGGAGAGCACGGTGAGGGCCACAGCCGTTTACTGGCAGGAGATGTACCTGGGCATGACGCTGGGAATGATGCGCGGCGTCATGGGACCCATGTGCCGTGCTATTCTCTCGCATGTTGCGCCCGCCACGGAAGTGGGTAAGTCGATTATAACAATTAGCGACGCGTGTGCTCGCGATTAACTTGAAAAATCCCATACAATTTAGGTAAAATTTTCGCCCTAACCACTTCGATGGAATCGGTTTCGCCGCTGGGAGCTGCTCCTCTGTACACAACCGTCTACAAGGCAACGTTGGAATATTATCCCGGAGCCTTTAACTTTATCAGTGCGGCCCTGTACTTTGTGTGCTACACTCTCATAGCGTAAGTACTAATTTGTAGCTTAGCTTAGCTTAAAGATTTAAAGTGACTACAATGCATTTCAATTACAGTGTGATTTTCGGCATCCAGAAATCGATGGGCAGCAGCAGTATCTATCAGGCTATAGGCAGTTAACCAGCCACCCAACGCTCCGATTTAGCTGAATGTATCTCATAAGTTAAAGACCTTCTGCAACACCTGGAAAGAGCTCTCATTTTGAACGATTAGAAACTATTTTTGTAAATTAATCTAGTGTTTGTACTCTTTGTATTTGTGCAAGTATTATTATGATTTTTATCTGTATGCATGTATCTGCTGTTTGGACTGTGTTTTGCATGTGCAAACATTGTAAAGTTAAGGTGAAAAGTTTCGACTGTATGCAGTGCGACAATAAACTGTAAATACACCAAATTATCAAAACCTTTCGGCATAAATCAAATAGTGCGTTGAGCAGTTCGGGCGGGTTCAGATAGGGCGTAGCAAACGGTTTGTGTGTGCGAATTGGCAATCGCTCGCTTTGTTTGTTTACGACGCCAATTTCAGCTGCTCCCAGCAGTTAGTGTAGCACTTGAGTTCGGCGCGCGCGGAGGTTTCCCACAGTTCCCGCTCCGATATATTATATTTCTTGGCTGAACGAATAGCTAATTCCTTTGTCTACACGCTAATTGCTTCGATCAGTTTGTTAGAAAAGGTGTGCGGTAGAGCCGTAACCTTCCCTGAACGAGAATGCCGCGGAGTGATGAAGATCCTATCATTGGCAGTGATGATGAGGCGCTGGACACCGAAGTGGTTGTCCCACCCTCGAATAGAACACTTAGTGGCTGGTTAAAACGACCCCGTTCGCTGATTCTAGAGCCCGCCGTATTTCTGGTTTTCTTCGGCAGATTCCTAACAGGTGTGTATGAATCTCCATGCATTTGCTGTGGGCGTCTATAAATCAGTTTGTGCCATTCCACCAGATGCGGTCTATCAGAACCAGATACTCTATCAAACCTGCGTCACGGTCATGAAATATAATGCCACCGAATGCGAGCCATTTCTCGGTACTAATCGTGCCTCCGATGAAGTAAAGGTATGTTGGCCAGCTGGGCGTATACGTAATATGCATTAATGCATGAGATGTCAGCGTTTAAGACGAACACAGCTAGCTAGCAATTACATTAACTACAAACTTGCATTGCGACTTTGTCTATATAATTAGGTAAAGGTTTAAAGCTTAATTTGTGTAGCTTATTGTAATGGAAGGTTTCAATATCCATAATTTGTGTCCCACCTGTTTCTCCTTATCAGTTGACCAAAACAAAAGAAACCCCGAATCGTTTATGACTAATGGGTCGTCTTATCGCAAAAAGCTATCGACCGTGGAACACAAATCGGGCATATGTACATAGATATTTTGACACACATGTGTGCAGATAGTTAAGCCGTGCCAAATGCCCCCATCCACAAAGTGAGTCATGGAAACGTGACGACAAAAGTGGGGGTTATCAGCATTATGGAATCCTCTGACAAACAGATTTCCCCCATTGCAGAAAATCGAGGGGCAAGTTCAGGAGTATGCCTCCACTATCACAATGATAAGCTCAATGCTGGAGAGCACCGTGCCCGCCATAGTAAGCCTCTTCCTGGGACCCTGGTCGGATAAGTTCGGCCGACGACCCATCCTGCTGTCCACATTTTCAGGTGAGAGCAAATCCCCTAAATCGTATGACATATCTGATGAATGTATTATCTTATAGGCTTCTTTGTAAGTGCCATTATTCTGGTAGTTCTTACACAAATAACAATGGCCACCAATATCAGTCCCTGGTGGTTCCTGCTGTCCTCTGCGCCCTCGGTGTTCAGTGGAGGCACTTGCGCCCTCATAACCATCCTCTACTGCCATGTATCCGATGTGGCCACCGAGGAGAAGCGAGCCATGAGGTGAGTGAAAAGATAACCCGTTTCATTAATGATATTTTCAAATAATCTGAAGCATACCCATGGGATTGAAAATTTTGTCACTATCAAGGATTTGTTTATACCTAAAGTTAATAACAAAATAATATCATAATGCATTTTACAGACATTGTTCTTTAAAATATTACTCATTGTTTTGCTACCCTACTAATGACTGAACTTTTAATTAGAATGGTGACCATGGAAGCAGCCTTAGGTCTGGGAATGATGGCCGGCGGAGTGGCTAGTGGTTACCTCTATGCCGCCGTTGGTGCTTCAACCCTATTCATCTTGGTGGGCTCCATCATCTCCATAGCGCTAATCTACGTCTACTTCTTTGTGCCGGAGAGTCTCAAGTCGGAAGATTTGCAAACTGGGGTAAGTATATGATGTACGTACGTATAACTCTAGACTCTGGCTTAACTATGGAATTTTCCTCGTTAGTCACGCATTCGCGAGTTCTTCCGCTTGGATTTGGTGAAGGTCCTCGTGAAGACGTGCATTAGAAAGCGGGAGAATTACGATCGTGCTATCATCTGGTTCGTGATGATGTCGCTGACTTTGTGCGTTTTTGCCATGGGTGATTATTGGTGATACTGACTGGATTCAGTTCACAAACTGATTGTTCGTTTGACATTTTCAGAGGGTGAGAACACCGTCAACTACATGTTCATGCGGAAGCAGTTTGACTACACGGTTCAGGATTACAGTGTGTTCAATGCGGCGCGGGTGGTCATCCAAGTGGTGGGCAGTACCATAGCCATGATCCTGCTGCGTCGTCTTCTGGGACTGTCCACCATCATGATGACACTCCTGGCCTTCGCCTGCTGTGTTCTGGAGAGCACGGTTAGGGCCACGGCTGTCTACCGAAGCGAGATGTACCTGGCCCTGATTGTGGGCATGATGCGGGGTGTTATGTCGCCCATGTGCAAGGCCATCCTGTCGCACGTGACTCCCAGCTCGGAATTGGGTGAGTTAGACAGATCCCTAGGACCTAGTATAGACTAATCCCTGTAATCCCCATCCACAGGTAAAATCTTCTCGTTGACCACTTCACTGCAGTCCATTTCTCCCCTGGGAGCTGCACCACTTTACACGGCCGTGTACCAGGCCACAGTGAACTTTTATCCGGGCATCTTCAACTTCATCAGTGTGGGACTCTACTCCCTTTGTTACTGCATGTCGGCGTGAGTATTAAATGGTAATTTCAATGATTTTTAACATTTAATTTAATACAAATCCCATTGCAGCACGGTCTTTGGCATTCAAAAATCGATGGGCAGCAACAGCGTTTACCAAGCCATTGGAAGTTGACCACATACCCTAACTAGAACTAATTGGAAAGGAACCTAGACAAATAGTGTATCACAAACATTCGTAAGCCAGTGTATCAATAAGTTTTCAAAACCCTTTTTAAGTATTATCATAAGTATTTGCTATCCCAATTAGGCTTAACCTAGACAAATGTAAATAGTATACACTAGGGACTTCTCAATATAACCATACCACATTCACCAAAGACTAAGTGCTAATATATGTGTAGTATAAATTGTTCGTTTTTTAAATGGAATTTCATCTATTAAATTCTCTGTATTTCTAACTCTTCAAAGTGATTGCATATCATAATTGTGCCTGGATCTAAAGAAATAAACAGACCATCTGGACTTAGATGCAGATTGTGTAAACTTTCAATTAGCAGTAGTTTATTTCAATGAAGTGAGCTTAGTAACGTTTAGAAGATGAAAAAGATAAATGTTTTAATGTGGACAAGCTGCTTTATTTACATACCAGCATTATTGAGAGCATGCATTATATTAGGTCGACTTGGAATGCTAAGCCCCTAGAAGTTATCTTCTTCTCTGGCATAATTGCTAAGTTATTAAACCGAAGGTAATGTCTATCCGGTTGTGTTTGAGACTGAGTCAGTGCCCTCATTGGCCTATTGCAACAATTGTCACGTACCAGATTGGCATCGTTACCTTTACTTCCGATTAATAATATGTGACTATATTTTTTATTACATCATTGTGACAATGCAAAAACATATCCGTAGTGCAATGACAGCAATTAGAGATTCGATTTGGAATTTTGGACCTACAATCGCGAAGAAAAATAACTAAATTTTGAAGTTTTTTTTTTAAGTATCCAGTTTAATAAAACAACATTAAACTGGGCAATCTGTTCATTGAAAATAAAAAACATTTAGTGTATCGTGTTTTGTGAATCATAACAATTTAATTGTATAGGACGGGACTCTTAATGATAACTTAACACACACTACAAATACTAAAACATATTTAAATAAATAAACAAGTAAAAGAAGATTAATTTGTTCAACCGATTCACGGTGCTTGTCCCTCACAGTTAAACGCTTGTATTCCGGATTTACATCTTTAAATTCGCTCCACTTGTAAATGTTTATTGCTTGGTTGGGGTGATCACATGTTAATTTGGGCACATCTCCGCTGACTCCGCCTCACTTCAGAACCTTGGCGTAGTGCTGCTTGTGCCGATACTTGATCCGCAAGACGTATCTGCAGGGGGAAATATGTGTGGTCAATTAGCGTGTTTGGAGAGGGGCTTTCCTCGTCCCAATCCCAATGCCATTCCCATTGCGAGTAAGCTCACCCGATGAACACGAACGAGAGCAGGTACAGGAACGAGCTGACGAAGTTGAACAGACCCGGGTACGTGGTGAGCGACTGCTTATAGATGAGGGTGTACAGGGGGGCCGCCACTTCAATTAGCAGTAAAAGAGTCAATAAATGGATAAACAATCAAACGCCACTAGGCTCCGCTTACCGAACGGTGCGAACGACTGTAGCACATTCTTGATGGAGAAAATCTTGCCTGCGGAAGGGGAGAGGAAAACTTAAATTAGTATTGCTTCAGAAAACAGCTGCGTTGCGAGTACAGGTATACAGAAACTACACCAAGAAGCTAGGAAACTCACCCAGATCCGAGGGAGGTACTATATTCGAAACAATAGTGCGGCACATGGGTCCTGAGATGGAGCGGAAGACGCCCAGGGTCACGGAGAGGTACATGTGCCATGGCATCGTGGCGAAGCCCTTGGCCAGATTGTTCAGAATCTCCGAAAAGAAGGCGAGCAGGGCTAAGGTCACAACGGACAGGCGGAAGACCTAAATGTAAGGATTGCATAAGTATCTGTCATGGCCTCATGTTGGGCGCCAAGTATTGAGCTCACCTTTCGCAGGATCAAAAATCCTATGAGTGCGCCAATCATGGGAACTAGGTGGCTAACGGTCTCGTAGAATGTGTAATCCCTCACCGTCCAGTGGAACTTCTCGCGCACAAACAGGTACATCACAGTCATCACGCCATCTGAGATCGATCAATTACATAAGTTTCGCAACTAATGGGAAGATCGTGCCGAAACTCACCAAAGACGAAAATGGACAGGAACATGGCCAGGGTGACAAGCCAGATGATGGCGCGCGCGTGATGTTCACGTCGCTTGAAGCAGGTGCTAAGCATGTCTTTGATGTGGACCATACTGAACAGGCCCGCCTTCTTGACGCGCTCCTCCTCCTCCTTGCGTTTGCGTTCCTCCGCCTTCTGGGGCAGTCGCTCCACGTACTTGGCCAGCAGGTCCTCGTCGAAGCTCATCGCAGGAGTCGCCGGTGTGGGCAGCTCCATCCGCTTATCCTTTTCATTCTCCTTTTTCTTCTCCAGCTCCTCATCGGACATGAAGTTGGGCGGACAGTCGATGGCCACGCGGTCTAATTGCAGGTCACAGGCGGTGATCGGCACATCCTTCTCCTTGCAATCCTTCTCCCCGTTCGCGGCGATCGTGCTCTTGTTGTCCTGCGCCTGACGATAGTGCAGACTCTCGGGCACAAAAAAAATGATGAAGAACGTGGCGAAGGTCACGATGCAGCCGGAAAGGCCAATGGTGGCCGCCGCACCCACTGCCGCGTACACAAAGCTGGACAGAAGGGATCCACTGGTCAGGCCGATGAAGAAGAGCGACTCCATGAAGATCATGCGGTAAGGTCGCGACTTGCAATCCGTGATGTCCGAGATGAAGCAGAAGGCGGCCACCGAGAAGACGCAATTGCCGCCGAGCAGGGAGTGTGGCACCGCCGCCATGATGTACCACCAGGGATTGACAACGTAATAGCTGGACAGCTCGCAAATGGCGGCCATCATCAGGAAGGAGGCGGAGAATCCTGCACAAGAAGGAGGTGAGTTAAAATAGTCCTTAGGGCTAAAATATAGTGTTAAAATCTTTCGAGTTCTAATTAAAAGTTCCTGTCTACATTACTTGTCTTTATACTTTGCAAGCTTTTATTAATTTGTTGGGTAATGTCAAAAATCATTAATATTAGACAAAGCTATTAACAAAATATTGTTTGTTTTAATATACTTAAACATTTTTTTTCATACCTCATCTTAGGTGTCAAAGTTCTAAATCTAAACTGTTAGTAAGTGTTTTGAGTATAGTTTTAATTATTAATTTTATAATTTTATAATTTTTATAACTTTTAAGTATTAATTATAAAAAAAATTTATATATAGAATTGAGTATAAATTATTGTTTGTTTGTTTCCTTACGATATTTTAGGAATTTTTGTTCCCTAAGTAAATTAAGGGGTCAGAAGTTGTACTTATAGAGAAAATTAAGTTATAGAACTGATTGCAAATACAACGACTCAAAGTTAAGCAGTGTTGAGCTGGGAAAGCTGAATTGTATTTGCATTTCAGTCCATTACGTTTGCTTTAAGTACTCGATTGTGATAAATTCATAAGCTTTGATAAACGAACGATGTCTCACCAATCATGGAAACAATGAGCAGGGGCTTGCGTCCGTAGTGATCCGACCAGGAACCAATGAACAGGCCGCAGAAGGCCGGAACGATGCTCTCCAGGAGGGTGCGGGTGAGGAACAGATTGGCCACATACGGCTGCAGCTCCGTCTCGATGGCCTGCAAAGCGGATGGTGGTCAAGTCATTGATTACCTCGGACTACAGAGGAGAACCCACATTTATCTCGGCACTGGCGTTCTTCACATCCAGCTGCTTGCAGTCGGATTCATTGTAGTGGAAAATGACCGTGCACGTCTGATAGATGACCTGGTTGCGCTGGATGGTGCCTGGATGTGGAATGGTCAACAGAGGATAGAGGCTAGCTAGTGGCTAGTTAGTGGCTAGTCACTCACCGGACAGGGTGTGCGAGAACAGCAGCATGAAGACAACCGGTTCGATGTAGAACATATGAAACACCTTTTGCCATTGCAGATTGCGGAGCTTTTCCAGCGTAAACGCATTCGAGGCCTTCTCAACCATGGCGTTTTTCGGTTATGGCCAAATTCTTGAACCCGATTCAATGTCTCGCGCTCTGGACAGTCGCTCAGTGGCACATTGCAACACCTGTCACGTAACACAATGGGGAAGAAAAACCCCTGGCGCCCGGCACTTTCGATCAGATCTATGGCTTACTAATGCTCAATTCTCATTCGATTATTATTCAAGCGCTTGATTGCCGCGATAGCCGGGAAATACGTATCACGAAACACGAAACCAAAATCAACATCAACATCCAATCCGGCGACGACGACACACGGTTCGCAATTAGAGTTTCATTCTCGAAATGAGCGGCTACCGCGAAATCCATGGGCTTATATAGTGGAGCTCTCGGCGGTGGCAGAATCGGCAACAGGTATACACAGGTATATATATGTACAATCGCACAGGTGAACAGTTGTTCATCTAGGGCCGCATCCATTCCAGCGGATAGCTTCGCTAGATTCACCTGAAATTGCATTCCCCGTTTCCCATTCTCGTTCCCCAATGGAAAATGTGTTGCTGGTGCGGCCAACCAGATTCATTCAATTGGATTTCGGCTAAATCGCATTTCACTTAGATTTAAGCCTTACTACCAACTAAAACTCAAACACAATTCATCAGAGAAACGTGACAAACGCAGTCCGAGGTCTGAATCTTTTCATTTGTTTTCATTTCGCTGCCAATTTATGGTAATTTGCGTATTTTTGAATTGTGCAAATGAGTAGCACGAGCCAAACTCATGTGAGTTGAAGAGTAAAAAGTTTTTAGTTATACTACATGAATATAAAATATTATATAATTTTTTCTTTTATTTTACAGATTTCTTTCACGAATTTAATTCAAATCACAATTTTTAATATCAAGCATTATATAATGGAAATTAAAAGTAAAGTCAGTAAACTCACAAAATCGCCAGAATTTGTATTTAATTTACTTTCAATAATTATTTTATATTAGTTTTAATTGGCCTGGTGACAATTCATGGGACATGGTCTGGTAGAACTCATGTACATAGAATTTCATGGATTTCGTTACGCTCTGTTGCGGCTGTAAATTTGTGCGTAAATTGAGTTTCATTCGGTTTTTTTTTGCTAACAACGCCTAAAAGATATACGATCAATCTCGATCAAGGGTGTAAAAACCTGGCGACTAATTCAAAATTAGCAAGTCCCATATTTTTATAGATATTCGGTAAGAGCTGTCAAGTGACTGCGCACACGCCATTTCGCTGCCAGCAATAATAACACATATTTTTTTTGTTAATGAGAAAATATTTCGAATTCTGTAATAAAACAATTTTTCCCAAGGGAAGGGAAAGTGAGATCGACAGCGAGAGATTAGCAGAACAGAGGGTGTGCCATACAATAATTCATCTCAATTTTACTAAGTGCTAATCGGGGGAGTTCCCGGCTCGACAGTTCATCTGTGTTACAGATATGCCAAACTTTGGCATGACTGGCACTTTCTTCGGGCGAAGAATCACTTAAAAACCGGCTCATAGTACACCTGATTTCTCGTCTTCTTGAGCCAAACAATGCTGAAATATTGACTATTGACTCAAAGAGCAATCGCATATGGGTCACTTCGACTTACCACAGCAGAATAATACCTATGCCGTATAGAAAGGCGCTAAACACATTGAAAATCCCCGGCTCGCTGTCCAGTGTCCGGGTATAGATCGCAACATATAGCGTGGATGATACAAGCGGGGAGAGGGCTTGCAACACACCAAGTAGTGCGAAGATCTTACCTGGAATTGGAAGTGGAAACCACATATAAGGGTAAAGAACAGAAAAATAAGTTACTTAATCTGTACTTACCCCGCTCATCAGCGGGCAGGAGGTTGGTGATCATGGTGCGACACATGGGATTCACCAGGGACTTGAATACGCCCAGCCCGATGGCCACATAGATCTGCCAGCTAACCAGGGCGAACCCCTTCATCAGGCTGCTGGAGAAGTGACTCAGGAGGGATGCCAAGGCCAGCCAAAGGACCGCTGAATTGGTGCACTATTGAACACAGATTTGAGTGAAGTTGGTTATGATTCCATTGATATCACCCAAAAAAAGAACTCACCTTTCTCAGGGACCACAGAAAGAGTACTCCACCGGAGCCTGCCACTGCGGGAACCAGAATGCTAACCGACTCGTACTCGGTAAACTGCTTCACGGTCCAATGGAACTTGATCCTCATAAACTTATAAAACACAGAATTGCTACCATCTGGAGATAGGGGATTTACCGTAAATGGGGTTCTTAAAAAATCATACACAAAATTTTCTACTGTATAATCTAAGTAATTAAATTCATTTACTAATAAAGTGTTCAAATTAAATTTGTAGTTTAATAACCGGTTTCAGGGCTCTTAGTGTTAAATCGCAAGGTATCGCAATCACCTTCATATAAACCATTTGTTTATATTTTTTGAACGATGCTTGAATTTTAAGTTCATATTTCTGGGGACTTACCTGAGACAAAAGCGGTTAGGAATAGAACCACCATAATGGTTAGCAAAATAAAGCGATTTTTGTGCTCGCGGGGCTTTGTGCAGGTGCTCCACAATTTCTTTAGCAGAGCGACGACACTTGTGTCCGCCGACAAAGTTGACACAGTCCGATTCCTGATGGGCAAACTCTCCGGAAGAAGGAGTATCATTAGAAAAAGGGCCGAGAAAATGGAAACTGCAGAGATGCTGAGCACGACATAGGAATCGGTGGCCTCGTAGGCGTAACCAGATCCAAAGCTGCCAAGGAGCAGGCCCACATAAATAGCCAACTCATAGGCAATCATCCTAAGGGATGCAAAATATTAGTTTTAATTCTGATCTTATCCGACTTTTTTATAGCCTTGCAGAGCGTATTATTTCCGACCCCATAGAAGTATAGGGTATATTATATAAATTCTTGATCAGCATTACCTGGAGAGTCGATCTAGCCATGTTCCGTCCGTCTATACAAACTAGTCTAAGTTTTAAAGCTATCTGAATAAAAATGTCCCATAAAAAGAATATATCATATAGGAACAATCGGAAAAATGAATGAAAAAATATCAATAGACTTCGAGAAATAGTTATGTTTTACTATTTTAAAATTTCAGTTTTAATTCGAAGTAAAGTCGTTTTATAGAGTACCAAATGTTTGTAATAGCTGCAAGAGTATGTACATATATAAACTTCGGCTTGCCAAAGTTTGTTTTTTTTTTTTGTTTGTTTAGCTTAGCACCTGTATGATCGAACTCTGCCCACGGAGACATCGCCAATGAAGCAAACGGCGGCCACGGAATAGGTGACACTGCTTCCCAGGCAGGAGAGCGGTACGATGGAGAGCACATACCACCAGGGACTGACCAGGCCCTTGTTCAGCATGGCAAAATAGGCGATCGCGGCTGAGATCAGATACTGCATACCGTAGCCTGGGCAATGAGCATTGGTTTAATTCATGATTAGGATGACAAAACAATGGGCTACACCCACCCAGAAAGGAGCACATGAGCAGGGGTTTGCGCCCGTAGCGATCCGCCCAGGCTCCGGCGAAGAGTCCACAGAAAGCCGGAATGAAGCACTCCACTATCCTCATGGCCAGAGTGACATTGGCAGCATATGGTTGCACCTGTTCCTCAATTCTCTGGAAAATGAAAAAGAAATTAATGTAACAAATAATCATTAATTTGTTTAAATAAAAAATAACAATTTAACGATATTTCTTTAAGTTTTATTTCGAACGAAAATAAAAATTACTCACAACATAAAGATAAATGCATATTTTGAAGAGATTGCTATGTTGGCTTTTTAATTACTCAAATCATAAAGATTAACTCATTTTTTAGTGTATATATTTTTTTTAATCGTAATATCACTCGAATTGCGATTACATCCTCACTGAAAGTGAATTTTAATAAAATTTTATGAATGTTTTGAATTTATATTTTTTTATTCCCATTTAAAATTAAGTTTTTTTTTAAATATCAGTTACTTTAAAAAGGTTTTTGAGACTTGCTATTAAAAAAACGATAATTATTATATAAGTTATAGTACCTTTGTCTCATTTGTGGCATTTTTGGTACCCAGCAGCCGGCAAATGCTATCCGGATAACCGAAAGCCGCTGTACAGCTCTGGTAGATGACTTCATTCTTCAAAACGGTTGCTGAAATCCGGGGAAGTACCTTTAGTTAACGATCAGGCAAAGATCATCCCACTGAACTTACACGAGAAATTGTAGGCAAAGAGCAGGATGAGAATAAAGGGTTCGAGCAGATATATTCCCAGTGATTGGTTGCTTGAAGTCGGTGGATCTCTTGGAAGTTCGGTTCCCGTTGTAGCGGATGGCACTACGGTACTACTGTTTCCGGAAACACTTTCCTCACTACTAATGCTGCCAGTTTCAGGATCCTTTTCTCCGGATCTGTGGGCTTTGGCCACCAGATTTTCGTGGGCGTGAGGTTCCTCGTCCATCGCTGTAATCCAACTGAGTCTTAAAATTGATTCATCGCCTTTGAGGAACTTGGGCACGAATTCAGATAAAGAGACGGAGCGTCTCTCTTTTCTGGGATTTCCATTCGGCAGTCATGTACATAAAGTATACGCTACTTCTGTGAGCTCTTCTTATCACAAAAGCCCAACAAATCACTAAACAATTCTCATTTTATTTAAGCAATCTCACCATTTCCTTTCTGAAAGTCGCCATTAAATGTATAATGCAAATGTTGGTGATGGTAATTGATCACTTTAGTTTGCCGATATCGGGCGCGCACTGTATCTTTGTTGTGATGCCCAAACGTGAGTCAGTTTTGAACTTAGGGACTTTTTTTATTGACATGACGTGTCTTATCGGAAAAAAAAGATAAACACTCATTAATATGCATGTTGTGAATCGAGTGGCTTGGCTTAGTTAATTAATGATCGATTCTTCAATTAAAAGTACAATGAATCAAATATCAGCTTTTTTAAAACTAATCATTTCTTATTATTAATTGATCAAAATATAAAAGTTTTTTTGTTACAAATAGATTTATTTATTTTAAGTGTTTTTTCTTCAATGATTGATCAAATTCAAATTTAGCCGCGCTTTTATCGAAAAACAATCAAAGTTCAACCAATCGACATGGAAACATCGATTTCGATATGTAATAAATACAATAAATAAATAACGCGCGAAATGCAACTGCAGCTTAAGATTTTGCGAACTCCTTCGGGAAAACTGCTGTCAGAGTATCAGCTAAATCTGCTCAGCAAAAATAACATAAATTCCGTGCTCGATTTCCACGAGGCAGATGAGAAGAAACTCCACCAGATGCTGGACATAAGTGTGGAATCTGTGCGAGATCTGAAGAAGGAATTGTCCCAGCTGCCAAAAGACTCTGGTGAGGATGGCACTCCGGATTTGGAATACGGCACGGGCATGGAAGAGTAAGTAATTGCCAAACCTCCACAAGATTGTGAGCTACATCTTTAAACATAAACTAGATTAGACAAACTGCTGGACTCCGTGGAACAGCCCTTCAAGCAGGGCAGGGTGTGGGAACTCAGTGGACAGACGGGTGTGGGCAAGACCCATCTTATGCACACCTTGGCCCTGAATTTCGTGTGGAAACACGGCCTGAAAGTTCTATTCGTCGACACCAAGAGGGACTTCTCCTGTCAACGAATACAGGACATGCTCCGGGCACGGCACTTGGACAAGGACACCTGCGAAAGAGCCATGAAAGCCATTCAGGTGGTGGAGGCTCGGACGGCTCCCGATCTAATCGACATTTTGAAGGCCTTCGATCAGCAACTGACCTCGAATGTCCAGGCTGCCATGCAAACTAAATTGGTGGTGATTGATTCCCTGGCAGCTTGTTTTGTCCACTATCGCGGCAAGAGGATGCAGATGCTCAGGAAATCTCTTCTCGTGGATCTTGCTTGCAAAATCCGGAAGCTGGCTGTACAGGGCGTGGCCTTCATTATCGGCAATTTGTCCTTCTTCGAAAGAGATGCAGGTACTGAATACACTTTATATCATACGATTCAAACTATTTACTACTTTCTCTTAACAGATAATTGTAATGATGAGGGCGATGGCAACAATGAGGAGAGGGCGACGCGTCACCAGTTGGAGCCCATGCTGGGTGCCTACTGGAGCTCGGTGTGCACGCTTAGGCTGTCGCTGGAACTGCCGGTGGATGATGATGACTCTGCCGGGCAGGTCGACGGCCTGCGCCTGGTGCACGTCCTTTCGAACACCTATGGCCCCCCGGGTGGCCACTGTCTGGTGCGCATCACGCAGGCCGGAGTGGTCTAGCGCCGGGCAAACGGATTCTGCGGGTTGTGCTGCTTGTAGGAGTTCATAACCCGCTTGCCCGGCTCCAGGGCATCACCCAGTCCGGGTCGCTTGCGCTTGTTGGAATGTCCCGCTGTGGCCTCCTTCACCACGGGCACTGGTTGATCTGGCAGTGCACTCTTCTCCGCCGCCTCATCCACAGACAGATCGGAATCGTGGGCATACTGGCAGCTGGTGCCAAAGCGGCAGCGTCCCCTCCTGAAGTTCCAGCATATCTTGCGCCCATTCTTCAGCTGCAAATGCGCATCGTTGTCCACCATCTTCACGTGCCGCTCCAGGGAGGCGGTCTTGTGCAGCTCTGCCTGCAAGAAGGGATTGCTGAACACATCGCCCTTGATGGCTCCTTGAGCAAGCGCTTGGCTAGCACTGGGCAACTTGGGAGGAGGCTTCTCCTCCACTGCCGGCGCACTGAGAAGAACAAAAGGGTTTTTATCCCCGGACAAACTGAGTGCCGGAAGGAATCTCACGTATTGGTCTGCTCGCCATCCGAGGATTGGCTGCTGCTCTCCTCGTCGGAATCGGATTCGGAGGAATCGCTGTAATCTGCCACCAGCGACATTGTTTTTATTTTGATTTCACAGCTGGAATGAACAGTATGAACAAGTATGTAAATCAACTAACGCGTTTTCTTGCAGCACAAAAAAAATACCAAAAATATATATATAATATTGACACCCTACAATACCTCAATCAAAGAGTATTCGCACTTTGCAAAACTAAAATCTTTTGACTATATAATTTGTTTTGGAAACTATTTGCAAATCAATTTATATCAATCAATTGTAGTGTTAAAATCATTACATTATTATTTTATAATTTTGTTCCAATATTGTGAAACAATTCTAATTAAAAAGGTTTTCTATTGAGAATCAATTTTATAATTTCCAAAGACTAGTTTGAACTATAGAATCTCGAACTTAAACACAATTTCTTCATTTGTAATGAATCGGCTTTATTCCATAATATGTATAATCACTTTATGCATGCTCTAGTTAGGTTGTTTATGCTCGGTGTATAAACTAATAGCTAATTATTTATACAGTTTTCTTTTATAAATATAAAAAATGAAACTTTGTTACAATTTAATAATATACTGGCTGGCTGACGACAGCAGCCGCGCCTGCCCTTTCCACGCTACGTACAATTGGCTGCGAGTGTAAAAAATATGCAAAAGTTTAATACAATAATTGGGGGGAAACCCGTGCAAGTCTGTGTCCGTGTCCGTTTCCATATGTCTGATTCCGTGGCAATCGAAGGCTCCGTGATAGCGTGCAATCAACTCAGGTGCCAGCCTAGGCTTTGGCCTTGGTCCGGCGGATAATAAGTCGCTAATCGATGGGTGGACGGGCCGATGGATCGTCGCGATCGATGGGCGGCGGTGAGGTGAGCACTTCCACACTTTGCGCAGGACCCGCCGTCAGGTAGCCAGCCGTGGGATTGACTCCTTAAAAATATAACAATTAGGGAAACTCCCATGTCATTTACAAATTCTCCACTTACCCGTCAGATAGCCCCGTATGGTGGTGTCGGCGATGAACAGATCGTGGCGCTGATCCTTGAACTCGGCCCACACGGGATGCTTGAGCAGGATTTGCGTGACCCGGTCGCCGTAGTTGAGATTGTGCGTCATGCCTTTGAGCGCCGCCACAATTTGCGCCTTGACCGCCGAAGCATTGTCCACAAACTCCAGTCGGCTGTCCAGCAGTCCCAGCAAAAACGGAATAAGTCCGACCTCCAGGGATTGGCTGATCAATGAGTCCTATAAAAAGCAGTCAAAGGAACATGGTTTTATAATGGAAAGACTTTTGCTTGAGAATTGCAATAATCTTACATGCTGGTGCTTGAAAAGCCGGCTTAGCGCCTCGCAGGCCTTCTCAATGCAGTCCCTATTGTGCTCCATGCACTTCTTCAGCGGAGCCACACACTCTGTCTGCGAGATGGCACTTACGCAGAACTATAACAAGTTATAAATAAATAATACTTAATAAACCAATAGTTAATAGTAGCCCACCTCAGATAGCGATAACTGATGTAATACTGATAGCGTGTTCTTCGGCTGCACCGACAGCAGGTTGAATAGTTTCGGTATGTGCCCCAGCACTGGGATGTCGTCCGCCAGGTTGGGCTGCGAGCGCAGAAGCTCTACCAGTGCCGTAGTGGACAAGTCCAGTACGTCCTGCTCGGCCGAGCTCTTGCCGATCTGCTCGACGACAAAGTCCAGGAGGTCGGAGAGGAATTGCTTGGGCTTGCGCAGCGTCCACGCGGGATTGCTGACAAACAGTCGGAGGTAGACGCCGGCCACAACGATTTCGTTGGATACGATATCCTTAAGTATTTCCGGATCCTTCCACACATGCCGCGGATTCGCTTTCTGCAGCTTATAGAATCTGTGGGAAGAGCAGGAAATGTGAGCGGATAAACAACAACCTAGCTTGAATGCTCCGCTGATTACCTTTCGCACGTGTCGGTCACAGCGTCGCATACATTCGATCGCGTGTTATCGTTCCAAATCAACTCCGGATGCTCGTGGATGGACTCGAAGAGCTGCACGGATGTGGGCGGCGACTCCACCATGGCGTCGATGAACAAAGCTGGCAGGAATTTGGACACAGTGATCCGCACCTTGGGACCGCTCAGTCGGTCCGCCGTCATCTTGGCCAGAATGCCGGCACACATCTCGCGGATCTGAGGATTGCGCGAGTTGCAGAACATATCCAGCAGATAGATGGTGGCGCCCTTGGCCTGGGCCTCCTTGATCATCTCCTGCACGTTCATCAGGCCGGAGAGAGTCTCCAGCACTTTCACCTGGCTGGCACGCAGCTCTGGGTCCTTGAGAGCCACCAGATAGTTGCCCAGTATCTCACAGGCTGCCACCTCTGAGACGCACTCTTTGTTGCGCGAAACCAGCGAGACCACCTCCAGGGCCACAGACTTAACAGTGGAGTTCTGCAAAAAAGGGAGGTTGGTTCAGTGCTCTGGGAATTAATAAATGAAAAAAACTTACATCGGAGAATATATTGTTGGCCAGAAAGCCAAAGATCATGTCAAAGTTGCCGATGCACTGGATCTCCACCTCGGCGTTCGACTTGATCACCGAAATCAATGCTTTGAGCACCATGGTGATGTGCAGCTCAAGCTTTCCATCGCTGCCAAAGTCGTATTTGCACTGCTGCAGGGCCAACTGCTGCTCCGTCTGGGCGTCCGTCTCCAGTTTCTTCCGGCTCTTGGATCGGTTGTACGCACTGAGCACCTCGTCGAAGGTGCTGCCCGCCTTGCCCGTCGCCGCCTGCTGCAGCTGGGGATGATTGGGTGCCAGAGTGGGCGTCAATATGCCGTCACTGCCCATTTTGGGAGCACCGCCAGCAGCAGCAGCTGGAGCCGGATTCTTCTTGTACTGGAGAAACTGATAGGCGTGTTTTAGGTACTCCAGCAGATCCATAATGAAGAGCTTGGGCTGAGCAATGGGATGCGTGGGCATGTCGTTGTAGATGCGTATGAATATACCGCCAATCTGCAGCTCGTCTCTGCAGGAAAATATACAAGATTGAAGGGTAATTCTCCATAAGCAGCTTTTGCATAATCACTTACTTGTGTGCATCGAACTCGAAGCTGGAGACCAGCTCGGAAAGCTGGGCGATGTCCTCGTGCGTCTCCTTGGCCGAGGCCGTGCGCTGCTGTTCGAGGAAGTCCTTGAGCTGAGCGCGGGTGCCATTGTCCCAGATGAGGTAGGGATTGCGCGTGTTCGCCGTGAGCAGCTTGAGCACGTCGCTGTCGCGAGATGTGGCCAACTGGTTGGCAATGTAGCGGGTGAGCAGGCGATCGAGAACCTGCTTGATCAGCGAGTTCTTCGCCTCCCCCGTCACAATGTACTTCTGCTGGATGGCGCTGGGCGTGCTCCTCGTCGGCTGTTGCTGCTGCTGCTCACTGTCGGTGGGCGTGGAGCTGGAGGTGTCGCTGCTGCCGGATGAAGTGTCCGGCTCCTTCTCCTTGCCGCTGGTGATGGCCAACTGTTTGCTTTGCAGCGGATTGTGCGCGTTCTGGGTGTAGGTGGAACTCGAGGTAGTGCTCACCGATGGCTTCGGCTTGATGGCTGGTGGCGGCTTGGCCGCTGGCGAGTTCGCCTCGCTACCCGTCAACGGCTTCTGACGCAGCTCCATGCTATAGCCCGCCAGAGAGATGCACCCGAGGACGGCCATCTTGGCCAGGTTGTTGGCCAGCTGCTGGTGGTTGGACTTGTCGCTGACCTCCACCCCGCTCTCGTCCAGCGTGTAGTCGTACTCGAAGATGAACAGCAGCAGGGACCAGAGCACTCCGTTGCGCGACAGCTGGCATTGCAGGTCGTAGTTATTGGCCGCCAGACTGGTCACCAGGCTCACCGAGAGCGTGTGCTTGAAGTAGACAACGCGGCACACGTCCGACAGCAGCTGCGGCAGCTGGATGATCTTCTGCTTGCACTTCTCGAAGTTGCAGGCCACCTCGAAGCAGCGGGTCACGTTCGAAATGACCTGGTAGTGCAGCGACTCCGGCTTGGAGTCCACGCCCAGAATGGACACGCAGCGGGTGTAGGCCTCCAGCAGCGCCTCTATACCCTCCTCCCGACGCAGTTCCTCGGCATTTAAGGCGGAGCAGTGTACCGTGTGGTAGCACAGCTCAGAAGCAGCTGTCAGCAGTTGGGCCTCCTTGGAGAAGAGCTCATCATCGCGGGTCTCCAAGCGAATGGTCTTTATGAGCTGCGGATACCCCGCATACTTGTACGGCCGCAAAACTGCAATGGAAGTAAAGAACGTTAGAAGAATGTACCATTTAAAATTTGAATTTTTCGAAGGACTTACCGTCCGGATAACGCTCGAAGAGTATACTCTGTGTGCGCAGTATAAGCACAATATTATTGGGATCTGGTCCACCCGAGCTCCACACATTCCGCGAGCAAAGGAACTCGTAGGCCTGGTTCACTTTCTCGAATATTTCCCGCCCATTGGGATTCTTGTCGGGGTGATACATTTGGGCCAGCTTGTAGTAGCTCTTGCGTATCATGGACTCGTCCGGCTTGGGAGTCTTGGTGAGGTCGATGCCTAGATCCTGGTAGGCCTGTTGGATTGTCATCTGTGGGGGTTTCTTCTCCACCTCCTTGCGCCAGGCGTCGAGTGTGTGCTTCAGGAGCTGCACCGGGTCCGAGATGGGCCAGTTGGGAAACTTCTGGGTGTCGCACAGGTGGCGCAGATAGTAGATGTGGCAGAAGAGCTCGTTCTCCAGCTGCGGATAGCTGATCACTGGAATGGCCAAGTACGGATACCTGGCCATTGTATGGCCCCGGAGTCGTGGCGTAAAGTCAGCTATGTGTGCGGCGATCTTTTCGATTAGCAAACGTCGCATCTCCGAGCTCCAGATAACCTCGGGCGTGTCGAACTCGCCGAGAAAGATCTCCGCAAACTTCTCTGCGCTGTAGTTCTCCAGGAAACAGACCATAGCCTCGGGCAGCAGCTGTCCCAGGATGCTGCGGTGCATGATGCCAGATTGAGAGGTCTGTCAAGCAAACGTAAACTAAGATTGAATACACAGAAGACACCAAATATTTTAAAACTGACCTCCTCGCTGCGGAATCCTTGCTTCATAT